CTGGTTGCATTTTCAAATTATAATTTCTAAGTACTTTGAAAATCTTGTGTTCTTCGAGTGTTGTTGGAAATATTAGAATATTATCAAGATATACAATACAAATTTCGTTAATATATAATCCCTCAATATATCATTCATTAACCGTTGGCATTCTAACATATTCGTATAATCTCATTGGTGTTATGAAAGCTGTTTTTTCAATATCTTCTTCTGTCATTAATATTTGATGATAACCATTTGCTAAATCAAGAGTAGTAAAATATTGGGCTTTACCAAGTTTATCTGGAACGGTTACTTGGTTTAGTCGTCTATAATGTACACAGATACGATATTTTTGAATTCCTGAATTATCAATTTTTTCGTAATAACACATATAGGAGAGCTTTATTTGCTTTTTCTTTTTCTTATCATTTTAATTATTTGGTTTCTTACTTCTTTTTCATATTTTGCAGAAACTCTATAGAGATTTGAATTTATGGGATGATCTGTTGCGGTTTTATTGTGAACTATTGTGTTAGTGTTAGTTAACTGATCACCTTCTTTAAAATATAACTTTTCATAATTTTTATTAATATTTTTACTATCTGCACTTCTTTAGCATTGAGTTCTTCTAGCTTAAAGTCATCAATTTCACCTACTTCCATTACACAAACCTCTTCTTATAACTTGGAAAGGAACGGAATTTAGACTCCATTGCAAAGCTTAATTATTTTGTTTTTAAAATCAATATTTTCCAAGTTTACCCAACAGAAATCATATAATCTTTCCAGGGACATAGCTACCCATCTTATTCTTGCGCAATCTGCATATTTAAATTCACTTGGTACTTCTGTTTTAACTAAATAGCTGTCATTTTTTATATCCGCATTAATAGTGTAAATTCTTTTTGAAAATTTCTCAATTATTTTATACTTTGATTCATGTATATTTTTGGTGTTTAATATACTTATAATAGATCCAATATCCACTAAAATTAAAAATTATCCCTCAATAGTTACTTTTCTTTTGTCCGAGGCTAGTCGGTAAAAAACTCTTCTTGCTATGTTCGTAATTTGGATTATTATTTTTTTTTCATCACTTAAATTGTCTACACTCATTGCTTCTGGTTGTGGTTGCTGATGATTTTGATTTTGTCGAATATTCTGACTTGGTAGTCTATTCAAATTTTGGTTTTGTCTTACGTTCTGACTTTGTTGTTGTCTGTTTCGTCTTTGGTAATCATTATTTGTTTGATTATTTTCGTTTGAATTTCTGTTATCTGTGTCTTGTCTTGAGTTTGGCTTATTTTGTTCGTTAAATTGTTTTTTAATGTAATTTTATGAATAATTATTGTCTTTTTTTATTAATAATTTTTGATTTAAATTTCTAAAATTTAGACCAACGAAATTAGAAAGTTAGTTTTTTACATCTGTTAAAGTTGTTTTATTCATTAAGGCAATTGCCATCGCACCACATGCTAATTCCTTAACTCTTTGAATTAATAATCCACTTAGAATATCAACTAGTCTACTATTATTTTCAAAGGCCGAAAAATCAGTAATTTCCTCAACAATTGTTCATATTTTATTATCAAAACCTCTTATGCTTTTTACTCTTAAGTTATTAATCTTCTTATTTCCATCTGACCCGTTCTTGGTCTATAGCGATGTCTCAAACGATTTTTACACTCCGTCCAGTTTGCTGGATGATTAATGTTAAGCATAGTTCTAGCCTGACCTTGAATTGTAGAGTTGAATATGACAGTGAAGACCTGGTCGTTGTCATCGTACTCCCCCATGATCTGGTCCACTGCAGACACGAATCCATGTAAAGTTCCATCCTGTCCATCGAATGTAGGTAAATATCTCGTTTCCTTCTCGATGCAGTTCCATTGAGTTGTAATTGGATTTCTGCCTTCACCTTCTCTTGCGATAATTACGCTTGGTAACAGTTGAATGCATTGCTTAAATTCAAATGTTTGTTGTTGATTTGCCATTTTTTTTTATTTTAGGACTGTACAGTTTTTTTTAATTGTTTCGTTGTCTTGGATATAAATGTCCGAAGTTTCCACAACTATTTGTCTGTACTTGGTATTTGTAACACTCAGTTCTTTTAATTTTGTTCACTTTCATAAAATTCCACAAAACTTTTCGATTGATGTCACTCCGATTACCGGCTGCGCCAATTATGTACTTCTTTCATATGAAGATTCAATACATGTTCTTTATTCGGGGCATTAAATACAACTGAACTGTTATTCAGTTCTAAGGGGTCTTTTATACGATTCTGGGTTCCGATCATGGTAAAGTATGCTTATGTTAGGCAGCGGAGGCTGCATAAACTCGTATTCCTCAATCGTGGAACCTATTGACTCTTTTAAAAGTGGATGCATTCTGATATTTTTACATCACAGTCTTGCTTTAGCCAATGCTCAAAGCAGCTGAACTGCTCTTTGCGCTAAAAACACATACTGAGTTAACAGAGCTGTACCAAGAATGCATTTTTCTGCGTGCCTGCTGTTTATTTATTTAGGTACTTCACCTTCGCATACAAGCAGAGGAACACATGATCCGCTGTGCGTAGGGCTCAGATTTCGATCTTCTTTCAAGCTGTCATTGGTGTTTAAATTATGCAGGCCTGTTAGAAATTCGAAAAAAGATCAAACGAAAAACAAGGCATTGGTCAGTTTCCCACATTCAAGACACCGGAATTAGATTTCACGCTATTATCATATGTTTGAGCAGATAATAATAATAATGCAATAAATAAATAAATAATAGTCAGTTGAAATTGCATTCCTTATTTTACTCCTGTTAACAGTAAGCAAAAAACGAATAACAAATTTTCTCATACCTACTATAGACATTTATGTTCACAATAGTCAGATATTTTCCTTGATAATGCAGCAATTCATGATGACTTCAAGTCAGCTTACTCAAACTCTGTTCGCCTGGACGAAACACTCGTTTCCACATGAGCGACAACGATTAGAATTGATATTGCAACGACGCTCAGGCAACAGAGCGCCTCATCTAGTGTTTATATTTCATACAGGCATACGAACTGCTGATTGCGTTTGATGCGCCCCGGATACAACTTGAAGGCTGAGCTCCAACTTTTTCTTGCGATTGAACATTGGGAAAATGAGGTGGTAAAAAAACATCAAACATGAGATCTCCAGCTACTGTAAAAATAGAAAAATGAAAAAAAACCTGGTGTGTGTGAGAGAAGTTGACTCTTTCGAAAAGTACATATACGGTTGTCTCACTCGCACAGACTATTAGAATAGGTGCTGTACTAGCTGCAACCCGATTTTTAGAGCTCTTGTGATGAATAAAAATATAATTGTTATTTATGTAGTTTGCTTTTAGAATATATGCATCGTCATTGCAATCGTCAATGCATAATTAGCTATTTAGTAATAGATATATCTATTGATATACGTTGTAGGCATGTATGCATGTACTTGGTTTGTTATAATTAATGAAGATCATACTCTCACTTTTTCCTTTTATTAGTTGTAAAACGCATTCATAAAAATTTATAGTTTGGCCGGCGATAACCAAAAGTCGGGCGTAGCCGTGATCGTCTAGTGGTTAGGACCCCACGTTGTGGCCGTGGTAACCCAGGTTCGAATCCTGGTCACGGCAATGCACAGATATGCATTGTCACGGAGCCTTGGCTTTTCAGCTATTATTTTTTAATAGAATATAGCATTAAACCACATTTCCCATCAGAGATATGTTAGAATTAAAAATCTAATTCAAAACTCAAAACGAATTTTTGGGCTTTGTACAGCTATACTGTTTAATGTTTTGTATATTGAATTATATCCATTAATTTACTTAAACATTTACCTATTCCAAATAAAATATAGCTTTTTTACATAATAATGGCTGATATTAACCAGAATAAAAGTTTTTGGATATGATCCATTGACAAATATCAGACGATGATTTAAAATGGTTTAACAGGGAAAGTAGTTGAGCGCCAGAGTTCTGCATTACTCAATTCGGCATACTTTATAGCGATAGTTAATGCGACATAGAATCAAATAACTTTGGGTGTGGCGAGATAATTATCGCTAGATGGGGTTTGACGCCACAACAAACCGTAACTGTGAACGCCATCTATATGTCAATTTTAACATTAACTTTTTATGAAAAACGTTCGTGTCATTGCTTATAACTCTGTAATTTTAATTTAAGCGAATAGTAGTTTATAGCGCTATCTGTCGTTCGCTAACTCTTACAATAAGACGAATGTGTCCTTGGTAATAAAATCAGCATTTGGACAACAGAAATTTATATTCGATGTAGCCGTGATCGTCTAGTGGTTAGGACCCCACGTTGTGGCCGTGGTAACCCAGGTTCGAATCCTGGTCACGGCAATGTATACAAATGCATTGTCACGGAATCGGATTTATATTTTTTTAATTTTGTCAAAAACAATTGCGCCAAAATAGTTTGATTATTTTTTATCAATCCCATTCTATTCATTAAATGTATTTTATAAAAGTAATTATTACTGCATTTTCATAATATGCCATGAAACTAAGCTTAATCTGATTTATTTGCAAGCAGTACTAATTTAATTTTTCTATACAATTTTCTAAAAAAATATTTTTTTATTTTTACACAGGTCAAACTGAAAATCCAAAATTTGATCGGATCTTTAGATGTTTGGAAGTTTGGCTAATGGCTGACAACAACCCGGCGTAGCCGTGATCGTCTAGTGGTTAGGACCCCACGTTGTGGCCGTGGTAACCCAGGTTCGAATCCTGGTCACGGCAATGCGAACTTTGCATTGTCACGGAGTCTGGGTTTTTTTTATCTCTTTTAAAGCTGACAAAAACATTAAAGTAAATAAGCACGCAAATTCATATACACTTCTTTATATTTTAGATCTCAATATTTACAATTGCCATTTTGCATAACATACATACGACATATTCATATAATTAGCTTTTTAATTATTATAATTGAAACTATACTCAATAAATCAAACACTGACATAAAACTATCATTTCGCTAATACGTCGTCGAATTTAGTTCCATTATTAAGAGAAAGTGTGATTACTACATAAAGCATACTCGTCATATTTGAAAGCCATAAACACACACACCCGCGGAATGTGTTAAAATATTTCAATTGTGTATAAAATACATGTTTCTTTTCAAAAGTATACAAAATAAAAACGCCTAATATTACTAATAACATACAGATTGGTTTTCCATTTTTATGTTAAATAAACGTTATACTAACTGCTTACTGCTGTCCATAAAGCAGTTCAGAGCCGGGTGGTATGGAGCTAGGATCGACATTGGTATTAAAGTAGTTGGCGGGCGTTGCTACAACCGGAAAAAGCAATTCAGCCGATTGTGATTGTTGTGGCTGTGTCTGTGGCTGTGGCTGTGGTTGTGTTTGTGGTTGATCCTGTGGCGCCTGTTGTAAAGTTATATTATAGGGGTTCTGCACATATTCCTGATATATGTCATTCGCACTGCCAGCTTGCACTGCCGCTGGCGCCTCATAGATTGGAGCAAAGCTTTGGACAATTGATGCTTGTGGCATCCTGGGCAGCGATGGATACGCATTACAGGCCAGAAGATGACTAAGGGGCACATCACTTGGGGCCTGTTGCGTCTGGTACTGTTGATATTGGAATTGCTGATACAAAAGTTGCTGATGTTCAACTGAATTTGGCGGCGTAGCTGGCAGCTCAATGGCGTAGCTATTACTGTTAACAATTGGTGTGGAAGTTGCCGCCTCCGGCTGGATATAACTCTGACCGGGTGTTGTATACGTATTGTTATGGTCAACTGCTGAAGCCGAAGCAGCTGCCTCATTGATCAAGTCGGGAAGCAATGTCTTACTGTTAACGGAAGGCTGCTGTGGCAGCTCCGTAGACTGTTGTGGAGGCATTAATATGGGCTAAGAATATTCAAAAGATAAATTTATAATATAATATATATATATTAAATTAGAAACAGACACAAGCTTACCTGAGCAAATGTAAAGCTGGGAGCGTGCTGGAGTGCTTCCGTCATTGGAGGTTGGAGAATTATGCTGCGTCGTGGCGATCCTATAGGTGAGACCACGGCAAGTGTAGTAGCAGCAGTAGCAGCAGCAGTAACATCAACTGCAACAACATCAGTAGCCGCGTTGACAGTCTGCTCCGTGGGCTGCAGTGTACGGCTGGGCAGAATAGCCACTGAAGGCACCTGTTGAGCGGTTGTAGTGTTTGTCAATGTTTGGGCTCGCCTTCCTGCAAAACGAGCAGTAAAATAATGGAATTAATTAATAAATAAATAACCAATTAGAACTATAACATCAATATAACGGCACAAACTAAAAAAATTGCAATTAATTTCATTTCATCTTCTTGGTCAGACCCTTGAACAACTTAAACTTAAAACGCAAACGGGTCCAAGGTTTCTTTTTCCGCTTAACCTGTACAGAGGTATTGGTACAGCCTACACTCTTAGCTGTGGCCGTCGTAAACGTTTCCAATTCGTAACTGCGTACTGGGAGGGGCAATGACATTGAATGATCGTAACTGATTTTTGTTATGTTCAGCGATATGGCTGGCGATACCAAATCTGCAGGCGGACAGTTACCGGAAATTAAAACGCTAGGGCTTTGCTTGACATTCGACTAAACACCCACACCCGACGCACCTTCATCATGAAACAGCTCCGATTTCAGGTTCGGCAGAAACTCTCCAATACGTCGCCAAGTTAGCTCCCATAAAGCCTCCTGAAGTGAACCGTCCTGATTATGAAACACGCGCACAGAGTGCATCACAAGCAACATGTTTTTAAGTATCTCCTGCATCTGTTCGGAAAGTGTGTCGGAGCCCACTTTCATGAATCGTTCAATGTAGTCCAATATGTCGAGCCACAGGTCATTAAATGTCGGTCCCAACTCAATAAGCGTCGTCAAATGCTGTAAAAACATTTTCGACATAATAGTGGCTGTGCGAATGCGGGACTCCTCCAACAGAGAGCTGTCCAGCTCACTGGCAGCAGCGCTCTCAGGCAATAGCTCGTTTAGCAGTGGAAACAGGACATTCTGGAAACAAGAGCTCCACTCCGCGCCTGACAGCGTTTGTAGATCATGAACCAGCAATGCTCGCTGCTGAAGGCAGGATATTGCATGCGTGCGGACTTCGCGCCGACGATCCATGGCCAGCCTTGCAATACCCTGTAATAACGGACACCAACCAGGCGTCCACAGTGTTCCCGATTGCGGCACAGTACAGCCCTCCTCTGCCCACCACCGGAAAATCTGTGCAGTACGCGTGTACAATGTATACATGAGGTCCAGTAATTGAATAGACAACTGTTCGTAGCGTTGTGCCAACTCTTCCTGTTCAGCAGCATTCGGTGTACTATTTTCGGCAATGTCGCCCACCGCCGATATTAAATTTCCAGTAGATGTAGACTTAACAACACCTGGCTCACGTGTGTTCTCCTGTCGTTTTTTAAAATTCCGTTTCTTGATAGTGGCATCCAATTTTCGACGCTGATGTATTCCACCATCACGACAAGCTTCCACAAAGATGCGAATACAACGCACGCAAGCCTCAAAGTTATACGGCGTAATGTGGGCGACACTGCGAACGATGAACGCCAGAGAGTCCCAACACTTAAACAATGCAAAGGGTGCATGATCTTGCAGTTGGCAGTTAAACACCAGCGAACTTACAACAGGTGTAGTAGAGCTGGGCGGCGATTGAGGCCTAGAATTAAAGGATTATGATATTCGAACGTAACTAAGATTCAAGAAAAAAAAATACCTTGATGCTGTGGTCAATTCACTGTCCTTGCCAACCAGTATCCAGTTTTCGGCACTGGGACTCGATGTCGGGGCTGCTGCACTCGAGGATTTACTCAGCTCCGAATCAGATGTGTAGCCACGATCGATTGACGAAGTAGTTCCATCGTCTTCGCCGTCGGATGTGACACGGCCATTAGGCGGAATGGTTAACTGTTGCCCAGCTTCAAAGTTAGGCGGAACTGCACCAGCGCCCACGCACTCCAACAAATTGAATATAATTTGCCAATCTTGCTCCGAGTGAATATTTTGAGCAGAAGTCTTAAGCAGCTCGTAGGTGCCAATGGATATTTGATTGGAGATGCGCAGCAACAGTGGTGGCTTTAATGATAACAGATTTTTGAGCGATTGCAACACGACGGGGCACAGCTCTTCATTGCGCATTAAATATATGGCTAGTTTTAATACAGCTATAATGCAGCGATTAAGCAGATAATCATAGCCATTCTGAGCACTGGCAAGCAGAAGATGCAACATTTGATCACGCACAGCTGGCCACAACGGCACCATGCGATCACGATTGTGAACCACAATCTTTACAAGAAACTCCATCCAAAATACAGCTATGTCTTCAGCATATGCTTGTCCATTGGATTTGGGTGTTTCCGGTGCCTTTAACAGTGATAACACGCATCTAAGCAGCTCCTGTAAAGATTCCAGTTGCACAAATTTAGACTCCTGGAGCATTTGATCCAACTGACATTCCTTAATGCACTTCCGACCGTGTTTGATACATTCTTGCTCTTCGTAAGTGGGCTCACGCTGACCCTCAGAACTTATAAACGAGTAGAGGCTAGAGAAAAGGCCCAATTCTTGCTTTTCGCGTGGTTTCTCCAGTAGCAGCATTGCCTTGCCACTGGGCTCACAGAAATCCTCTACCTCAATCAGAGTTCTGGGTAGCAATTTTAAGCGGAACAGCTGCAGAAACAATTCCAATATGTGCTTCCAGCTGTCTCTCAGACTATCTCCATAACCGTGCACTAGAAGAAATACAGTTCGCATTGCCGCTTGCGCCTTAGCATTGAGACCGAAATTCACAGCCTGCTGGATTTCATTGTTGGCTGGCACAGACTCATGCTGATCTACGCTACTCAACAGCGTGGTAAACTTGCATAAAGTTAGGATCAGCGCATCAAAGTCAGCATGAAGATTATAATGTGCCGATATAGCTGCCGATTTACTAAAACCTGCAATTGAATGTTTTTCAATCAATAAAGAATCAGCTATAGTATTAAGACTGGCTCAATCTTACCCGCCAATGTGCGCTGATAGCCCGTCTCGGTGCTCTTGTCAAACATAAAACTCAGTGCACTTAACGAAGCGCCCCATACAATGTTAAAGATTTGCACATCGTAAGCAGCATCATTTACATAGTGGAAATGTCCGTCATGTGTTGCACCTCGACGAAGCAACATTTTCCACAAATAATTTTCGCGTACGAGCCCAGTCTGCTCAGCAGGCATCACAATCTCTTCATTTCTGCAGGAATAGTTTATAGATATGAAATTATCTCTAAGCAACAATCGAACCTTCCACTCACTTAATGGCATTGAAGACCTGTGCTAACATTTCTTGATCAAAATCTTGTCCACCATTTAAGCCACGCAAGTTCTTTGTAAAGTCTTCTAGCGTCATAGGCACATTAAGGCGTTTAGCATTCGAATTGTGCTGATCCATGTTTAGCATGATAATAGCGTAGGCTAAACGGAAAGCAGCATCTGTGTTTGCAAAAGGCTCATGGTTTTGATTCTATAAAAGAGAGGTAAGAAATGTTATTAAGATAGTTCTTACCATGAACTGTATTTCTCTGCAAAACAGTTACTTACGTGCCAATGATCCGAGAAATGTTCCAAAACGAGAAATATTAACGGTGCCTCGCCGGGCAAACGGAAAGTCTCCAAGTAAAGACGTAGAGCTTGATCGACGCGAAGTCCTGTGAAGTCAAATGAGTCCACAAAGTTGATGAGAATCTTAGAGTCAACGTTTTTCTTTTTTGAGATATATTCTCCAATCATTTTTTTATCAAGACCAGGATTCTCGCGCAGGAAAAGGGCCACTTGCATGGGATCAAGTTGAGCATGTAGAATGCCATGTTCTTGCAGGTACTGAATGCCTTTGTCAGGTCGTTGATTAAACCATTCAGTACCCTTGGACAACAAACGCTTCTTCTCTTTAACGCTGGCCAGTTCTTCACTTGTTATGCTGCCACTCTCGCCCGCTGATTGTAATCGCAATCGCTGTGAGCTGTTGTTGATAAAGTTCGCTATATTTTCGACATGATCCTCGCCGTTGTCAATGACTATGCCTTCAAGGCCGCTGTTATGACGAGAATGTCGACTGCCGCCAACACCAATCGCTGGAGCCTGAACCATAGTGTGGCTTAGGCTGTTGTTGCTCTTGGCAGCCGCACAATTATGTTCGATGCAATCGATAACACTGATTAGCGTATCCATTGAGATTATGTGCGTACTGTAGACTGCATTAGTGGCTGAAAGCGTGTACTTGCTGAGCAAATTAGTAAGACTCTCAAACATGTCCGTACAGTACAAATCGCAGTCGTAGTTAATGTACAATTCCGTAACAAAGCCGGGAATACGCCACAGTTGCAGCAGATTGTCTAACGCCAGTTCGCGCATCTCGTATGGTGTCTTCGGATTATCACTCGCTATAATTTCGCTCAATTTTTTAAGGTAGCACTCCAATTGAAACTTAAGGTGGCCTCGAAGCGACTCAAAGAGTAGAAAACATAGTTGTAAATCAGCGGCAAATATACTTAGACGTTCAGAGCTAAGCAGCTGTTAAAATACAAAACTTGCTAAATTAACAATATAATATTTATAATTTATATTGTTACCGATATTAGATTCCTGCACAAATCATCTTTGACCAGCTCCAACAATACTTCATATTTTCCAATGTTGTCCGCAGCCACTTCAAAGGCTACAGTAAGCAAACTTAGGCCTGTATGCATCATGCTGTCTGAATTCTGCTTATCCAACGGATTACACAATATGATAAGAAACCGGAATAGCTCCTGAATGAACGGCAGACCATAAGGCGTCAATGTAGATGACAAAACTGCTGCATCCTGGTTAGACGTCTGCTGGGTAAACCTCACTCCCACAGAGTTAATATATTCACTGCTATTAGAATCAACTAGCGTGGCAGCCGTAGAATCCTCATATCCATCAGTTGTGTCGTCAGGTTTTGTAGTCTCCACTTGAATTGATGGTACATCTACTTGAGCGTTGATATTATTCCCAGTATTAACAGTTGTTGTTGTGGTGGGTGTTTGTGTTATCTTTCCCTGCATATCCAGAATATTACCAGCTGGAGAAGCAGGCGTAGTTGCGAGTATAGGCGCCTTTAAATGCGTGGGTGCCGCCAGCGTGGTTTGCGGTGTCTGAGGAGGCTCGTCGGCTGCGGATGACTTGCGTTGCTGCACAGCCAAAGCGGCATGTGGTTTACGTTTATTTTTCTCTGCGGCTGCGCCTGCGGCTTCATATATAGTAAAGCGTTTCTGTAGCACAGTATCGCTGCCGTCCTCTGTGAACTGTGGCAGACGCATGAAAAAGAGCAACACCATGTCTTTTAGAGATTGTTCTGCAGACCGACGCAACAGCTCGCTAAGACGCGGTTCAAAGCAGATTTTAAAACAGCTGAGCATCACTTCGCACATTGACTCATTGCTAACAGCAGCACCCTCTGGACTACGAATTAGAGTGTGCAACACTTCGATGACACGCATAAATGTTACACTATCAGATGACTGATCGGTGCCCATAAAACGAGCATGCGTAACAGCATCTGCAATCATCTCTACAATCACAGCCAGATTTGGGGTAGTCGGATCTACGTTTAAAAGAATATAAATAAGTCCAAAGACATATTTGATTATGTTGTGCATACCAATTAAGCCATATGACAAAAATTTATTGACCGAGGCTAAGGCGAGACTAGTTAATGGTCCCGTAGTGTCCGCTGTTCGAATCACCTCCAAAAAGGGCGCCAGAAAAACATTCGGTTCAATTAAACGTAAGTCTTCAATGCGATTCAGCACCTGCTTCAAATCGATGAACAGTTTCAGCAAGCCGTCCTTTTCATCATCCTGCAGTTACATTATCAAGTTTAGAACGTTCTTGGGATACATATCCATATATACTATATATATGTCAGGAACTTACCACGTAGGCTGTTGCGTTCCAACGCGTACCACGTCGCATGGCCGTCATTAGCGTGGCCATTTCACCTCTCACCACATAAATACCATTGCCTGGCAGTGACATTGCGTCCAAATTCAATAATTGCTACTAATTGGCTTCAGCCTTTAAGATTTAGCACGAAACGAACAAATATTTAACCTGCGACTGCAGCTCTTTTTCTTACATATGTACATATGTTTAACTGCCGCTTGGACACAGCAAGGCGCATACACGCTCATACACACATACACTCGCCAAATATGTACGGTAGAATACGTTTAATTAAACATTTTATTAACACGAAATTTGTCAATAATTTGTTTGCAAGTAAGTTTTTGGTGACGTTTACGACGTGTATGTTCTGTTTCAGTTTACTTAGAAGCAACCCTGAGAATTCAATATATCGATATACTTAGTATTTTTTCAATTTCAACCCGATAATAATACCCCATTTATAATTACAATTCAAACAATATTTTAAATACTTAAATATATTAAATTAAAAGGGACACTTACAAGAGATGTTGATTTTAGGCAAAGGCCTATGGACACTGAGTGCATTTTTATGGGCGATAGTCTGTGAATGTAATGTTTTTAACATAAATTCAATGCTTATGGTAAATGTAGGATATACAACTAGTTAAAATTAATGCTCTAAGAAACTCCTGATGACTGTTCATCGACTCGCAATAACCTCTAAACAATTTCGTGGCCTTAAATTCGAGTGAATTTCTTTATTTTTAACTTGTTTAATTTTGAGTATATCTTCGATAGTAACATCTTTATTGTGCGATTCGGTTAAGTTTATAGCTGACCACTCTGTGTTAAGGACTTCAGCGTTAGAATAAACGGTAACTGTGATTACAAAAGCGCTTCAATTTAAATGCCTGTTGAACGTCTATAATACAAGTTTATCGTCAAGCTTGACTTTACAGTTGGAGTATTGCCTGTCTCCAGCTCACTTTTTATGGCGGAAATCCCGGGTTTCCAGTCGAATATATTTAATAATTTCACAGAATCTATAAACTCTACACATATACGTAGCCGCCATCACAACGTTTATTAGCTTATTTGTGTTAACAGAATTATATACAGTGTTGATAATTGGTCAACTCAATAATTTACACATACTGCCGGCCTTATCGATAAGTATTTTACATTGACAGATATGAATGTTATTGTTGCTGTTAATATAATGTTATATAGAACACAACCAATTTTATTCACATTCGACCAGTCACGCATCTAGTTACGTTTATCTGCTTAATGATATTTGTTAAAATAACCTAAATTCCGAAATCATTAATGTCCAATGCACGCTCGTTAACTTAGTAACTACAGCTCTCGAGTGCTATTTTTAATGGACAAATAGTAATTTAACAATCTTACCAAAGTGTTGCGCCAATATCTGGTGCAGCATTTTCATTAAATTGTTAAACACACATTATCCTCAGTTTAAAGGATTCCCTTGCTTATAACATTAGATTGTCGCTGATTGATATATAGGCGACAGTTATGCAAAGCAGTGGTAGAAAAACTAACGACATTTAATAATACATTGGCCAATTAATCGCATGGACTTTGCGTTTTGAGGTGTCGCCACATTTTTCCCTCCCCTACATAGAGGTTATGTCTATATGCATGTTTTTACATGTGCTTGTAAGGTGACAATTGAAACAAAGCAATTGGAAGTATTTACGATTTAGATTTATATTTATTAAAAACTGTAGTTTCGAAATCCACACTTAATCTATTTATGGCTGCGATGCTATAAGTAAATCATTCAAGTTGTTATTCTGCGACAGGGCTCTTTTGACAGCTATAAACAACTGCGAATCAATAGCTTTGCTGTGTTGTTGAACCAGCGGTAATCGACTAATCCGTTTCGCTAACTCGGCCAACTTTGGTTGGTGCTGCAAAAAATTATCAAGTATGTGTGGGGAAATGTTGGCCATCTGCGCTAATTGCTGGACATGCGGCGCTACGGGAGCAAATGTGGTCTCTTTAGGTGTGTTGAGGTGTGGTGGCTTTAGATTACTCCCAGTATGAAGAGTTGTTGTTGTGGTGGGTGCTTGTGTAATCTTGGATGGCATATCCAAAATATTACCAGCTGGAGAAGCAGGCGTCATTGCGAGTATGGGCGTATTTAAATGCGTGGGTGCCGCTAGCGCGCTTTCCGGCGTCTGAGAAGGCTTGTGGGATGCGGGTGACTTGCGTTGCTTTTGCGTGGATTTCACGGGTGCAGGTAACAATACTGGTCGTAATGGAATAGGATAATGATAGGGCAATGGATGCCGAACAAGTACGGGTTGCATAGCTGGTGCTAAATTCTGATGTTGGTTGGCTTGAACGGGTGCGACCAGGACTTGCTTATATGGCAACCACCTGGATGTTGTGCTGCTATCCAATCTATATTGATTTATGAAGCTCTGCATTGAGGCACTTCCTTCCCATTGTGCCTTTGGTATCTTCGTTGTTATTGGTATGTCAAGCTTGGCTGGCGTCGCATCGTAGTCTACATTTAATTCGGCGTTGTTCTCGTTATCATTTTTTTCCTCTTGCATCTCCTCGCTATCAGAGTTGGAGTCGGCTGACTCATAATCCATCGATTCCAAGTAGGCCTTCATCAGAGATATGCCTTGATCCGTGGAAGTCAGAGAGCGTACATATTTGATTGTTTCTTCGCCGTTGCTGGTGCCCAACAGATTGCCGAGTTCTCTTATGCTGGGCAGCTGGTCTAATCGCTTTAAGCCCAGCTTAGTGCGAACAATGTCCAGCAAATCACTGGGATACTCGTCAACAACTTTAGGAGCTCTTGTGTTCATGGACGCAATCGGTGTTGGAGTAGTTCTCGGATTGATTAGCTTGTAGACGGGAATATTATAATATAGCGCATTTTGTAACTTTGGACTCAATCGGGACTTATCAGTGTCGACAATTATTGCACTGTCTTGTCCGTAGAATTTTGGCATCAACGGTATGCGGCCGCTTATGCATTGCAACAGAGCCAAATGTAGAAGAAACTTCAGGAACCGACGATACATTCTGCTCAACGCCAGGGTAAAAGAACAACTAATAAATATTGGTGATCGAAACTTGGGCCTAGCTTCATGAAAATATCTTTTCTTGTTTCCACGAATGTTCGACGTCAGGCGAAACCTTTTCTACCTGCTGAGACAAAGAAAATTTCGATTTCCATAGAAATTTCGTTGTCATCGACTACCTGCACTATTTTCAAACGACGTAGGCCTTCTTAGAAATTAGAAATTTAGAGTCTTATATATGCATATGCATATGATTCTATTATGCAAAATAATTAATGATTTCAAAGCAAAATAAATGCTTATTTATGTATATAAATATATAAAATCTTTAAATTATATTTTTCCATCATGAAGAATAATACACAAGTATGCATAATAAAAACAAACGCAAATAATTAATAAACTACAAATAAAAAACAGTTTATTAATTATAAATCCCTTAAACTAGACATTCAGCAACTACGTCGGAGAAAGAAAGTATGTAGTACACTGAATGCCATAGTACACTTAATAACTAGGAAACTTGGATATTTCCGGTATATGGAAAACCTATATGTATTTACATAGTATCGTACATGAATTTAGCAGCATAAGACAAATTGCAAACATTAGAAGGTAATCTATGTAAAGTAGCTTGCATAAACAGAGGATATCGATGAGCATCGTTATATCAGCACTTGGACACGCCAACCAGAGCTGGGCGTATACAACGTTCATGCAGTTTGTAACCGAGCTTGGTAACCTCTACAACTGTGTTTGCTTCAACAGTAGTGTCTTCTTTTTGGAATAGTGCCTCGTGCAGATTTGGATTAAATTTTTCATTGATAGGATCCACTGGTTCTAGGCCATGACGCTTAAACACCTGAAGCAGCGCAGCACGTGTCATGCTTAGACCTTCATAAAGATTCTTTAGATCTGAATTACCGTTGAGCTATGCGATTAGAGTAAGTTTCAATTAAAAATTTGAGCTTTTGATAAGAACTAAATGAAAATTACTTTTTCTTTAGGAACTGCTTGAGTTGCATGGCCCAAAGTGTCAGCCACCTCTAGTAGATCTTTGCAAAAACTTTGTATACCAAATATTTTTGCATCGCTTATTTGTTTGTTTAACCGTGTGCGCATATTCTCACTGTCAGCCAACGCACGCTTGTATTTGTCTAAAAGTTCGCTGTTTTGGTCTTTTGCTGCCACCAACTCTTGCGTCAACCGCTCGATTTCCAGTGATTGTGGGGATTTTTTCTGATCCACTACCGTGCCATCATCAGTTACTTCTTGCTGTTTTTCCGAAGTATACCCCCGCAGAAGTTGTGTTTGGGCATGGCGCAGTAAGCTGTCAGGATTTAATTTTAAGAAAGAAGCGTCCTTATGTATGTAATTACGTCACAGAAGTTGACCCATGTGGTACTGCTTACCTTATGTTTTTTGTCCCAGCAGTGGGTATAAAGTTACCCAGACGGTTAGCCAGCATTTGCATAGTTAAAGATGCTTTTGTTGCCATTGAAGTTTTTGTTTTCTTAAAATCTATGCAACTTTTAACTACTCTTAGAGTTAGAATTCACAGAAATAATTTTTTCGTCAGCGCTTACTGATTAATCGAGAATTCTAATCGATATACAAAATACCAAAAGCCAACCGGTATTTTATCCACAGCACCGAGCTTTTTTTTGTATATTTTGACAGCGAATATTCAAATGAGTGATAATTTTCTTACATGTAGGTATTATTGAAAACCTTTTTGATAAATTGAAAACCCATATATATTTCATTTAAAACAAAGTAAATGGGCTGATACACATTCATGCAAAAAATTGGTAGTTACAAAGGATTACCTTGAATTTACTATAATTGCTAACATACAATTTCCGTCTGTTTGCCGCAGGGTGAAAACAATTAATTATGAAAAAACATGTAGAATTTACACAACTACGCTCAAAACTGTAGCAAAGTATTGAAACTCGCTACACATGTTTGTTCTTATATACAAAATATATCTATGACTACATATACATGCACATATCTATGCAATTTGCCTGTTAAGATAAAATGCAAATTAACAGTTATACCCTGTAACCATAACATAATAAAAACGGGCATCCTAATTTTTTTGCGCATTAACACTTGATTGGTCCTTGATTAGCATAAGAATCCAAATTCATCTCACTCCTCAGTTATTTGAATTGGTAGTAGCTTATTATGTGAGGTAGGACTGGATGCGTGGTATATTCCATTCGAATACTATATTAGGTGACATTATTGTTTCGAGTGCGATCTTTAAAATTCAAAGTACGAGTATGTATGCTTATTCAATACAGTATCTTACAATATACATATCCCATGTAGGTATATATTCACCTACGTATGTAAATAGATGTTGTATTCAGGCATTGTATATATTAGGCAAGGCATAGAAAACCATTTAGTTGAAATCTAACGCTGAGACAGTGAAGTTGAGAGCACATCCAACCTTAAACAAAAATTTTTGACCACCACTTTAAAATGAGCGACGACGACATGCAATTGGCTCTTAAAATGGTTGTCAGCTCCATATCTGGGGAGGGTGATACAGATGGCAACGATGCTTTAAATTCTCCTGAAAATTCTCCAAAACCGTTGAGAAGAGCACGCGTCTTAGATTTAAATGAGAGACGTAAGCAATTTCGGTAAGTAAACAAGGCAAATTGAAAGAAACAAAAAATAGCATAGAATATGTATTCCAATTTATTTTTGGGTTCAACAGAACCACAAATAGTTTACTATGCTTATGTAGCTATTTATTATTTATACATCAGTATCTGTTAAGTGCATCGATTCTTCGTCAAATAATATTATGGGTTCATTTATTTTTATTAACATTATAAAAGAATTGTAAATCGAATAAAAGCATGTAAAAAAGTAATTAATACCAGCTCTTAAAAGTATGCAAAAAAAAGTTAATTCCCATCTTAGGTATTTTTGGAAACTACGTTTTTATCAGTATTTCGCTGGACGCAGTGTACAGTCACATTGTTGTATTCAATAAGTCAATTAATTTAAGCACTACCGTACGGTTAAGATGGTTTAAAACTTAATAGAGTGGGATTTTATAATGTCTACAACGCCAGAACCGCTTAAAGACAATGATTTAGAACACAGTCGGCACGAACTACAACCAAGCAACAATGAAAGCAAAAGAATCGCTGATGACAATGATGCGTCCAGCATAGCCTGCGATGACATGATGAACAGCAGCTGGTGGTGGTAAGCTTTTTCGTTTCATTTGCATCACGCGTGAAGCTGCGCATCAAATAAGTAAATGAAATTGTTTTACAAATGTACAAGCTGTATACCACCTGTTTCATTATTAAATCGTTGGTGCTTAAAAAAACAGTTCACGGAGTTTTTAGTTACAATAGTTCATACTTGTAGCTAAGTCAATTTTTGCTTTCAGTAAATTCCTGTTTTTTTTAGGCGTACTCGTAGCTTAAACGCACCTTCACCCTTCCAGCAGTTTGGTCCATGTGGCGGAATTATGAAAAACCCAGCAATGGTTATGCAAATCCAGGATCCAGCTAGTCAGAGACTGACTTGGTACAAGCCTCCACTCACAGTACTGGTCATTAAAAAAGTCTGCGATGCCTCCGTACTAACGCCATTTGTGCAGCTAGTGCTTTGGTTGGTGCAGGAGAAAAATATGGTTGTGTGGGTAGAGTCTGCAGTGCTAGACGACGCTATACTTAATGAGGACACGCAATTTCGCTCTGTTCGTGACAAGCTGGTGACCTTCAAGTAAGTTTTAACTTACGTTTTTAATATATATGTTAAACATAATATTGTTACAGAGATGGTCGAGATGATCTTACAGATCGTATTGATTTTATTGTCTGTCTTGGTGGGGATGGAACCCTGTTGTACGCATCTCTATTGTTCCAGCAATCGGTACCACCAGTGATGGCCTTCCACTTGGGATCTTTAGGTTTTTTAACGCCATATCGTTTTGATAACTTCCAAGAACAAGTCACCAGTGTTCTAGAAGGCCATGCAGCGCTTACATTGCGCAGTCGCCTGCGCTGTGTGATGCATCGACGAAGCGAAAAGCAACACGGATTCGAGCAAGCTGTAGATTTGAATGCTGCGCACGCGTCTTCCCTGGCTAACAGCATTTTAATATTAAACGAAGTTGTAATCGATCGTGGCCCGTCACCATATTTAAGCAATATTGATTTGTTTTTAGATGGAAAGTATATCACATCGGTGCAGGGCGATGGTTTGATTGTGTCCACGCCTACGGGTAGCACAGCCTATGCGGTGGCCGCTGGTGCCTCCATGATACATTCTTCCGTGCCGGCCATCATGGTGACACCGATCTGTCCACACTCTTTGAGTTTTCGACCCATTGTTGTGCCTGCAGGTGTTGAATTAAAAGCAAGTAATATTAAAATATTGATAAATATAATTGGCTTATTTTGCGCGTCTCACAGATTTCAGTTTCACCTGAAAGTCGGAATACCTCGTGGGTAAGCTTTGATGGTCGCAATCGTCAGGAGCTCTTTCATGGCGACAGTCTGCGCGTAACCACCTCAATTTATCCAGTCCCCAGCATTTGTGCCCAAGATCAAATATCTGATTGGTTTGCGTCGTTGGCCGATGGACTTCACTGGAATGTGCGCAAGCGTCAGAAATGTCTTGATGAGTTGTCAGACTTAACTGCATCTGGATCGGAGGATACGTTCGATGAAATTGAAAATACAAAATTGTATGACGGGTAGTGCGTAAGTTTAAGAGCTCACCATTTGGGGAATTAGTAGTTTTCGCTGTAGTGTAACTATGCTATTGCTGTCTGTTTGGTGTACATGTGTGACGTAAATCAGGATTTTTTAAATGCTGTTTTATATAGTTTTATTTTAGTAACTCGAATATTTTGAAATATCAATTAAAAATTGTATTTATACTGCGCTGTCAATTGGCGCAGGCGCACCGTGCAACTAAATACTTCAGTCGATTGATCAAGTGGTTTTTAAGATTTTTGCGTTTGTCAATGTATATATGTATATTGTATATCATATATGTTCCTAGTTACATGTTGCTCACCTCGGTTTAATCTGTTTGCACTGCCATTGCCGAGTTATTAACAGTTCCGATGATACGCATTTGGGCTTATCGAACATCAATTAGAAGGCTTTTTGCATAGACAAAATATAACTGAAATTGAAAGAGAATGGATAAATGCTTACCGCAGGCCGCACATAAGATACATGACGATTTACACGCTTCTGATTTGTTTCATTGTTTCATGTTTTTTTTTGTACGGTAGATTGCTTTTGCCTTTTTTGTTAACAAATTCAAGGTGTGCGAATCAATATCAAAATATGTATGCCTTTGTGTGTGTGGGTCGTGACAGGTGTGCGTGCTTATCTAGTCATATGAAATGCATAACATCTCGAACTATAGGTGTGTGCTATAGTACACTTTGAGCAGTTCCAGCGCGCGGTTGTGTTTATGCGTAAAAGCTATAAATTATTTGAATTTATTTTTTTTATCTTAAATTTGAGTTAACTTGAAAATGAATGTACGGGATATGGAACGAGCTAGACAAATGTGTCATGAGGCAGATGCAGTGCCAGCAAAGAGCTCAACAGGCACAAGAAAAAGCACACTAGTGGGTAGTTTATTCGAAAAACGAAATCAATTTCGGTAAGCATAACTATGCTAGCTTTTTGGACAACTAATCCGCCCTTGAACAATCGACAAAATAGTTTTTAAAGAATAACTGAAACTCTGAGTGTTATAGCATTCAGTCTGCATGCAGTTGTGTATATTAACTATCGATAACTTCGATTTCTACATTGTAATAGATGTAGGAAAAATAATTTATAAAGCATTGAATATACAAACAACAGTTTTCCGCATACTTACACTGTTATTTTTAGTGTAAATATGTTTTTAAGTATATCGAATGATCGAAAATGCACATTATATAAATCGGTATATAAGACAAACATGAATAGTCGATATATGTTTAGCAACAGCTGATATATCGCTGTTATGTTGATATGTTAAAATCTTAAATAACAGTGATTTTTATAAGCTTTTTAAGATGACCCAATTTATTGTATATTATGTGTAGTTTTACAAGTTTCGCAAAATTATGATTTATTACGCGATTACACCTCTTAATGCAAATTCTGCGTTCAAGTCGGAATTTGTTCGTTCATTTTGGTAATCGAACTGATTCCAGACGTATCGATTAAATTTAGCAAATGAATGGATCTAAAATAAATAAAAAAATATCAATAAATGATGCTATTGTTAGTAGTGAAAACCCTGCAGCATTTACCCTGCCAATCTGTCGAACTTATTAATATTTGAAGTTCTATCGACGATGAAAATTAAACGCGTTTGTAGGTCAGCCACAGCAGAAAAAATAATTCCAAAACAATGGTACCTAAATTGAACGTTTACAAATACGTTTAAGTCTCACTAAATACTGTTTTGTGCTGTGGAATTGTACTTTAAAGTTTAAATTGTGATTGTTCACCATGTCCTCGTCCTCCTATAACATAATCAAATGCCCAAATCCTACGACTAAGACATCAGCTGCACAATCTGTGCCAGGTGCAAATGGAGGAGGAAGTGCAGGTGCTTCATCGCATTGTGGCAACTACGATGAGCATGACAATAAGTTGATAAATTTAATCAGTGCACGCCACAACAATGGATCAGCATCATCTGCTCCTGGGCCTGGTCTCTTGGCCAATGGCACTGCTAGCGATATAGAAATGCGTTGGTGGTGGTAAGTAATAGAAGCAATATATAAAGTCGTAATGTGCAATGACACTTCACTGGGAGCAATTTAATTAGTACGTAAACTCACTCCTAAAGAAACAAAACCAATTTTGTTTTGTACAGGCGGCATTCAATATAATTGGAGAAGATTATAAGACATGAATATAAGTTATAATTGGGCAAGACTAGCTGCCAATTACTGCGTTGTTTACATAACTTGCATACTGTTGTCGGGTTTTTATTTATATATACATATATACATACTATCAAACACACAAGCACCTGTTTTTTTATTTAGTCTCTTTTTCGCTCTCGCTCGCTCTTTGTTGATTATACGACGCGTGTCCAAAAATTGCTCAGCTGTTTACAGGTCTGATCGCTTGGAAACGCTTTGCGACGATTGGAGACGCTCGTAAGCTTTATTTTCAAATCGCACAAAGATTTACAATTTTATCACCATTTTGGCGTTTCAGCTCAGTTATCGCTGGTTCACCAGACAGCACGGTTGTGTTTAGTGAGATCGGCGGGGCGCGCTCTCTTTATCTCTCCTTGCCTCTCTTTACAAATCTCGTCTCTTTTGTATAGCTCTCTCTTTCTCTCGGTTTCACTCCCTCTCTCGTGTCGGTCGTTGGCTTTGCTTGAAGCAAGGGCCTAAGCTTCGTGTGCTAAATACGCCATCTTATATAATATGTAATTAGTTGACTTCTGTGTTTTAAATGTTTTTTCTATCTTTACATAACTGGACATTTAACTTAAAGAGACAAACGTTTACACGTGCCGCTCTCCTCGCCAATCATTACTGTATAAGAATCAATAAGACATTCAGTGGGCCTTGCGATCCAGCCAATGATTACACTCGACTCGAGTCTGAACTCTAGAGTCTAGTATAGCTATAGTAGATTACTGGCTTTGTTTTCATAACGTTTCTTTGTTCAATAATTCGTTACAAACCTGCTCGTTTGTTGCTGCAATCAAGTGTTTATTTTCTTTGTTTACAAGTTCACGCAAGTGCATAATTATTGTAATTAATAATTTTTTATTTTTAATCGACACTGAATTACTTCCTGACTTGCTAATAGGACTTCAAGTTAACCTTTCACTAAAAATTTCAGTCAGTCCATAATTATTAATTTATATATTCCCAGAACTTAGTACTTAATCTGGTACATAGTCTATCAATGCCAATTATTAATAATTAATTAAAATGTTAATATAAAATTATCCCTTCATGTAATAACAATTTCGCAGCGTCTGCAATTTTTCCAAGGGCTTCTGCCCTTTGTCAAAAATAATGTTAAAAAGTTGCTGATTAATGATGCATCAATCCAAGCATACTTAGCTAGCTCTTTGTTTTGTATTGTTCTTTCTCTCTCTCTCTCTCTTTCTTTCTTTCTCCTGCTCTCTCTTTTCTCAGTATATTTCTTGACTGGAATTTCTATGCAAATAAGAAAGACAGTTAGTTGACGTCAGAGCCGGAACTAAGAGCATGTCGCAGATGCTTAAGCAAAATTCGTAAACGCAGAAGCAAAAACAAAGAAAAAAACAGAAAACCTAACGCCAGCGATTGCTCTTATTTGATTCTAAAACCTGTTGCAAAATAGCGACATATTACTTTGATATTTTCATTTAAAATATATTTAATTTTTGAACGCGTTTTTGGGGCGTTTACCCTGCTGATTTGAATGGCATCTGACTGACTCAACAATAAAAAAGTCGTGGCTATTGTGAAGTTTGTTTTAACACTTTTCGAAAAAGGGAGCAAGGTTAACTCTGTTTACATTTTTGAGCAATCTCTCAGGGCCGTCTTTAAGTTTTTTTTGGCTAGGAGTATGTAACGCCAACTAAATGTTATGCTAACTAAAGAAAATATTGTAGCTTGCTAAAGTGTCCGCAATATGCTAAAAATCTAAAAAGTGAACTTTGATTTGTGATTTTTAAATTACTTGCAAAGTGTATCAGTGCATCTGAACTATGTCCTGTCGTTCGGATATTGATCTGGCCACTCTACATCAGCACCGACTCGAAGAGCGCTGGAACTATGGGCTCGCCTGGTGCGGTGCCCATGGAAGAAGCCAACAGCAGCAACAGTTGACCCACTACAACGAGTTGCTCATCCGTCAGAGCACCAACCAGAATCACCATCAGCGCTTGACCAAGAGTGGAAGCTATTACAAAGTCTCTGATTCCAGCAATTCGAGTAGAATTCTCAGCACGGTTAAGGATAACGTTGCCAAAGATAATCAAAATAAGCCGCTACAGGGATTGGATGACTATAATAATGACTATTTCACATCTACGACACGTCGCAGACGCTCCGGCACTTGGCCGTAAGTAACAAAGACTAAAATCTACCTCCCGAGGCAACAAATCGAGTGTCATATAGATAGGCATAAGCCAGATAAGATTGTTTCGAATTCGCGTTACTGAGGAACTGACCTTCAAAAAGACACGATTAGGCATAAGTAGTATAATATTGAAGAATTGAATCTCGCTTGGCTCGTCCGTGAACTTCACTTAAGCTCAGTTTAGTAGTTGGAAATCTTGAATTACGTTTATAATAAATCTCGGACATAGGATTTCTTAGATTGCGTAAACTGAGTATAAGCCAAGGGCACAAGATCGAAATCAATTGTTGCTGATTGGTGTAATCGAGTTGCTGACGTGTGGGCCGCAAACTTGATTTGGACCTTGCCAGTTGAGTCGTGAATTAATTATTCACCTTAATCTAAATAAGTAATTTAATGCACAGCTTATAAGTGCCTCACTACTTGGCACGTCTCATATCAATTATCAGAAAGTTTAAATATATTGTACCTACCTAACTATCGCGTAATTGATCCTCTTTAAATAAATTTTATAGTCAGCATGATGAATGAGGTTTTGTTATCAGGTGAATACCTAAAATGGGCTTGTTTGTAAACTTCTGTTGATAGTTCAATATAATTATATTGGACACATATTGTACTGGTACAGGGAATACTCTATATTTGTGTTTTTGAATTATTTAAGTTAACACAAACCATAACGTCCTTGACCCTTCTGCTTAGATTCAGATATATCTATAAATATTTGTTTATGAATACTTATCACGGTTTTTCAGACACTTAAAAACGAGTTTGCTAACATCGTGAATACTCAGACATTGTCTATGGTGGCGCCGTTTGTTAATCAAAGCCGATTAGATTAGTATTAAGTATTAACCACTCAAGCCACTATTTGATCTGTGTGTGGGCACCACATACTTTTTATTAATGTTTTTATACCCTGATCCCATTAAAAATGGGAAATCAGGGTATAATGGTTTTGTGCAAATGTATGTAACAGGCAGAAGGAGGCGTGGCAGACCCCATAAAGTATATATATTCTTGATCAGGACGACAAGCCGAGTCGATTGAGCCCTGTCCGTCTGTCTGTCTGTCCGTCTGTCCGTCTGTCCGTCTGTCCGTCTGTCCGTATGTGTGAACGCGTGGATCTCAGCATCTATAAGAGCTAGAGACTTGAAATTTTTTTTGTAGGTCCGTGTATAGCACGCGCAGGTCAAGTTTGTTTCAAATATTCGATAACTATTCGCATTTAATTGTTATCGAATAAAAACATTATTGAAATGCAGTAAATAAATTATATCTCGAACGTCTTAAGAGCTAGAGCCTCCAAATTTTGTATTTAGTGTTATGTATATTTTATGCAATTTTGATTTTTGTTGGATTTTGGATACCGGCTCCAAATTCCCCCAAATTCTTAGAATTTAAGTTTAGTTGGAACTAGGGCCATTATGTGAAGGCGTTTGCATCTCAACCAAGCCAATAGGATATGTAGATCATATGCTGAAAATTTCATTAAAATCCATTAAGTAAAACAGAAGTTATTAAACAAAACGTTTGGCCAATTTCCAAAAGCACATGTCAGCAGCGCCACGCGCACGCATTTTTCCTATGCGTGTGCACACATACATTCAAATGCGTGTATACTTTTCTATTCCAAGAATTGAAATTGCGATTGAATTGTGCTGAATTATTAGCTGCTACTTATGTTCAAATTTGCAACAGCTCGCGTAAGAAGGGCAGTGGCTGCGTTGGTAGAGGCACCTCTCGGATGCAGCTTGGTCCGGGTTCGAGACCAGAGGAGATGAAATGTTTTTTATTGTTTTATATTATTTATTTATTTTTTTTTTTTAGTTATGAAGTGGCGGTGTTGGTAGAGTTTGTGCACGTTGCGCAAATAATCCGGGTTCGAATCCTGGTCTCGCAATGTCGATTTTTATTTGTTTTCTTTTTTTTTTAATACTCGATACAAACTACGGAAAATATTACAAAACTCAAAGGACTGGGATCAGGGTATCTCCTAGTCGGGCACCCCGACTAGAGCTTTCTTACTTGTTCTACTAGCTACTGTCTTTTATTTTTTATTAGCGATTTGTTTTGGAGAACTTTCGAGGCATTGAATGTCAGTCAATACCTATTAATTAATTCCGTGCCAGTTTGTGCGAGGTGCCATTCATAAATAAAAAACCTTATAACAGCTCATGACCAGCGCGCATAGCTGAAATTCAAAAATAAAATCAAAATCAAAATCAAAATCAAAATCAATCTGAGAGACGGGGCTCCAAAGGGGCAACGGGTCAAAAGACTTAACCTTCAATTTGCATGTACGTTCACAGTATATTGAACAAGCGACAGACGGCCCTTCATTAACACCCTGGCGAAATGGCTAGATAGGTTTTAAAAAGTCAATGAGGTGCGCCTTTTGCCTCGTCGCACAGTGGAACAGTGGAACCACACCTGCAAGTGGAAAACAACAAAATAGCTGGAGACACGTTTTCTTAAATTTGCGCTAAAATCGTTGTTGATTTGTTCGTTTTCGTAATGCCCGTTCGTGAAGTGAAAAGAGTATATCCATTTTGTGCAATGTCTGTCGTCCGTCTTTATAAATGCAAAGCATTTCGCCTGTTTTAAAGGCAACATATACTCGTTGGTAGCCTCAGTTAATAAGGTACTGACATTTTCTGTGTGCACCCACAAGGGCCGCGGCACCTACTATATCTCAAGAAGCATAGTATTTAATATTTAAGATGTTATTGTCGCTAGAGACGCTTGAGTGTCAGAATGTAGATAACCCTCGACTAGTTGAAGTGGATCATTGTTGACTTCTTCTACAGATAATTGTAAAAAATTTGTGGTCCTCCTGTTTGGGTGTGGCAAATCCGGGAGTGCTCATTATTTTATTCCAGCTTTTAGACGTGCACGAGTTTATGCAGTCGGTCGCACCCAACTGTTTTTATTTTCTTTTATTGACAATATTCTGAATATCTTATCCATTGAAATAAAAAGTAGCAACGTCACAGTGATCGACATCGCTATCAGTTTCAAGCAGCCTAGCCTTGTCTTCAATTAGTCTGCTATTGTTTATTGATACGCTGTGAGCTTTATTGCCCATGTGGGCAGACACGCAAAATTAAAAAACATTTGTAAGTATCGGTTGTAAATTAGGAATATAACACTAACGGGGTGTAAAAGCCTGATCTGATCACAAATATATAGCCTTTCATTGCGCATGGGATTCGGAGTACAACAGGCAGAGCTTAATGGAAGAATACCACATTGCCGACACCCAAACCTAACTGAGTAACCCCACGTAGCAATAACAAATTTCATTGGTCCAATTCTTCTCTCTTTCTCGTTCTCTCTCTGTCCCTCTCTCTCTCTCGTTATCCCTCTCTCTCTCTCGTTATCTCTCTCTCTCTCTCGTCCTCTCTCTCTCTCTCTCGTCCTCTCTCTCTCTCTCTCGTCCTCTCTCTCTCTCTCTCTCTTTTTCGTTCTCTCTCTCTCTCTCTCTCTCTCGTTCTCTCTCTCTCTTTCTCTCTCGTTCTCTCTCTCTCTCTCTCTCTCTCTTTCTCTCTCTCTCTTTCTCTCTCTCTCTCTCTCTCTCTCTCTCTCTCACATTCTCTCTATCTCTCTAATTCTCACTCCTACTCTTACTCTCACTCTCGCAATCTCAGTCTCATTCGCACTTTCACTCTCTCGTGCTTGTCTCTCTCTCTCTCCCTCTCTCTTTCGCTTTTGTTCTCTGTTTCTCTTGTTCGCTCTCTCTCTCTCTTTATTTTTCCTTCTCACAGCTCTCAGCTCCTCCTTTCTCTTTCTTTCTCTCCATCTATATATAAAAATATATATTTCTCTCTGTCGCTCTATATATAACCTACACAAAAACCTGACACTTCGCCGCTAACTCAATTTGTTTAACGGAAGTATTATCCACAATGAAGCAAACCTTGCACTCACCAAGTTTTTCGCCTTTATGCCGCATTTACGTTGTGCGACGTTTTCTCTGACTGGAGGCCTATTCCTCTCTCTTACTCTATCTTGGCAACGACCGTGCAGCTCCCGTGGTTACGATTTTGAGGCTAAACGAGTTTCTCAACGTGTTGCTGTAACGAAAAAATTCGTTATTCTCAGAAATGTTTTGGTCTGTCAGTGATTTTGTAACCTTCGAACGATTCGCACAACAGAGCGAGCAAAGCAACGAAATCTCCAACCAGTTTCTTTGTACTTAAGAGCAGTTATTTTACAACGACAATAAATCTTTGCTAAGCTCTCTGTGATGTGGTTTTAAAATCCAAGAAAAATTAGTTGGATTAGTAAATATGCAACATCAGAAATTGTGTCTGGCATTGCAGCCTTGTAGCCTTGTTTCTAAACATATAAGCCAAGATCAGGGTCAGGATATTGAGTCGGACCAAGATTCGTCTAAATTTGAGGCGCGCACTTTGAGGTTTACTTGAAATTCATAAATATTTTTTGATCTGAGCTTCAATTTACCATGTTTTCTTTTTGAAACATGTATTTCAGGCGCACGCGTAGCCTAAACGCACCTTCGCCATTCCAGCAATTCGGGCCATGCGGGCGCATTATGAAGAACTCTGCAATGGTAATGCAAATCCAAGATCCCGCCAGTCAGCGCCTGACCTGGTATAAGCCACCATTAACTGTGCTCGTAATCAAGAAGAAGGACTCCCAAGTGTTGCTACCATTTGTGCAGTTAGTTGAATGGCTGGTCCAAGAGAAAAATATGGTCGTGTGGGTGGAGTCCGCAGTGCTGGAGGACAAGTTGCTGCGCGACGATGTCCGACTGGAGCAGGAGAGTGCAAAATTTCGGATGGTTCATGAGTATTACACTGGAGTGCGTTCTCGTTTCCTGGCGCTGCGAGAGAAGCTAGTAACCTTCAAGTGAGTACGAATGCTGAATATGTCAATTAGAATATAATCAATTTTATGATTATATTAACAATCTTTGGGTTTTTGCTACAGAGATGGCCGCGATGATCTCACCGATCGCATTGATTTTATTGTCTGTCTTGGAGGCGATGGCACGTTACTGTATGCCTCGCAATTATTCCAGCAATCGGTGCCACCTGTTATGGCCTTCTATCTGGGCTCTTTGGGCTTTCTGACACCGTTTCAGTGTGACAACTTTCAGGAGCAAGTGACCAATGTGTTGGAAGGTCATGCCGCACTCACACTGCGAAGTCGGCTGCGCTGTTCGATCCATCGCAAAGGCGACCGTCGCAGGGAGTCCCTGCAGCAAGCTAGTAATCTCTTGAAGCCCCATTTCCAGCGACAATCGAATTTTGGCGACGCAGGTAACCCAAAGGCCTGCAACAACAACTGTAGTCCCTCCTCAGCACAAGGTGCGGGTGGTCACAGCAGCATTCTGGTGTTAAACGAGGTGGTCATTAATCGTGGCCCATCCCCCTATCTGAGCAACATTGATATTTTCTTGGACGGCAAGTACATTACATCTGTGCAGGGAGATGGATTGATTGTGTCTACGCCAACGGGCAGTACAGCTTATGCGGCAGCTGCTGGTGCGTCTATGATCCATCCATCCGTGCCCGCTATACTAGTAACGCCCATCTGTCCGCATTCACTAAGTTTTAGGCCAATTGTAATCCCAGCCGGTGTGGAGCTGAAGGTAAGACAATTACGTTGATTATGGTATTCTTAAATCTTAAAATTGCTTTTGGCTTCCTAGATATCAATATCGCCGGATAGTAGGAATACGTCACGCGTATCTTTCGACGGGCGAAATGATCAAGAATTAAATCATGGTGATAGCCTGCGAGTGACAACCTCTATTTATCCTGTACCGAGCATTTGTGCCCAGGATCAAATATCCGACTGGTTCGACTCACTGGCCGAGGGCCTACATTGGAATGTGCGTAAACGCCAAAAGTGTCTTGATGAACTCTCGGATTTGACGGCATCCGGATCGGAAGACACGCTTGACGAATTCGACAGCCTGAAGATACACGACGCGTAGTGCTCAACCACAATATATATGCATTAACTGTTGCCAATTGTAGTGGTAAATTAGTTTATAAAGTTTGCTCGTGTGAAATTTGTCAACATATAAAACTATCTAATTAAATAATACTCCGGTCTATTGTACAATATACAGATATATAAATATTTGGTTGAGTTTACATTATATAGCTTCGTTTATATCTAAACAATTTAATATTGCTTCAGAACAAATAAATTTAAGTATAGATATTAAGATAAAATTCATGTGAAAGTGTGCCGCAAATATGTTAAAATTGTGCGTGTATATTTTATAATAGTAAAAATTGTTTTATTTTCTTAAACACCACAAAATATTCATTTTATTTACTGTTGTATCTGGTATTCTATATGAAAACTCTGTTCAATTAATTTATTAGCGCTTAGGATTGTGGAATCGTCTAGGAAACATAAGCAAAACCTTCATTTGCTTTAAAGTAAAGTTGTTAAATGTAATTAGACAATGTAATTAAGTGAAGTAAAAATCATTGTAAACCGTTTTGACCGTCGACCTATTTAAGCGTGACAACATGTTTCAGGATTATTATATTCAAATACAATAATAGGGAGAAGAATGCAGTTTATTTTGAGGACTTATTCTTGGGATCATCAAGTAGGATAATTATGAAAGATTATATGTTAGCCTGTCATTTGCTCTTTATTTTTGATGCTTCAAGCTACAAATCATGCAATAAATTAAAAGAATGTCACAAGTTGGCTGAGAGACTAAAATAATAAAAGGATTACAGAGACCATAAATGGTGGCAGAATTATTTCATGGATTATGCATTATGACTGCTACGTGCTGGAAGCGATAAAGTATTTTCACACACATACTACATATGCCCTAGTATAACAGGCATCCAGATGCTGCAGCTACTCCTCCTCTTTTCTGCTTCATTTCCGAGTTGTAGCAACAAGTGGGACGCAGCATCCTCCTGCTTCGGCTACTCTTATCTGACTGGCGGATATAAATATTGCGTAATATCCGGCAGTAACGATTGGTGCAACTCTCTCGAACGTAACGCCCACGCACTTTCACTGCGCAGGCTTCAAATTGAATGTGCGTCGTGAACGCCACACAAATGCTAGCATGCGTATATTTATGTCAAGGCTTTTTATATAATATGTAGTTTAAAAAAATATATAAATATGTATATTTGTATTTATGTATATTAATGCATATATTTATATATATACATATCAATACATACACAAAATATGAATATTGTTATTATTGCACTTAATTAAAGTTAATCGATATTATATACGAAAGACTTACTAGACAACCAGCATATATCTCAGAAAATAATTGAATTTACTGGCATAAACAGGCATACATTAGGAAGTCGTGTAGCTGGACTTAAGAAATATGATAAAGTTGATAACGATAATAATATGAAATATGTTTGGAATTTCTTAATGAAATTTGTCGGCTTATTTCTGCTAGAAGGTTAAGACAAATAGTATAAAAAAAATGATGAAGAGCATACGAAAGAGGGAACTTAACTTGACTTGCCATAATATTCGAAGCTGCCAAGTGGCACGTGCTGATATTTCAATTGAATGCCGCAAAATATTTGTGGCAGACACCCCCGTAAGGCTAAAAAGGCATCCGAGCTAAATGAAAAATATTTTCCTGCACCGCGTACCCCACTTGACATCTAAACTTCGGCTGTGGCCTGTTTAGAGCAAAGGCGCACAAACGCTTCTCCGATAGTATTCCAAATGCTGATGACAGTTGAAGTTTGCGCTCTTTGTGTGTTGATGACTGCCTGAATGGCTGACTGGTTGACTAGCTGGAGGGCTTCGCTAGTCAGTCTTGGAGGTGGAGCTGCATTTCAAACAAATTGCTCGTCCCGTTGCTGAATTAAAAGGAAATTAAACATTTTCACTCGAATTTGCTTTTGCATCGTTCTGACAAAAGTTGACCACCATAAATATATTATCACTCGTATGTGAGTGACCCGCATGGTTTCACTTTAATTCTACAAATCTGATTAAGCCCAGTTGGAAAGCTGACGACTGGACTGAAATTTTCAATTGAACTAATGCGGCTCAAAATATTGAAATTTAAAGCACATTCGCTTGAAGCTCCCTGAAGTTATTCCTCCACTCTATGCCTTAGTACTTATGCTTCTGTTATTCTTATTGAATCCCAATCTGATATTCCTACCACTCACACACGTATTATTTAATGTGCATCACTCATGTTTGATTTCTAGTCCATTAACTTTGAAGTTATTTTGGCGACGTTTCTTTAACACTTCAACGGCATTTGGGCCTTTTGACTTTTATTCTTTTGGTTCGATAAGTATTGTTGCCTTTTACACCATTTGGTCCACTTTTTGCTCATCTAAGTTCTCTTAAGTGCCTATTACTGAAAAAAAAATAAAGGCTACTCAATAAATTTCTTGGATTCAAAATGTTCTATTGTCCCAACCAAAAGGTAATGTTTGCTATCAATGTTGCAATGTAATTACTGTTTTATGGAATATTACACCCATTTAATATTGTACTATTGTTACGTAGTCGTCGTACCATCGACATATAGTCATTGTACCATATAATATTGGCCCATCCAAATAAAATAATGGATGGTATCATATGATGTGGTACCATCGAAATGGATATGGTGGCATATAATGTTGCTCTATCCAAGAGCAAACGTTTATTGTAACGTCCAAGTGAAAGCCTTGGCCCATGTACTATTTCGGCATCTAAATCTTGCATGACTGAACATAGAATAGTCTTAATTAGATGACGACTTTGATCTGCGAGTCTTTATTCAAAAGCCGAGTCACTTGTTTATTTCCTGTCTGGCTAATTGCATAAATTTGCAGTTTAGCGGCTGATCAATTATATTTCCCATATATACATTTACTTGTTGAGCTGACCCACTTTAAAGCATTCTTATCTTTAATGTGAAGGAATACGGCCAGAAATTAGCGCAATCTTCGAAATAACACGTTCTTTTGTTCGAGGGCCGGCACGGTTGACACCTGTTAAGCTTTGGTGAAAAACGAAATATAAAAACGGACCATTTCAGAGTTAACATATTGTATAAGTTTGTCAATCTTCGGTTGCTGCAGTTAAAATTACGATATGTATTTAATTTATAATAGACAAGTTTTATGAGCTGAAATAATGTTGGTCTATGTGGTAATAGAACATCTACTTAACTTCAAGCAAAAGGCTGAATCGACGCAGGTTTAATTATTCTTAACGTGCTGATCCCTGAGCTTTCCACCTTACATATGTATGTGTGTACATACACACATATACATACGTACCAATTGCATACTTACAGGAGCATAACGGAATCGACAGTGAAAATAGAATCAAATCGCACATACACACACAGCTTGCTCTGCCTCTCAGCATACGCACACACTCACACACACACAATGAAGGCAATTGAGCAGAATCATTGCCGTTGGCAGTTTTCTTCAGAATGATTCAAGAGGAAGGCGGGCACTTCAACAGGCGACAACAACAACAACAGTAAACGAAAGCAACAACGACGACGACATCGACGTCGTCGCTTCGCACACAACAAGTGGCAGCGAATACAACCACAGATTTTGCTTCTGCTTCTGCTTCTGCTTTTGGCTCTGCTGCGGCTGCGGCTGCTGCCCTTTTACATGGCATTCCACATCCTGACGCAGCAAAGGCGCTATGTGCGCGCCTCATGCGCTGCTCTCAGCTGTGTTTCAGTGCGAGATGAATTCTCGTGGCTGATGGACGTGCGTTCGTGACCACGCTTTCAGTGCAGCAACCGCCAGACACTTGTTGTATTGCACTTTAATAGTATTTATTAGACGGTGCTTTGAGACACTTTTCTTTTTTGTCTATTAGAAAATGTAGTTTTATAAACGGCTTATCAAGTACAATACAACACAAATTAAAGTTAAAATACAAAACTAGAAAATATGTGATTGCAAAATAAAGAAACGGATGTAAGTTAATAATTCCATTTACACAATTACTAAATAAATTATTCAAACACTTATAAATACTCCACCAGTTATAATTTCATTAAATATCTCTTCTACTTTTATAATATAGTTTTGTCTGTTGGGGCCAATCAGAATTTTATTGCAATCTAAATTGCAACATCAATATTTTCAAAGTGTATTTATTTTGTAAAATCAGTATATAATCAATATAAGTCCTACCTATCAGTCCCCAATCCGAGAGACTGCACAAAATGTGAACGAAATTGTGTCCCCAACCTTTATGTTTGCTTTGTGTCCCTGGGGCTTGGCTCTCAAATACATTTTTGTATATCAATTTATTTGCATTGAAAAATAAAAATATGAAATGGGCTTTTTGTGTGCCTATGCATTTATGAAATACCCTGTTCAAAGTTAGTGACTCAGGCCTTAAGTATTTAAGTGTAGATCAAAACATAATTTAATATTTATTGTTACCAATTGCAGAATCTGCAGAAATACTTCAACAGTAATAGCCCAGATATTGGTACAGTATCAACAGCTCTATTCCATTCTTAAAGCTGTAGCATCAACTCAGCGACTCAAGAAATACCAACAAATTAAATAAATTAATCAACAGGTAACTTCTACTGCTCTCCCTTTGAATTAGTTACCCTTCCACAAAAGCCATTCGAAAAATAGCTATTTCAGGATTTGAAAGAGACTGTAAGATAATCAGTCGGAACCTGAAACCACCCAGGTAAGTAATTAATATGATTTTAACATATATAAATTCTAAGTATATATAAATTGCTTAGAATATAAAAAAAACAAGTAAGAAAGCTCTAGTCGGGGTGCCCGACTAGGAGATACCCTGATCCCAGTCCTTTGAGTTTTGTAATATTTTCCGTAGTTTGTATCGAGTATTAAAAAAAAAAGAAAACAAATAAAAATCGACATTGCGAGACCAGGATTCGAACCCGGATTATTTGCGCAACGTGCACAAACTCTACCAACACCGCCACTTCATAACTAAAAAAAAAAAATAAATAAATAATATAAAACAATAAAAAACATTTCATCTCCTCTGGTCTCGAACCCGGACCAAGCTGCATCCGAGAGGTGCCTCTACCAACGCAGCCACTGCCCTTCTTACGCGAGCTGTTGCAAATTTGAACATAAGTAGCAGCTAATAATTCAGCACAATTCAATCGCAATTTCAATTCTTGGAATAGAAAAGTATACACGCATTTGAATGTATGTGTGCACACGCATAGGAAAAATGCGTGCGCGTGGCGCTGCTGACATGTGCTTTTGGAAATTGGCCAAACGTTTTGTTTAATAACTTCTGTTTTACTTAATGGATTTTAATGAAATTTTCAGCATATGATCTACATATCCTATTGGCTTGGTTGAGATGCAAACGCCTTCACATAATGGCCCTAGTTCCAACTAAACTTAAATTCTAAGAATTTGGGGGAATTTGGAGCCGGTATCCAAAATCCAACAAAAATCAAAATTGCATAAAATATACATAACACTAAATACAAAATTTGGAGGCTCTAGCTCTTAAGACGTTCGAGATATAATTTATTTACTGCATTTCAATAATGTTTTTATTCGATAACAATTAAATGCGAATAGTTATCGAATATTTGAAACAAACTTGACCTGCGCGTGCTATACACGGACCTACAAAAAAAATTTCAAGTCTCTAGCTCTTATAGATGCTGAGATCCACGCGTTCACACATACGGACAGACGGACAGACGGACAGACGGACAGACGGACAGACGGACAGACGGACAGACAGACAGACGGACAGGGCTCAATCGACTCGGCTTGTCGTCCTGATCAAGAATATATATACTTTATGGGGTCTGCCACGCCTCCTTCTGCCTGTTACATACATTTGCACAAAACCATTATACCCTGATTTCCCATTTTTAATGGGATCAGGGTATAAAAACAAAGTGAGCCAGTTATTCCCTAAAGTACATGCTTAATTAGCAAATGTTCAGGTGCAATTATTGCTTATACATAAAAACTTTGTACTAGCTCTACACTTACATATATATATATATATATATATATATATATATATATATATATATATATATATATATATATACGACGCATTTCAATGTCGTAGACGAGCACAGGTTGGTTGGTTTTTAATTCAAGTTTATTTGAAAAATCTGAAAAATGTTCACAATTTAAATAAAGTTGCGTGTTAGAGCTCAGAAAGTCAGATGACGAGCTAGGCTTTATGCAATTAACACAAGTTATACGCTATGTCTACAATATCCACATACATCAAATCTGAGATCTTATAGAAACACTAAGCTCTACACTCACTTCTCAATTTTGATTATGAAAATGGCTTTGGTCAATTGGAATGAATTATTTTGTATTTAAAATAAATACATCGTTTCAATACATCGGTAGAGAAACCTTTGCTAAGAGACAGTATTCGACAGACATATTCGAAATATATGAAACAGGCCGAAGGCAGTGTGTTACATAATTCAAGTAAATGTATTTATACTTGATCTATGTTTTTTTTTTTATTAGCGTTATCCTCAATTCGTCAGAAGTATACAGAACGATTCCATATTCGTTCACTTTTGGATCCCTTTCCCATTCTATACTATTGAAACAGATTTTCGAACAGGGCATTTCTTAGTCGGGCACTCTCAAATAGAACACTGCTTGTTTTCTCATCAACCTCTGAGTTGTGAGCATTGTATAAATAAAATATTATTTACAATTGAAATTGATGAATCAAAATAAGGTTGTCGGCGTTATATCTATACATGCCTCTTGTCCTTGTATCACAGATTTCTGAACACGAGTTCTAAAACTTCTCAAATCTGCATACATTTTTATAGCGATACTGGATTTAATATTTTTCCCACGCTTAGAAGAGAATCGCATGCCCATTGCTAATAAATATTTACAAAAAAATTAATATAAGACACTTTCAAATTGCATTCACTTAAAAATCCGCGGGCTGTCTGAAAAATCAACGACAAACACGCGCGAAAATCTAAAACACAATTAAAACATAAAACAAAAAGTAAATAATAGTAACAAAAACAAAACTAAAAATCATTAAAATAGCGCCAAGCGACACGCCAACGAATTTAGTTTAAGTTCAGAGCCCCGACTTGTCGGTAGAATCACAATCTGTAAAGATCACATCGCAGTCCCGATTAAAAGAGAAATTCATCCACATAAAAACTTAAATATCTAATATAAGATGTTTATGTTTAGCAAAAATTAATATACGCACAGTGGAAAAAAGCTTAAGCATCAGTATAAGATAACATACAAGTAAAATCTTTTCGGTAAGAAAACCTTGCAGTTCTATGTCCATTATGGAATACATAAAGTTTGTAAATGACTAAAGGAAACCCCATGTGTGTTAGCCATTACTATCATAAGATAGTTAAGTAAAGCTTTACGTGACGTAAAATTATATTAATACTCATCATTATACAATTTAAAAATACATATATATGTAGCAGAAATATATAAGAGCAACAACATGGATTCCCTTGCAAAAAAATATTAACTATATAAAATTTAAGGAATAGTCTATTACAGGTATTTTTGAGTTTGGTTTGTTGTTTTTGGAAGAGAGTTAATTTGAACTCTGAGAAGGGACTAATCAGAAGTAACTGTGATCTTAAAATTCATGGCTGCAATTTGGTGGTAGTTTTTTTTATTTGACAATATGTATATGTTTACATAATTGAATTAATTCAGTAAATAAGAGAGCATTTAACTTCAAGCAATTTGAGTGCAGCCGCCGAGCAGCCGAAATCATCTTCCATCTTGCTCTCAATTATGGCAGCGTTTTGATTTAATTGACTGCAAGCTAATTCAATTTTAGGAAAGTCGCACCCAGCACTTAACTCTGTTAAATGACGAATTTTGAATTTGGCAAAGGAGACCTAAAAAGAGAAAACTGCTTTCCTTCATCAACAAAGGCGCTTTACCCTCGAGGGCGTGTGCGTGAGTGTGAGTGTGTGTGTGCAAGTGGGTGTGGGTCTGTAGGCCCTGGCTGTTGAGTCTATATGTGATGTCTTCTAAACGAATTAGATGCTGAATTCAATTTGAATTAGAACTTGAATTTGCGACGCGCAACGTGCAACGCGCTACTTATTACAAAAAGTTAGAAAATTTGAGAATCGAATTTGAAATTTGCGATGTTCCTTCAAGAAAATTAAATAAATATTTAAATGTGGGCACATTGTCTTGGGAATGCATAGCAACAATTATATTTGAATCATTGTGTACAATTTCCAGCACTGTGGAAATCATTTTTAATTCGCCCGACTGCTGCGCAATAATTAAATTATAATAAAAGAAACAAAACAAAATCCGAGCCATATAATTTATTTTTAATTAGTGAAAATCATTGGGGTGGAACACAACACAAGCAAAGAAAACTAATACGTATCCCAAGCAGCTTACATTTCTGATTACATTTTAAAGACAATCCTCTTATATGCGAATCTGATAAGACGTAATGTTTCTCTTCGCTTACCCTAGCAATAAGCGGCTAGCGACGCAATGCAATCATCGACTGATGCGGGCAATAATGGCACACGCAAATACCCAGCACAGCAGCAGCATAACCAGACACAATCAACAACAGGAGCAGGGGCGGGAGCACGAGAAGGAGCAGGAGCAACAGCATCAGCAGCGGAAGGAGATGGCACCAATCAAACGACATCCTTTACCATAAATGACAACAGTCAGCCAGCCAGTCAGGCGAGCAAAAATCCCTTCAAGCAACAGTTGGACAGTTATCAACAGAATGGCAACATGGACACAGAGTGCGGCATTATGGGCACTGGTGGAGCAGCTGCTAAGGAGGCCCAGGAACAATCTTATGGAACACGCAAACTAGCAGGTGGTCAGTCTCCGCCACCGCCGGACCAATATAGACAGGAAGATCCACGTGCAGCTGGTACTTGGTCTGCTGCCAAGTCATGGATGGTCAGCTGGCGTGGCTCCAACCGCCTCGTCCTGGTCATCGTTGCTATAGCTCTGCTGCTGGATAACATGCTACTCACAACTGTAGGTAAGTCGACTAATATATGTGAATGTGAGATTTCTTAAATATAAATTGCAAAGCTGGCAGATTTCTGCAGGCCATTAGCATTTCATGGCCATTTATCTTGGCAGCCACTTGACAATGCAGCGCAATCACCTGGAAATTATTCATTTCCATTCCGTGATAGGTTTTTAGCTCCGCTTTAGCCATAAAATTACCACAATGCACCACTTAAGCTAATGAATCTCCATGGCGTCAGCCATTCAACAAGCATTCCGTCTTCAGTTCATCAATTCAGCTGTCATCAAATGTTGTTGAGTGATGCCAAGGGATTTTGATTAGCACTTGGGATTTGGTGTTATATATCTCTCGTTCTCTGAAATTTATACAAATATACTTTAATCAATTATTTTGATATTCATAATTGAAAGGACTCACTATTGACAACGGTTATTTTCAAACTCTAAAAGTTCTGGCACGATCTATCGATACATATATGTACAATATAATATATATCGAATTCAATTTCATGCAGCTCCACACTAATTCAGCAAAATAAACTCTCCAACCGCAGCCAAAAACAAAAACAACAACAGCAGCAACTAATCAATTGTTCGAGTACCATTACTCGACACCATGTGCGTTGCTCGTCACTATTAAATACCGACACAGACAGAGAAGGATTGGGATTGGGATTGGGATTGGTATTGGGATTGGTATTGGTATTGGTATTGGGAGAGTGGTGGGTGGTGGAGAGTGGTGGGATAAACCAGAAAGGGGAAGGGACACTTAAAGTGCGGACAGTCAATTAAATAGACACGCGACCACAGCTACATCTGCGTGTGACACTAAACCTACCATGGGGACGGCCGCTGGTGGGCAACGGACAGCGGACAACGAACAGCGAACAATCCAAGTGCTTATGTCAAGTGTCTGGACAAACACATGGACATCGAGTGGACGATGGGCGATGGACGATGGTCTGGGCCGTGTTTGCTGCGCCTGACAACACAAAAAGCGATTGAAGTTCCGTATTTTTCTTTGTGTTAAATGTTCATGAATTTATATCAACAAGTAGGGGTTGGCAGCCAGCCGAAGACAAATAGCTAGACGAATGCGGCACTTAAGCAACTTGTTGATAGATACGGAAGTAAGAGTCAAAGCAAAAGTAGAAAAATGTTCAGAGAGTGCACAAAAGTCACAAAAGTAAATTGACTCAACCCCTCAGCTGTGAGTCCATAGCTCGTGCTCTTCTCGGCTATTCTCCCCTCTCCTATCCTATCCACTTCTAGTTCCCGTCCGCATGTCCTTACAGTTACAGCAAATCAAAGTTAGCTCTGAATGTTGGATGGCAAGGGGTGAACGGTTAAGTTGAGTGCTGGATTAGGGGAAAGGCAGAATGGAGAAGGTTACGGCAAATATGCTTTTAGCGTTTGACTTGAGGCATTTCCACTTAAGTGCTTTCACTTTGCCGTTAAAGGTGTCGGAGTGAAAATTGCGAGAAATACACGGTTATTACATTTGATCTTCGGCAATGAGCATAAAATTCTCATAAATTTGATTAAGCTGCGAAAAGGACTTCCCGAAAGACATGACTCCTTGCGAGAACGTGATTAGGCAAGCTCCTTGATTTATGCTCAGGTCAGTGAGAGTGTTATCTGCAAGTGGCTTACTGTATAAGTGAGAACAACTGAGAATAGAATAGATGACTGTGCTAGACACTGAGATACCACGTACGTGGTGCACAACCACCAAACCACCTTCATACTTTCTGTATGTACAAAATATTTTATTGCTTATGTATATGGTTACATACGGCATCAGGAACAGCAAAAATTAATTCTAAGCGTTTTTCATTCTTAATTACAAAATGTATAAGGAAGCTAGGCGACGATGTAAATAGTAATTATTTTTTAAATTTCACAATCTGGGATTAAGTCAATCCAAGATCCGCAATTCATCCAAGAGCGAAAACAATGTCGTTCGTCTCCAATACAAATCATCGTTAATCTTGGCTTGTTTTGTTCACGAAATTGAAGTTCTCTAAGCAATCTTCTGATCGATGTTTGGTGGGCGTAGTACCCAATGAACGTACCTTTAAAGAACTTTCGCTACTCCCTGGCATTGGATCGAGCAAATCATAAGAGCAGTCGGATTCGGTTCTTGTGATAGAAGCACTGCGTGCAAAAGGAAAATAGTCATTTATCTGACGCTCCATAGCAATCTTATTAATGGTAGTCTCCCATATTTGGTTTTGTATTATGTTGCTGTAGCGCGCCTCGAAACTATGCTGATGGCGCAACAGAGTCGCTGTATTACGCGAACTCTTGTTTTGTTCCAATGGTGGCGTCTCGCTGCTCTGCTCTACTCCATTCCGTTGGCTGGGTGCGGACGTCCTGCCCGAAGGATCTTCATCAGTCGACATCTGTCAGTCGTACTAATTACCGGAAAATTAAACGCAAAAACAATATTCGCTAATCAGAATAGGATTTGCTACCCTTGACGAGCCGAGCAAAGTCTTGCAACTTGCCTTGTCCGCTTCAGAAATGCGAATAAGTCACGGTATGTGACTAAGTCGACATTCATGCTGTTCAGCGTGTTTTGTTGCGCATTTTCCTTACCCGACTTCTAAAAACTCAAATGTCAGGCACAAAGTTTTTTTAGCTGTGTTATAATTGCAAGCGTGCCTTTTGTCTTTTGGTGCTTTGTCGGGAAAAGTTTTGCGAGGTCTTTAGGGTATGAAACGATACGTCCGCCTCCGTCGACAGTGTCTATATGGTGACAGGACATCCCCCTCACAATGCTGATGTGGTAAACTTATTTCACGATTTTCCACCTTGTGGCAAAGGTGAAGCGCAGGTGTGCTAGGTGTCGCTCGTGCCCTTGCAAACGTTCGTCGAGCCAACATTATCTTACTCCTAACTTGTACATTTCGCCTTTAGTTGGCAGTTGGCAGTTGGCAGTTGGCAAATGCGGCCCCATTATAAAAGTCTAGCATATTTATATTATGTCAATAATTGATTTATGACTATTTGCGCGTCGCCCTTTAATACATTAGATCACCTATTGTAATATAAAACAAGTAATAAAGGTCTAGTAGTGAATGCCCGAGTAGATGATATCCTACGCCTATTTTATACACACATACTTAATAATATTCAGACTTTTGTAATGACATCCAAATGGGTGCAATTGGAAAACACGAGTTTCTAATATTTGAAATTTTTTTTTGCGTATTTAGGTCAAAGGGCGATACAAAAAAAAACATAGAGAAAAGTCGATGTTTCCATCTTTTGTGGTATTTAAATGGCGCTTAAAAATGAAATTAAACTATTTTTATTGATAATAATTTGTACTGATCAAGCATATCTATGTTTTATATATTTTCACAAAGTCATGTTACTCTGGATTCCGATTTTTAATGATTCTAGGGTATGAGAAGCTCATTAAAAAGTAATTAAACAACAGATAGATAGGACATATAGAACAAAATAAGCTTCGTATTTCAAAGTTGAGAAAACTTAAATATTGAAAAATGCCAATAGCCTGCGGAAAATATTCCATTCCTTCGGGGTATCTTAGGACTCGCTTACTGCGCAAAAACCTTTTAATTTCATTTTCTAATTTTCATGATTGAGTCTGCTGAAACATAACTACTTTTGTAGTGTGGCTCCAAAAGTTCAAGATAGTTTTCTTCAATCAGCAAGAGATATATATGTATGAGTAATTGTAGGTAAATCAGTACGGGAGATTCATTAACTTCATTTTTGTTACTAACTGAAGAAACAGTTAAATATATAGCTCGCCCAGAAGTAGATATCTACCATATATTTTCGGTCCTAGTCTGTTTGTACTAGCGTGGACATGTCTCCAAATATATAATAATAATATACAGATATAATATTTCCCGACATAATACAACCCTAGTGAGCGTATCCGTGTCTTAAATGTGGTTTGAAACATGAATACCTGAATAGATTATCATGTTCGACGTCATTTCATATAAAACCGAGTACAGCTTACTCATTGGCAAGACGAAAATAGCATAACAAAACTCTTGTGTTACGGAAAAGTTAGACTAGGTTAAAAATAGCCCTGTCTTGGCAAGGAAATAATAAGTCAACAAAGTCAAAGGCTTCGTTTGTTTGTTATTCACAAAGCCTTGACATACGACTGTGCCTTTGGTTGCTACTAATTACGTAAGCAATTAAAGTAGTATGCACGGATATCCTTAGTATATATCTTACATACATGTACTGGGATTGGGAATACTCTGCAAACGTTGGTGACAGTTAAAAGTCGAGTTTATTAAGAATGGAGAATCAAATCGCAATCAGTGTTTAACAATATAATTCACTTAAGCTTGCGCTAAGTGTATCCTCATTACTTGCCGGTGCGGCCAGGAGCAAACCCTTCTTTGGCAAACTTGGCATGAAGATGTGCAACTGCTTACGACTGTCGTGTTGACTGGCGTTCAAGCCCCGACTGCTGTGGGGGGGCGTACGCGTGTCCTCCATGGCAGGTGCTAGACCAGCACCGTTATATAATCTCGCCGCTGACAATTGGCCGGCCATGCGACGCGTCGTGCTGGCGCTTTTGCTTAGCGCACAGAGATCAATGTTGCGCGGCGGACGATTAAAGCGTACGGGCACGCCCTCTTTGTTAAAAACGATGGTAATGGGCTTGGCATTAGAAGAGCTGGGACAGTAATTAATCAGTGCGTGCTTTGTTGCCGAAGGTTTCCTATGACTTTCCCGCTGTGCAACATTGCGTTTCAGACCCATTGCTCGATGGCTTTGCCGATTAATCCGTTGACTGCTTGGAAGCACCGCACTGTTGCTGATGCTACTGCCGGGCAATGGCGTCGAACTCTTTACAATATCTGTTCTACCTGCCAGATCCAGCCAATTGATAACACGTTCCGCTAGACGATCCTCTGGATTGGCAGGATGAGTAATTGCATGCAACGAATCCTGAAGTGAGCTATGGCGTGAATGCAAATTCGTATTATGATCTGTCAGATGGTTAAGCTGATAGCCCTTGCCGTTGCTTAGCAGCCAGGCACGTCGCTTGGCATGACGTCTGCTGTGCAGCGCACTGAATGCAGCCTGAACTTTGTTAGTCATTGCGACTGGCGCTTGACCTGCTTGCTGCTGGTGCTGCAACGTAAGTTTAGTGGCGTCTAGTAGGAGGTATTCATCCATGGCATAATCAGCACCATCTTCTTGTGCCGCTGGCTTTCCGTGAAAATCGCTTAAGTCACTTTCATAACTGAAGCCTATCCGTTGCGGATTAGCTCCATTAATGTTTGGTTCGATGCTTTTTCGGTTCACTTACCACTTCGTTTTGGATTTTGTCGTTGTCGCTCGCGCGGCTCATAGTCGAGTATAAAATGGCGTCGGTGGCTGCGCCCCTTCTCTCCGATCCTCTCTAGCCAAACGGAACGCACAAACAGTGGTCGACTGGCCGACTCCCAAATGGATCGCGCTGGCTCTCTCATAGCATACCGCTTTGCATTCCTTCTGCATGAACTAAAATCCTTACCTACTTAGTAATTAAATAAAGGTCCTAAGAAATGCTCGATTTTGTCCTCGCTGTCGCTGCCGTGTACCTGCCTAAACTGCCAGTTGTTGTCTCACTGCAGCCGCGGTTGCTGTCACAGTTGCTGTCGCTGTCGCTGTCGCTGTTTACTTGGCGACGCCGGCGCCAAAAAGTTTCCTGTCACTAGGGATGGTCGAGAGTCACGGAATGATTAATCTTTAGAATAATTTACACTGCATTTTTATATGTGGGGATTGAGGATCTAAATAGCGTTCGAAACATAAATGATTTATACTGCGCACTATATTATCAGCGATCATATAACTTCTTTAATTGCAGAAAACCAACAGTATCACCTGTGATATATATGTAAACCTCATTTCAAGTACTCCATATTCAAGTCTGTAAATGGCATTTCTGTATTTCCCGTATCATTCAAATCTTAACACTTATTATAAATTTAATGTCTGTAGTTTTAACCACTGTGAAACAGATTGCGTTCATACGGACAGGCGGACCTTGCACAAATCTTTCTTTTTCTTTTCACATAGTGAACGAGTTGAATCAGTCAGATCGTTACTTTTGGCCCAGTCACTGTTTGGCCAGTCCCTGGTTTTTGTTGCTTGTTTGTCTTGGCGCCCATCACCCGGCGTTCACTTTTTACTTTGCCTTGCGGTTTAAGTGTCTTCGACACGCGAAAAACAGTCCAAACAACCGATGGCTAAGCTCCAATCCCCCAGTTCTCAATGTTCGCCTCCATTAACCGTTTGTCAGTTGCATGCGCTTTCAAACATTTGTATGTCAAAGCTTCGGAGACAGTTGAATAACTCGCATGGTAGCTGACAACTGGGTTTCAAATGGAAAGTTTCCCTTGCAATAAAATTGCTTGATTAATCATTTGCTGTGAATTTAAATTTGTAGACATCATTAAAGCAGGAATAGGTTTTTAAAATAATTATACTTACCATTTGGGTATGAGGCTTTGAGGTGCCAAATTATATTGGAACGTCAAGTTTTAATGCCAAAATATGTGAAGGTTTTTAAGTCAAAAAGATGAACTTATGATGGATAGATGTGAATTCGCTGATACTCTAAACTTAAGATTATGAAAGTCAAACGGGACACGCCATACTTTGTCCAAGTAACAATATGAAATACCCATTAATAGTCTAAGCAATAGAGGAGCTGCGACAGAGAGACGTGAATGTGAAATTGGAAGTAAGTTTTTGGCAGGGAGCTTTCAACTTTATATGAGCCACCTCAGAATTGAAAGTGGAAGTGTCTGGATAGTTATATTTATTAAATATTCTTAGTCGGAGGTTGTCTACACATAGTAAAAAACGTTCATTAGTTGGTTTAAGGGGCGCAATGAATATTATGAACGTTAAGTACATTCAGGTTTAACTGGCAGCACTGATTGCATAATAGCTAATTTTTGTATTCGCTCTTACCCGTAGAAAAGTTTGTAAGCATATCACTTTGATTGGTTAAACAGCAAACCAGCTTTCATGAGGCAAGCCGCAGTGTTGTCTGCGTGCTATCCGCAAAATCTGGCAACAACACTTCAAAACAAACAATAACGAACAGGGGCATCAGCAATCACCCAGTACTTAGCAACTTGGAAACCCAATTGAAATATGCCCTTACACCTGGACTTATATGAAGTGACGAGCAGCTGCCTCGCATTATGCTACCAAATGCAATTACAGCAACGAAACGAGCATTGAAATAGGGCCTGAATATAGGACGGGTGTTGATAATAAATATAAACAGAGTCAAAACATGCAATAAACTAGGAGGCAGGGCATGGGCAGACAGGGCTAGCCATGTAAGCAAGTGCCCTCTGGAGGCATAAAGGGGAGGGCTACACTTACATGCTTCCGGTTACATGCTTGGCACTGCAGCGAATAACTCAATTAGAGGAAGCAATCTGTTCCCTGCAAAAATGCCTAGAAGCCATTATAACTTTTAGCAGGAACCATTTTGCGTGGCCTCTAAATGCAATTAGAGGAGCGGCTGGAGAAAATTGCTTTCGTTGCGTCATCTAACGGCTGGCCGTTAGCCGTTAGACTAATTGTACGTAAATTCTTTGTTGCAACTCAATTACAAGACCATTACCCGACTCTTTTAATTTTAATAAAATAATAGTGCCCATCATACCTGAGTTCTTATACGACATACGGCATCCGGATGCACCGCTTGACAGCTACCCGCGCACCCCTCTCACTCTGAACACTCCTCCTCCACCCACGTCCTGTCCATGTAAGGATGGTGCAAATGACGAGGCGACCCCGATAGAGATCGTCACGCCAAGCGCTGAAGGTAAATACAATATAACTGGAAGATTCATTCGGATGCTAAAGTGTCTATGCCACTCCACAGACAATGAAACATATTATCGTGAGCTGGAGGAACGGCATAATGAATTGGTCGGCGAAACAGTTGAAGTAGGACTTCTCTTTGCCTCGAAAGCTATTGTACAATTGCTGGTGAATCCGATTGTAGGGCCACTGACACATCGGTGGGTAATATGGTTTATTAAATGATCCCAAATACTTAATAAATTCTTTATCTTCCATTTACAGGATCGGCTATAGCATACCAATGTTTGCCGGCTTCGTAATAATGTTCCTCTCCACATTGAGTAAGTATGAATTTGAGATCTTATGCTGTATATCTGCAAGTTTTTTCTTTCCAGTCTTTGCCTTTGGACGATCTTACTTGGTTCTATTTATCGCTCGAGCACTTCAGGGCATTGGTTCATCATGCTCCTCCGTCTCTGGCATGGGAATGCTGGCAGATCGCTTCACCGACGACAAAGAACGTGGCAATGCCATGGGCATTGCTCTCGGTGGACTCGCTCTTGGCGTCCTCATTGGACCGCCCTTTGGTGGTGTTATGTACGAGTTTGTGGGCAAGTCGGCACCATTTCTAGTGCTGGCTGCGTTGGCCCTGGGTGATGGATTACTGCAGCTATTCATGTTGCAGCCGTCCATACAGAAAGCCGAGTCAGAGGAGCCACCATCACTGAAGAGTCTTATTAGCGACCCATACATTTTGATAGCTGCTGGGGCAATAACTTTTGCTAACATGGGCATTGCCATGCTCGAACCATCTTTACCATTATGGATGGTTGATAATATGGGGGCTACACGCTGGGAGCAAGGCGTGGCTTTTTTGCCTGCTTCTATTAGCTATTTGATTGGTACAAATCTCTTTGGGCCACTTGGACATAAGATTGGCAGATGGTTTGCCGCCTGTCTGGGACTGGTAATCATCGGCGCCTGTTTAATATTTGTATGTACCTTGTGTAGATTCCTAGCCTCATTTTTTAAGTACGTTCCTTTGCAGATACCCATGGCTACCTCCATTACACATCTGATTATTCCCAATGCCGGCCTTGGCTTTGCTATCGGTATGGTTGACTCTTCGATGATGCCCGAACTGGGCTATCTGGTGGATATACGGCACTCGGCTGTATACGGCAGCGTCTATGCCCTGGGCGATGTCGCCTTTTGTGTTGGCTTTGCTGTGGGTCCGGCTCTATCGGGCTCCCTTGTAAAGAGTATCGGCTTTGAGTGGATGTTATTTGGCATCGCAATACTCTGTTTCTTGTATGCACCGCTATTGACGCTCCTCAAGAACCCGCCAACTAGCGACGAAAAGAAGGTGCGTATGGCTAGGGAAGCTGCGGCAGCTGCAGCAGAAGCTGCTGTTGATAATTCAAAAGCTCACACAATTGCATCTTGTCCATCCACCGACCCTTCGATCGATGCGGACGGAAAAACGAATGAGGCGTTTGAAAGTGAACGATTATGATTATTTGATTTCAAGCATTATTATTTAGTTTAATAAGACTCTATATTAGCTGACATGATTAGCTGACATTTGTAAAGCTTCACATGTTTCCGAATACTTATACTTTTTGCTATTTACATTAGTATTTATGATTTTATTGTATATATGTATGGATTTCTTAAGTATTGTTTTCGTTGCTAAGTTCATACAAATAAATTTTTATTTAAAAGTACTGCTGTACTCCTGTCCTGTCCTCATCGTTTAAAGTCAAATAATAATAATACTAATTAATCATCTCTTAACTGTTGCAGTCGTTAATATATGGACGCGATCGTTCCCAGGTACGTTACGTAACCTATCAAAACTACGACGACGATGAATGATCGACTACTCTAATCCAATAATCAAACTTCTCGGCAATGTCAGTAAAATACGACCAAAAATTAAAAAAAAAATATATATATGGAAAATCTAAAAGTATTAAAACAGAACAAACAAAGCAAAGCAAACCAAATGCAAAACAAAAACGAAGAAAATTCAACCAAAAATATCAGTAATATCATATGAACTCAAGTAAATTGTTATAATTGTTTAAATTTCAAAGTTGCAAATTTACGCTTAAAATTAATCGATATGCTTACAATATCTATATCTATATGAATAGCCCAATATGGTCCAACTTCATGTATGCATATATTCATATATTGGCATTCTAATTTCTTCAGATGCAATAATGAATACTTTGTATAGATGCAAATGTAGAAACAAGAAATCTATTGTTAAAAGTTAATGACAGATGGAGGAATCAAATTTTTTTTAGGACAGAGAAATTGTATTTTCATTAAATGAAAACAAAACATTCGATTTGAAAAATGAGCAAAAACATATATTGGAATATTCGATTTGAGTGAACTTTTTGATTATATAAAAAAGTTAATTGTTGTGTACTGTAAAAGACAGTATCTCTTACAGAGATAAACAGAGATCCTGTTATGCTATGTGCTCACAATACACATTAGTAAATTTTACTCCCAGAATGGAAGGTATTTGCTTGCACAATGTGACGAATGAGTCAACGCCCTCAATTGCAATGGTTTACTGTGAGCCCCAAAAACTCGCATTAAGAAAAACGACGGAATTCATTTATCAAAAATATTTATTACATTAAAAAAGAATACTCGGAAATTAGATACGAGGCTTGAAATTGACTTTAGACAACATAAGTAATATTGAATCGCGGACGAATATGAATATTTAAGGCTGTTATAAGGTCAACATAACTGTACTGTACTTAAAAAAGACACACAGAGAAAACAGTTATGCTGACATTGCAACAGCAGCAAATATTCACTTAATCGATTATCCGGTTATCGATTATCCGCGTAAACACTGATGTTGACATTGTAGGGCTTTTGTAATTGCTCCTCCGATTGGCAACTATTGCTGCTACAGCTACGCCTACGCTCCTGAACCGGATTTCTTGCTACTGGTGAGGGATTGCGTATGCGCACCTTATTCATTGAGAACTCCAAATTCTCATCCGCCAGCTGGGATGTCGTAATTCGTATGGGTACATTGTTTATTCGCGTGTATATGGGTTGGTTGCTGCTAACGGGCATGCCGTTTACGTGCAAATTAAGTAGCTTGTTCTCGTTCAGATAAGAAGCCGACAGACCTCCCACGCTGCAGTTACTGCCACTACCGACAACACTGGCATTGTAATTATTAGAGCTGCCCGAGCTGCGACGCTCCAGTGTTCTTAATGGACGTCTTTCCTCCGTCTGTGAACATAATCTTGATTTCATGCCTTGCAATGTTGCCAGATTCCGTGTGCAGTTTTGCAGCCGTTCAGCTCGAGTTGCATGCGTTCTGGACTGGTTTAAAGAACATGACACCATACCTGGCAATCGTTCCGCCGAAGTAGGCTTCGACAAATGTGAATTCACATCTACAGGTGAAGCGATTGCTGTTGGCATGGAAATTGCGCGGATTGGCACACGCTGGTCTCTCCTATCGGAGTGACAATGCACCCACTCATACTCTCTTTTTCTCGGCTCTAGCCCACGTACCCTGCGCCTTTCACGCTCCGATTCTATCTGCTGTAATCTTTCACGCTCACGTTCCTGTTCACGCAGTCGCACACGTTGCTGCTCCTTGAGCATGTCCTGTGGACACACCCGCTCCAAACGATTTCTCTCTGATCGCACCGGCAATTGTTTACCCTTGAACACATCGCACTGGCGACTATCTTGTGTCCATGTTTCAGGCAGACTAAACTTCGACAGACGCTTATCAATGATAAAACTATCCGAACTACCAAGCTGCTCTGTTTGGAAATTGGGAATCATTTTGGACCTATCTGTATTGTTATGCAAACATGTATCAGTTTGAATCTTAATTCTCAAACTCTTATCCAGATCTAGCTCAGATTCAAGCCCCTTTATATTTATGTTGATCGCACACCCACTACAGGTGCTTGCGCTCCGCCTCGGGGACAGCTTAAAAGTGGATGTAGACCAATTTTTTTCAGGGTCTTTAAGAGTGCAAAAGGAAGCACTTCTGCCTCTGCCTCTTCCTACGCCGCCTCCTCCTCCATCTTTGTGGATATCTCTATTTGTATTAATGGAAGTTTGTTGTAAACTGGTGACACTTTGGCCACGAAGTACCGTCTGATATTCGTCTTGATTGCAACAGGTACGCAGCAGTGGCTGAGTACGAGGCTTACGTACAGTAGGTACAGTGGGTACCAGTATGTCACGAACTTTGCTCGGCTGTGATGGTACGCATTTGAAATCATGCAGAAAATTACGACGTCGGTGCTCAACAAAAGCACTCGGAGGCGTCGATGCAGATGGCTGTCTTTCATGCTTTTTGCCATTAAACTTAGGATTTTGATAATATGTCTCGAAATCGGGTGCCTTTGATTGGGTCAATTGTGGTCGTTGGTAATTCTGAACTGGGTAAGCGGGTCGATCAGCGTAACGAAAATTATACGAATGAATTTTAAACGGGTCATTGGAAAAAACCTCTGCAGACTGACGACGTGTATAAGCGGTACTGGCAGCATCTGTCGATGAGAAGGCCTTGAAATTGTATTCATTCAAAAAAAGCATGTACATATATACATATAACTATTGTGAAATATATATGTATATATTTACATACATCTGAACTTACACTGACGGCGATTCATTATATGAAACAAATTTAGTACTTTTCAAGGACTTAGGCCAAAGGGGTACAAAATATTGCGCTGCATTCATCTAGACTTTTTTTGAAAATGAAAATTTTTCCAAAATGAAAATTTTGTCAATGACGACTTTGTTCAACCCTAGTCCAAATGATTTTGATCTGATTTTTGAGTTTTTCAGGCCCACATTAAAACTACAAAGCAATAGGACGTAACATTTGTGCAGCACTTGGGTTATAAGGAACCCGCCTTCTTTAAGCAAATCAATTTGAAATACATTATTTAATACGTCAAAAGTATATAATTTTAAAATCAAATCGATTAAATCATCTCTAGCTACATATATCTACTCCATAAAAAAGTTTAATTAAATGCATACATGCATGGTAGCTTAAGATATATATATATACAAATATATATTTATATATTTCTGACGCAAAAAGGGAACTACTTAGAAAAAGTGTATCAAGTGTTTTTGCATTGATCAATATTATCTTTAGTACATTAATGCGCGTACAAATTGTATAATTCTTTCCCCTCTCTATCTAGAGCTAAGGAAATATCGATAGCATCATCGATACATCGATACCTAGAAAGAGCAAATCCCTTATCATTTTATTGTTTTGTTACGTTATAACTGATACAATGAATCAAATCGGATATTTCCGCGAGTCACTTGGATGGCTGCAAGTTTCTCCACGCGTTGTAAGCTATGTTTAACGGCTACGTAAAATCCATATATTTAAATCCTCCAAATTGCCATCAATGGGCATATTATCAACATTTTTACGCGCATTACATAATGAAACAAACAAAATCATTCTCTTTTTTAGCTAACAGAAAAGAGTTGAAAAGCAAATACTTATAAATTAATCGCAGGTATACAATGAGGATATAATTAAAACGATTGTACATACGCAAAGCTGAAATACTTGCTGATTATAGTTGTTGTTTTACTGTTCTTAATATGTATAAAAATAAAATATCAAATAACAAATTTAATAGCAACTTTCTAATATTACATATTATTGAATTGGCTATAAGGTAAATGAGTTTTTGAAGAATTGCAAAATGCAATCATGTACTCACCACACATTATTACTTACACTAAATTTATTAATATACTTATACAATTATGTAGTACAAAAGCATTGTGCAGGGTAATAAGCAAAAAATTATAACATTTATTAGTTCCATTTCGTTTTGTTGTTGTGCGTGTTAGAGCCTGCTTAAATACTTGTGAATTAGACAATATAGTATAAAACAATATATATAAAATATGTACACATACGAAACCGTTATTATATTGATATTATAAACATACATATACACAAAAAAGAAAAAAGCTGGTATGGGGTCAAACAAACTATAATACAAGTAGCATAATATAATATTGGCAACAATATCTCGTTTTGTGCACAGTAGTGAAGCATACTATTACACAAGTAAAGATATATTTATTATACTCGCACACACATATACTCTCTTTAAAGTATTTCAATACTGCTAGCAATATATAAAATGCTTATAGCTTAATACGAGCATATTAGTCGAAAGTTAGACATTAAAAAATACTTAATACAAATTTGCATATGCACTATATTATATTATATAACTACTAACGTTTAATATATGTACGATACTAAACAAACAGATTATCTATAAATATCGGCATGCAGCCTTCTAAAACCATGTCGAGGAGGTTTTTGAAAAACAGTTTCCAAATTGTATTTAAATGAAGAAACTTACATATGTATGTCCAAAATGAATATCGTTAACTGTATCATGTTTTCGTACTAAAATAGAAAAAAATACTAACTATATTATGCAATCTATATTGGTCGTTTGACCAAATTCAACTATTTTACTCTCATCTGCTAACTAAGGTATTATAAACGATCAAACAATCAAAACTGCGTTAAGTTAAATTCCAGTCTTACAGCAAAATTATTAAACACACGAAACACATATGTAACTGAAGTTGTTGGTGAATAAACAAGCTAAATTCGCAAAAAAAAACGTTGAAAACTAATTTTATTGATTCAATATCTTTTTTTTTTTCAGAAAATTTAAAATTCGACAGAAATTTCTATATGAAAATTCAAACCAATTTTCTGTCTCGGAAAATCGGAAAGTTCGCTGACAAGATTTTTAGATAAATGCTTCTAATGTAGTAAATAAGCTTTTAATTTAAATTTTTGCATTCGTCTCAGTGAAATTATTTAAAATCAGCTTTACTCATTTTCATACACAAGATATATATATATATTTTTTTTGCTCTCCAGCTGTAGTGTGACAGAGTAATAATTCGATATAGGAAGTTATCATATGATCATTTATTCTTCTGATTATACGTGTTGCGCGCTAGTTTATTAATTCTTTTCAAATGAACGAATTGAGCAGCCCCATGTTCATTTTATTCGTTTTTGCAGTAAATCGAACTATTAGTTCCTCCTGTTATATTACTGTTATTAGATTACCATTAGGTTTATGGTTTTCACCTTTAATTTTAAACTGGATATCGTTTAATTATTAAAATATTTCTTTTAATGCCACATTTTTAAATTATGATGTCTGCAAACACTCAAATAGTTTTTGTATAAGTCAAAATCAAGTTGCGATATTTTCTGAAAAATCACTCGTGCTTGCTGTTAACTAACAGTAGATCAAAATGTAAGGCTCGCAGTACAACCGTGTGTATGGGCTACAGATAAACCTAGTCACCAACATGCAGTTGTGAATTTAGTCTTTTAAATTGTGTTTTGAATACTTATCTTAAAAGGTATAAAAAGTGCAAACGGGACTTTCAGATACGAAGTGAAAACGAAGGCAAAGTGAATGTGATTATTCTCCGCAAATGAGCAGTGATTGTATCTAAACGATATTGAACTTTGTTGGCGTAACTGCTGTTTGTACACACAGGAAAAGCAGCTATAGGTTTTTTCTTTTTTTGTTTTGAGTTGTGCGCGCACATCAATCAAAACAAAAATATTTATCAACTGATACTTTAATTAGCATTGAATAGTAATGGATACTAGTGTAAGCTCTGAATTGGGTAAGTTGCTGAATCGCCGTCAAAGTATTTTTTATAGTTTGAATTGAATTTTCAACCTCCATGGTCGGTACACCACAGCGCGTGTACGTCAGTTGCCCAGGCGGCCGATATATGTACGTACATACATATGCTGGCGCGCAAATTATGGACAAGCTCTGTGAGCACTTAAGAAATGCGCTGTACATATATATCAATAACTAAAACATGTTTCGCCATTACCCTTTAATAACTAAAGTTTTGTATTAAATGAGAATTGCGAAAATGTAGTAAAATACAGTATTCATTGCATTCTTTATACAATATGATAAATCCCGAAATATCTATAGGTCATCTGGCAACGCTGCATCTTTCTAAGTGTATTTCTTGCTGGTCACACAGGTACAGTCTGTGGACCTTGTTTGGTTTTAGAGAAATATTATAATATGGTATATGAAATGTAAGACTGTCAGTTTAAAAGTGCACAAAGATTTCTTGAAACTACAAAGAAAACATTTTATTAAAAATTTGATACACAATCCATCCACAACTTTCATGCATAACGTATACAATCTTGCCACCTTGCAAAATTAATGATTATATATAGTGGCTACATTAAACTTAAACTATCTGGCAGCACCGGATAAGCAGCACATTTTGAGGTTTACGCAATTTTTTCAACTCCAATAAAATTATAAAAATAGATCGGCTCTTAAATTATTGTAAGTTTTAATTTAAGATTTAAGTAACCTCCGATAACCATTTAAGTTGTAGTAGGCAATCGTAAACTCTTAATAAAATGATGTCCCAGGCATTTGCATCTGCTGTTAGCCGGACTGGAGTTGTATTACGTTGGAACCGGCGTAGCTTGAGCACGGCGAGAATTCTGCGTAGTGTCACACGTCAACGCTTGGCAACCAGTACAGCATTTATTAAGAGCTGCCAAAGTGGAAATTATATCCCTGCCTCTACGTTCCATCTGCAGCAATATGTGAGGCAGTACGCTAATGAAAAAAAAGTGTTTGAACGCACTAAACCTCATTGTAATGTGGGAACCATTGGTCATGTGGATCACGGCAAAACTACCCTGACGGCAGCTATAACGAAAGTATTAGCTGATAAGCAGTTAGCAGAGAGCAAAAAATACAATGAGATCGACAACGCACCTGAGGAGAAAGCTCGTGGCATAACCATTAATGTGGCGCACGTTGAGTATCAGACAGAGACTCGTCACTACGGCCACACTGATTGTCCCGGACATGCGGATTATATCAAGAATATGATAACAGGCACCGCACAAATGGATGGCGCTATATTAGTAGTGGCCGCCACAGATGGCGCTATGCCGCAAACACGTGAGCATATGTTGCTGGCTAAGCAAATTGGCATCGACCATATTGTTGTGTTTATCAACAAAGTCGATGCAGCCGACCAAGAAATGGTGGAGCTTGTCGAAATGGAAATTCGTGAACTTCTTACCGAAATGGGTTACGATGGCGATAAAATTCCAGTAGTAAAGGGGTCAGCATTATGTGCTCTTGAGGACAAGAATCCCGAAATTGGCTCTGAGGCTATACTTAAATTGCTTGAAGAGGTAGATAATTTCATTCCCACGCCAGTGCGAGAGTTGGATAAGCCATTCCTTTTGCCTGTGGAAAATGTATATTCTATTCCTGGACGTGGCACAGTTGTTACGGGTCGTCTCGAGCGCGGAGTCGTTAAAAAGGGAATGGAGTGTGAATTTGTGGGTTACAACAAGGTTCTAAAGTCTACAGTCACCGGAGTAGAGATGTTCCATCAGATTCTTGAAGAGGCACAAGCCGGAGATCAGCTAGGTGCTTTAGTGCGGGGTGTAAAGCGAGATGATATAAAACGCGGAATGGTCATGTGCAAACCCGGAAGCGTCAAAGCTCTAGATCAGCTGGAGGCCCAAGTGTATATACTGTCCAAAGAGGAAGGCGGTAGGACCAAACCGTTCATGTCGTTCATTCAGCTTCAGATGTTTTCTCGTACGTGGGATTGTGCTGTGCAAGTGCAAATCCCGGATAAGGAGATGGTTATGCCTGGCGAGGACACGAAACTTATATTGCGTCTCATTCGTCCAATGGTCTTGGAACAGGGTCAGCGTTTTACACTTCGTGATGGCAATTTAACATTGGGCACGGGCGTTGTTACAAATGTTATGCCGGCCCTTACAGAAAGTCAACGTTCTGAGCTAACAGAGGGTAAAAAGGCGCGTGAGAAAAAGGTCGCTGCCAAAAAATAAAATTTTGTATTCATCAAATGCTTTTTTAAAAGTCAATCGTATACAAATAAATCTATTATTAATTTAATTACGTTTTATATATATTAAGTAAATTTTTTCTCCAGCTTTATGTTAAATGCATACATGTCAAGTCTTTAAATAAAGCCGTGTTACGAGTAATTGCAATCATAGGCTCGAAGCCTTTTATTTGACTGTAGAATTATCGTTATCGATAATACTAAATTTAATGCACTTGTGCAACCCAGCAAAAACTACTTAAATAATTTCTTTTTACCCAGAGGCATAACAAAGTTAGTAAACATTTTGCAAAATGATTAAATAAAATCGAAAAAATTGAAAATTTATTATCACAAGCTAATTGTCGATTGTTAGAAATAACAGCACTAGCTCGGGGCAACCAGTGTTGGTCAACGCATTGATTGAATGGCTACGCAGCTGATGTTAATGCTGAATAATTTTGAAAATAAAGAAGTATTCACTTCTCTTCTGGAAATATGTTTGCTTACCGTTTGTCAGAGCGTTCGGGTATATTGTTTTTATTGATTAATTATATTTAAATTATTTATCATGTTTATTTGAAATTCATATGATTCGCAGACGAACTGGGTGATACCACGCCATTGCCAGGACTTACTCTTTACGATTTGCTTGACCCATCAACGTCGTCCAAAGAACAAAATCTGGAGAGTGATGATAATAGTGGAGCTGATACTGATAACAAACGGGGGTATGTGGTAAAAAAAGAATCGTCAACCACAACAAACGAACTGCTGAATGCACCGGGACAAAAAAAGGCGCAAACTGTTAGAATATTAGAGAACAAACGATTGACAGCACCCATGGGAACTGCTTTAAAAAATATGTTAGAAGGATCTGTTCGAGTTGTAACGACACCTACAAAAACCTCATCAGCAACAGATATTAAGATCCTAAACAAGTTACAGACTAAACCTTTGAATGCTTTTGGCAATGCGCCTGTAAAAATCGGTAGCACAACGATAGCAGCACCAACCACATCGCCAAAAAATATTGGTGGCGTAAAAACAGCAATTAAAATTTCTGATGGTAAGGTGCTCTATCTGCAAAAGTCAACGTTACCAGTAGTAAGCGTCACAACTGATCGCTCGGCACCTACCAGCTCGAACATACGTCACGCCATTCTTCCGAAGGGTGTGACTCCAAGCGGTACGCCAACAATGAAAAACAACGCTTCGAACTCATCATCTTTAACTGTCCGAGGTTTAACTACAGTTGAAACGTCTAAGCCAACAGGTCAATCATTAAATGCTGTTGCAACAAATGAGTCATCTTCATCAGGTTTGCTTAAAAGTCCATCGGCAGATGCAGCATCTATACCAGTAGCTACTAAGATACAAGTGGTGCGCACCGCCGATGGTAAGCTAATTAAATTAAATCAGGGGTCTCCCCCTGTACTCCTAAATGCGAAGCCAGCAACTTTAGGCGTAAGAACCTCAGTTAGTTCGACACAAGCAGCAATACCAACAGCTATTTTAAGCAACAATAGCAATAAGCTCATGAACAAGCCAACTGCACAAGTTATCATAAAAGGACCTTTGAAGCAATTGCCAGCTGGAGCGTCACTTAGACCTGTCATCAATAATTCAAGCAGCAGCAGCAGCAGCAGTAGCAACAGCAATAATGCAACAACTAGTACCAGCAGTAGTACTATAGCATCGGCCACTATAGCAACGTCAGCTGGGTCATCAATGCCCACCGGTAAAATGCTTGTTCAAAGTTCTACGGGCAAACAAATTGTTGTGGCCAGTAGGAACATAATTAAATTATCACCAAAACCAAGCACAAGCACAACATCAAATACAAATACCACAGCCGGTGGTCTACATGCGATTCAATTGCCGGGGAAAAGTGGGCTGCAATATGTGCGAGTTTTACCTAACAACAACAGTAGCAGCAATGAAATAAAAACTAGTCCTCAAAAGGTGTCACTAGGACGTCCGCGGACGACCAGCAACAATAACAGCTCAACTGTTTCTGTAAGTAACACTACCAAAATCGTTATGAAAACAACGGGCGGAAGCATAGTGCCGCTCCCGTCAATGCAAACTTTGGTTCCCAGGGTAAGTAGTTGAAAACTGAAATCAGTATAATGTAATACTTTAAGTTATCTCTATTTTAATATTGTATTACAGCGAGCACCTGGCGCTACATCCAATGCAGCATATACTAAGCCCCTCAGCAACAGCAGTAGTTTGGATGCTGCACGCAAACATCGGTTATCCGATATTAATGTACAACTAAAACAACTGACGAGCGATAACGTCACCGATTCAGGAAGCCCAGAGGCGAAGAAAGCACGTTATGTTATAGCCATGCCGCACACCTCCATGACATCAGCCACAGGATCAGCAACGTCGACAGCTTCAACGTCACAGAAACATATGCAAAAATTAATAGGAGCACGAGTACCGCAAGTGAAGCGCGTTCCGGTGCAGGGCGCCAATATGACGGGCAGTAACAGTAACACCACTACCCGAAAAGTTTACAATTTGGTCACAAAAAGTGACGCCAATGGGGTCAAGTATATGATATGTAACAAAGGCGGTGAAGGAAAACCACGCACAGTTTTTAACACGACAATGCGACGCGGTTATACGTTAGCCGACACTAAACTGCGTCGACCACTGGCGCTGGCTGCGCAACAGGCTCGTTTGAAGCAAATGAAACCGCACCAGCAAAGGCAAATAGTAGCACAGGTCAAACAGCGGCAACTACAGCTACAGAAACAACAACAGTCGACCATAACAAAACCACAACAACAACAACAAATATTAAAGTCAACGGCTTCGCAGGACACAAAAATAGCTGTACCTAGCAAGCCACTATTTGACGTACTGAAACCGCCGCAAATGCCAGTACCTGTAACTGGAGCAGCTGCCGCACTTGATGCCTTAGGTGGTTCGCGACGAAAGCACTGTAACTGTAGCAAATCTCAATGCTTAAAGCTTTACTGTGACTGTTTTGCCAATGGAGAATTTTGTCAGGATTGTACCTGCAAGGATTGCTTCAACAATCTGGACTATGAGGTGAAGCGAGAGAGAGCCATTCGCAGTTGCTTGGAACGTAATCCCAGTGCATTTAAGTAAATTAATTAGAGATAGGAATCCTTACACAACTTTAATAAATTGTTACATTTCCTATAGACCTAAAATCACGGCGCCCAATTCGGGGGACATGCGGCTACATAATAAGGGCTGCAATTGCAAGCGATCGGGATGTCTGAAAAATTACTGCGAATGCTATGAAGCTAAAATACCTTGCTCCACTATGTGTAAATGTGTAGGTATGTATAAGACACATTATCTGATATAATTAATATATGCAGTAAATCCTACAAAATTATAATAAAAAAATATTTCTTTAGATATTTCTTAATCCTCAATTTTTTTTCTCAATCCTTAGGCTGTCGTAATATGGAGGATCGTCCCGATGTTGACATGGACTCTATGGATAGCTTAGCCGATGTAAAATTGCAAGCGAATAAAGTAAAAGACCTCAACGGAACATACATACAGGACAATCGCTCGAATGTTTATCTGACGGACGATGTGATAGAGGCGACTATAATGTGCATGATTTCGCGTATTGTTACGCATGAAAAGCAAAACTTGCCCATAGAAGAGACGGAGCGTGAGGTGATAGAAGAGTTGGGAGAAAGTTTAAATCAAATAATAACTTTCGCCAAGGAGAAGAACGACACATTTCACACGGACGATCACAAGACGACGGCGGCCTAAAAAAGGAAAGGAATGCTATTTATATTCTTAAAACCTAAAACTTTCGCTCCTCTGTATGTAGCTTTAATGCACATACAATATTATTTCATAAGTTTAAAGCGATCTGACCTGTTTCTATTTCAATGTCTCTTAATTAAGCTTTCAAAAAGTTGACCTTAAAGTGTAAATTGCAAATAAATTAATATGCTATTGCATGAACATAGCATTTCCATTAGCATTAGCAAATGTAAGAACAATATCATCGGATCGGCACCATTTATGTCAGAAGTAACCCCAAAGTCCTGCTACTGTGTACATAATTAAATAAATACAAATTTATTAACGCACAATTTTCAATTATATTTAATTTTATCTTACAAAATTTCATAAATGAATATTTTGAGATTTGGTAGGTATTAATAATGATAGTAAACTTTTTGCTTGAATCCATAAAAGTCAATTTCGAAAACTCAACTGGGCTCAAGGAATATGTAAATTGATTATCTTGTGTAGAGTTTATTTCTAATACTGCAAATCATATATCTAACAATTAATTAGTGCCTTAAACTTTAACATTTCCAAATATAAGCTGGTTTTATCTTATTTTTTATATTCGTTAATCAAATTGACTACTCTAGATTGTGGATTGAAAATACTGCCAAATAAAATAAAACGCTTTCCAATTAGAGTAAAGAAATGTCTGTTTACATTATTTGCTTTTCATTAAAACCTAAAAAACATTTAATATACCAGCCGTTTCGAAGTTTACATAAATTCTGATGACTTCGAATTTTACATAAATTCCGATGACGCCCTTAGTTTTATTAAACGATTTCGAAGCGAATAAGTTCTTGATGTATTTCCACAAGTCTCCCCAGTTTTTGAATTTGCTGAAGACACTGACGGGCCGTCCTGTAATGAGACTTTCTCTAAGCTCATATCCTCCTCACAGTCATCCAACTTATCACATCCAACGATGGTCTCATCTCCACTGACATTACCCTCGTCAAATGTGAACTGGAAACGACGAACTTTTTTTTTCGCACTAAATATGACGTTTCGAGTTGCCGAATTTTCACGTTTTTTGGTTGCTGGAGTTTTTAAAATAGACATGGGCTGCCCTCTTGCTGGTGTCAACTGCTCACGAGTTAACTGCTCCGCTGCCCCCATAATAGCAGACTTTAATAAACTTTTCACTCCAATTGATGGTCGATTTACACTGCCATTAGACACGCGAAGAACGGTACGAACTGGTGAGAAAGATTTGCGATCTCGGACCACAATAAGACGATGCTGTAAGCAGCGTTTCGGAGTTTGATTTAGTTGATTGCTTTCCTCAATAATTGCTTGAGTTGCCTGTTGTCTTCGTTTGTCTGCAAAAGCCTTACGCAAAAAAGATTTTAACTCGCTGCTCGGCTTAGCGGTGGGCTTTAACTTGGCTTTGGGACCTACTTTAGATTTTGTTTTCGATAATGTCCCAGCGTCTTGATCAATCCAATCATTTGCTTTCAAGCGCTGCAGAATATCGAATCGTTTATCTACATTTTGGCTTTGCAAGCGCAACATATCCCACCACCCCTCCAAATCGTCAACAAAAACGGGCTTAGAAGCCTCACTCCCATCATTTGGTAACTGGTCAATACCTGTGGCACCTGATTCACAGCGATCAATTAACCCTTTGAACTGCATAAACTTTTTGCTAGTAAGCAATTTAGTCTGCCCAATAGCAGCATCTATAATATCCTTGGCTCCAGTCTCTAAAAGTCGCTCTTCATTTTGGTTGCTATATAAATGCCATTCATCGCAGAGTGAATGAAGGCGTTTAATTTCGTTATCCAGCTGGATTCGAAAGTATGTCACAGAGTCCATTATGCGACTCACTGCAGCACACTGCAATGTGCTACTGTGGTTATCATCCTCTAACTGCATTTTCCCTTTTCCACGAGAGGCGGTCACAAAAGGACTTGATTGACATTCTTCGTAACGTGGCGGAGTGGTTGCCAACAACGTCAATTCATCTAAAATTGTACAGATTTTAATTATGAATGATAATTCAATTGGATATAAATTTATTAAGAATCCTACCCTCCGCGGCATCCACAGAGTTCTGTGACTTCGATACTTTTGGCGATGGTGGTAACAACTGTCGCTTAGCAGCAGCAACTGTTCCATTTGACTCACTACTAACATCCACCATTGGGTTATTGGATGTGTTAACATTAGGCTCCAATAAATTATCCTCACTGTTATTTGATTTGTTCTGAGTTGATGTTGCCTGTGCTTTAAATTTAGGCGTAGAAGGTGTCTGTAAATCACATATTTCTTGCAGCTGGTCTAATTTTGTAGAAATTATTTGCCTAATTTGCTTTTGTTTAGAGTGTGAATTTTTGGCCTTCATGCGTGTCGACAGCTCAGAAAGCAGAGGTTTAACGCCTTTTCTTTGTGCTAAAGTTGTTTTGGTTTGGACTGCACGACCACCTCGAGAGTTCCCTGAAGTTGCAGCTGCTTCGAATGGCTTGGTTATCAAATTTGGTGGCCTTGAACTTTTAACGGATAGTACTGTTGACTTTACCAGTGGTGGCTTTTGTTTAAGGTTAATCTGTTTTGGCGGTTTTTCCTTTATACATTCAGATGATGTTTGGTTTTCAGTTAGAGCTGATCGAGAGACTTGTTGTCTCGTCAAAAGGTTTGTTTGCACAGATTTGGGCTTTGTTTTAAGATTTTTATGACTTTCTCCAAAAGCAAAAGGCTGTATTCTATTAACTATGTGACTTGACTTAACAGCAGCAGATGACTTCGTGGGCAAATTCGTGAATGTATTAGTCTTTGGAGGGTTAGAAGTGGTAGAGGTCAGGAATAAGGGTTTCTCAGACTGTTTTGTTGGCCTCTCCGGTCTATTATCAACGACATATAGCGAGCGACGATTGTGATGATTTTCTGATCCAATCGACGCAGATGGCTGCGACACAGCTTGCCCGCCCTTGCATCCATTGCCTTTTTTTAGGGATGCTTGGTGCTTATCAAGCGCTTTCCACTTGAGGAAGCGTTCCAAGTAATTCGCCTGACGTTGTGACATTTTATTATTGTTAGAAGTTTCATTTTGCGAAAAAAGTTGATTTTCTTGCTCGATATTTGCAGCTGTAGGTGGCAAATAATTTAATTTCAGTTGCTTTTCTGGTAATTTTGTCTGCGGGGTAGGACTGATACTTATGATGCGGTTTTTTTGAAAAAGTTCCTCACGTATTTTGCTCCGAACAACGCGCTGTCGTTCACGGTTAATTTTACAATGATTGTGCGAGCTTAGCACCCCAGAAGACACCTTAAATAAATTCTTACGATTTTCCATTTTTCGACAGTATCACTCCAATTTTATTTGATTTGTATATTTTTAAAAATTGTATCCTTTATTTTTAAACCAGACAATAATTCTAACTACAAATGTTGTACTAAAGCGGTCGCTTGGGATACCGATATTGCCACATTACACGATTGCGTGTGACCGCACTTTGCGCATGAAACTATTTTACCGATTAATTAATACTAAAATTATATATCCCAAGGAGATAATATGACCTAATTTTAGTAAGATAATTTAATAATAATAATTTAATTTAATAATAATTCCATTAGTTCTGATCCACATTGAAAATATTTTTTAAAAAAATTTGATTAACAATAGACAACAAATAATTAAAGAAGGAAAAATTCGCTGAATATTGCAAAAGTGTGTGTGTTCGTTTCAGTACGAGTGTGTGTTCGTACATACAAATGTCTAGATTTTGTATGTCTAGAGGGGTTAAAAAATAAACAACAACATCACTGCGCCCAAAAGCATTGCCAGCATAAAGTGCACGCTCTGCTTTGAAAAGAAATTATTTTTTCGGATGAAAGAAAAACACCGCACATGGGTTCCAAGCAAACTAATATATAATGAGATAAATAGCTAATAATCTGAATAATTATTTGTACTCAACAATATATTTATTAATAGTTTATAAAGTACACGCTGCTGGCAACGTTATGCAAACTCAATTTCTCTCTTTCTCTTTCTGTCTTTCTCACACACGCATACCTATGTGTCCGTCATTCTCAGTTGATTCGTCGTGAGTGCCGCTATCACTTTGTGTTTGTTGCTCTGTTGCTGGCCTGGCTGCGGCCCCGTCATCGTTGTCGGTGTATTTTTAATCACTTTTCTCGCTGCCTGTGGCTTTGAAAATATTGTACTAATTTGGAGACGTGCAATCAAATATATGAGTTATTGTTTATATAATAAGTTTCGTTGTGTTGATTTCAAATACAAATGTGAAAATATACGTGTAAATCACAACAATTTTCCACAAAGCAAAGAGCAGAGCTAAGAGAGTAGGCACCTACAAAACATTCTCATATTTGTATGGGCGTATATGTGTATGTGCGTGAGCAACTTGAGCTGATAAAAAGTAAATCAACTAAAGTTAAACAAATAGTACTTAGAAAAGCAAAAATTTAAAAACAAATCCAACCAATACAAAATGGAAGCAATTGCCAAACACGATTTTTCTGCTACTGCCGATGATGAACTCAGTTTCCGTAAAACTCAAATTCTAAAGGTAAGGAAATGAAATGACAAATATTACAATAAATTAAACTAAGTAAGATAAGACTTAAATTTGCATACATCTTCGGACAGCGTATAAAACAATTTTATAGATTCCATCCAGAAGATACTGCAATTAAAGCCGTCGAGTCCTTTTCCATATATTTGCATACAGCGTACACCTCGCATTCGCATGTACATACATATATATATGTTAATCTACATTAACAGGAAAATGCATATGCATATGTGTGTATGTAAGCATGCCTCATTTGTTGATAGAGTTGTGCTCGCTAACGATGTTAATCCAAATACATTTTTTAGTGTTGTGTATTAATAATATTTTCTTTTACAACACTTTAGGAATGTTTACAGTGCATCCATCTCACACAAGAAAACATCTTTGCAACACATTCTCCAGGTTTTTCGGTTGATAGCTTGTGATCAGACCATTATTACGCTGTTGACACAAGCTATATTTTTTTAATTCAGCCGGAATATACCTTACATAAAAATATCTGATAGTTTATTGAATAATGGACAAAAACATCATGTGAAATGCTATACATTTATATGTACACATATTATAAAAGCCATTTATACCAAATTCTTGTCATGCAATAACCAAAAATCTTTAGTCTTTGGCACATGTATTATTTAGACGAATAAATGGATATTCTGCAAGTGTATATACATTTTAATATATGTACGTACTCTTATATTTGGCCCAGCTGGAGACAGGGCCCAAGCCCCAAATTCAGTTGGTGAATCTGGTTTTTTCCTTACTACAATATTGTCTCAGTCTTGAACTTTGCCTTAGGTGATCGCTTGCCATATTTGTGGTCCCTTTAACCAATTGGTGCTCTTTGTTTTGGCAGACGAAAGATCAGGTTTTTAGTTGTCGGGCGATGTAGCCAGTAGACTGCGGCCAAGTTGTTCTTTTTAATTTTTTTTTTTATTTTACTGCCTTTATGCTCTTGTCGTAGGTTAGTCACTCAGTATTCAATTTTGATTTTATATACTTGCTGTGAATGTTGATTGATAATGTCAGTGACTTGGTCTTCGCTTTATAAAACAACTGTTTCTAGTTTATCAGTTGCATTCACTCCAGATCAAACGAATAAGCGATTGGCTTATCAGCAAGCAATTTATTTCATGACACCACCAGCAGAATTGAGGCTGCAGAAAGTTGGAAACCCCGGGTATACGTTAAAACTAAACTGATGTACTTGGATTTGTGCGCTATTCTTGTACATGGTTTACTTCATACTTGAACAACAAATTAAGCAATGATTTTTGCAGTCGGCAGCAACCAACTGCATTAAATCATTCACGAGCCGTATATTTAATAGTATATTTACTATTACAATTAAATGAATAGAATAAAGGAATTCAGAGACTATATAAAAGTGCATATGTATTTTGTGTCTTAATTCACTCGCCATCTTAATGATATCGTTTATTACAAAAGAAAAAATCGAACATGATTATTATGTTAACCAAAGTTTCGAATAAAAGTCCTCCACTGAAGACCCATCTCTTTATAGAAAAAAAAACATTTTGTATTTCTTCAATTGTATTGCTATTAATTGAAGCTGTATTATATTACATTAATAATAATCAAACATATTATTAATTTACAGATATTAAATATGGAAGACGATTCAAATTGGTATCGCGCCGAATTAGATGGAAAAGAAGGGCTTATTCCCAGTAATTATATAGAAATGAAAAATCATGAGTAAGCAATATATAATGAAGATCAATTGAAAAAAAATTATAAAAGGTTTGTATATTTCTTATAAAATATATATTCTAGCTGGTACTATGGACGCATAACACGCGCCGATGCGGAGAAATTGCTGTCCAATAAACTTGAAGGCGCTTTTTTGATACGCATCAGTGAGTCAAGCCCCGGCGATTTCTCCTTATCCGTCAAGTATGCAACGTTAAATAGTTTCTTAATAAATATAATATCAAATAATTTAACAGATGTCCCGATGGAGTACAGCATTTTAAAGTACTGCGGGACGCCCAGAGTAAATTTTTTCTTTGGGTTGTGAAATTTAATTCCCTCAACGAATTGGTCGAATATCATCGAACAGCGAGCGTATCGCGATCACAAGATGTAAAATTGCGCGATATGGTACCTGAAGAGGTATGGAAATATCAACAAATTTATTTAGTTTAGCTTATGGTTAATCATAATCCAAAATATTTTTAACTCTTGCAGATGCTTGTGCAGGCGCTTTACGATTTCGTGCCCCAGGAATCTGGAGAATTGGACTTCAGACGCGGCGATGTGATCACAGTTACAGATCGTTCCGATGAGAATTGGTGGAATGGCGAGATTGGCAATAGAAAAGGCATTTTTCCAGCAACTTACGTGACGCCATATCATTCATAATAATGTACACCCGAACGCACACACATATATAAGCATAAAACTTACTACGAATGAAAAAGATACCAATTTGTAATACATATAAATATATGTACTGTTCAATTATATGACATGAACATGAGCAAAGCAGATAAATATTGTATAAACCGTAAGCATATAAACCGATTGCATTTTTTACATTATTAACAAGCAGTTTATAACTGTTGTATTCTAAATTTATGCGAAATTGCAAGAACTAACACTAAACTGACAGAGTCCTTTTGTATGGCGAATATATAGATCATCGCACTATATATTATTAATGTAACAATTTTTGATATATATATACACGCATATATAAATAATAAAAAAATATATATTTTATTTAAGTTCAATGATATGTAGCTTTCCACGTACACCACTCTAAATGTGCTATTATTTTGTGTTCGTGTGTGTGTGAGAAAGAAAACAATTTATGATAATTAAATATATTATAACAAATTACCAATAAAAAATCCACAAAACTACCACATATTAAACAAAAATTAAAGAAAAAAATTATGACAACAATATTGCCTAAATGTCTCGAAGTGAAGACATTTAAAATGATTATCATAATTAACCTTAATATATAATATATTTACATATATTAAACAATCGATATTAAGTATAAATTGTGCTTCAGTTGCATCATGTACGTGCTTTTCGAATCGCCTTTACAAAAATTGTGTAAAATTTGTTTTCTCATTTAAACATACGATTTTATTGTGCTTAAAATTTAGTTGCTGGTATTTGATATACATTCGCAACTTCTGAGAAGAAATATTACATACATTTTAGCTACTGACAAACATACTAAATATAATTATTTTTATTTTGCATAAGCTTCTTTTGTTGTCATAACATTTTACCAATTATCCACACATTTTTATCATTAATATATGCATAACACGAATAAATATGAAGTTGCCAATATCAGTAACCACACCGAAAGAAATAAAACAATATTTTTATATGTAATTCCTAACAAACGAAAATTAAACAAAAAACGATGTTGCCTCAGAAAATTTTGTCAAAAGTTATTTGATCATTATAATTACATATGCACAACTTAATGGACAACTAACAGGATACATATTTGTATTAAAATATGATAAATAAAAAGGCCAGATCCGTTAGTATTCGCTAATAAAAGCATAGATAAATAATAAGTCAGAGTAAAATCAAATTTGAAACAAATTAATTATTTAATAGTTATTTTCATTGCAAATTAAAAATAAGTGAATTTGAAAATAAAAGTTCAAATTGAATTGACATTGTTGATTGATTAATGCGACAATAGTATAAATGAAAAAAAAAATAGTTATATCCGTATTTACAGAGGCATGTTTTGCGACTTGAAACTTACTGAGTAAGCTTGTGAAAATATCACTGTTTAGACACCGTCATCGCCAAAACATCGATAAATAGTAATCGATATAAATTCCATTTACAATTTTGTAAAGCTTCTGCTAATCTTTTTTGTTTCCTGTCATAAAATCATTTCATTCAGTTGTAATAAAAAAATTAAATCGATATTTTTGATATACTTAATTTTTTGATTTGGAAAGTTTAATACATTTGCTGTGTGAATGTACGGTCACATTGCATTCGTATCGACGACGACGAGCATGTCAGGCGATTTGTTACGCGTATGAGAATAGAAAATAATTATAATATAGAAATATATGTGGGCAAAATGAACACGTATTAATTTATAAAAATCGTTTAACTCGACATCAAAAGCTGAATAAATCTGGTGTGTTGTGTTTGTGTAAAACAAGACCATTGTCAAGCTTTTGAACATAGTTATATGTGATTTATCAAGAAAAATTTTGACACAAGGCACGCACACACAATCGCTTTATAGAAGTAGTACGTGTACATGTGTATGCAGGCAAGTAAAAATTGCAAAGGCCAGTTAAAGGCGTGAGGAGTGCGTGTGTGTGCGTGTAGATGCAAGTGCAATTTCGATCATTTACGCGTATTGTCACACAGTCAAGTTATCCTATTTTTTGGCGTTTTAGTTGGTTTAACCTTCGATAACAGCTTATCCAAAAAATGCCGCTAATTGCCTATAAGGAACAACGCATTCTCAGTCCCCAGCAACTGCGCAAGCTTAGTGAACATAAATACTCCTGCTTCAGCGCAAGTTTGCTGGATCCTTTGCTCCAGCCGTGGTGGAATTGGTTGGTCTCCCAAACCCCACTTTGGCTGGCACCCAATCTGATAACAATCGTCGGTCTAATACTCAACATTGTGACAACGTTGATATTAATTTGGTGAGTGTTTTTTAAAGTCTTTATTACAAATACATATAAATATGTATATATATGTTACTACATTTAGTTGCATTTTGAAAAATAATTGCGTGGTTTCTGGGTGGCGTGTTTTCCCATGCTTGATGAGTAGGGCAAATTAGGTGGCAGTTTAATGTAAACTAATCTACACATGTCGGTTCTCATTGTTTTCCTAAAAGGTACGCTTGACCGAGACCGTGATAAGTAAATATATTCTTTATCAATATGTTCATCTTACGCCGAACGAATGTATCAAGTGCACAATTTCAATCATATATCATGTTTTCCAGTATATTTTTAAGTTTGATGCTTTGTCTTATAAACAACTTATTTTATAATGCATGGGAATTCAACATGATCGTAACTTCCACAACTGGCGTAGGTGGGTGCCACGAAAGTGGTGAATCTGATTAGATAGGAAAAATATGGCTTACGTTAGTAATTAAAATTTTAAATTTTATTTTAAAATGATCACTCATTTTGCTTTATTAAGGTACAGTAAATAAACGATAAGAGAGAACAAATAATAAACTGTGGTGCACTAATCATTCATCAGGTATAGTACGCTGATTATTATTCGGCTACTTGATCTAAATACTGTCAGACTTTCTGGAAGATCAATTTAATTAACCCTACGAGTAAATTATTTTCATGTATAATATTTGCAATGTTCTTTGTCGGTCAACCTATGATTGCTTTGATTGAATTAAATTAAAATTTGCATTTCAAATTGGTTACCATTTTGTGGAAAAAATAAAAATCTATCTACGTATCTGATACAAATGACAAATTTTGTGAGCTTAACAATGACTTCAGTAAATAAATAAATCAATAAATATTTAATTTGTTGTTCCATAAATATTAAATAACCTGGTCATTTATTCATTATAATTGAAAATTTGAACACCTCAACGATAAATAGTTTTGCCACTCAAAATTTAGTATTATTGTAGTTGTATGAACTTTGGACGAAATTGAGACTCAATAATGTGCTGTAATTAAGCAGTTTTTCGAAAATAGAAATCGATAGTAATCTGGAATAACAATCAACAAAAGTTGTCACTCTACAAATTTTGTGTTCAGCCCTGGTATTATTTTGGTTGAATGGGCTTTGACTAAAAAAATAAGTCTGTCTAGATTCTTTATCAGTAAATTGATGGTGCCAGTGAACTACATTTAAACTTAATGCCGTTGAAATAAGTTTAACTAAGCCCATCGTGCGATTTTACTCTTTTTTCACTGACGTCAAGAAAATGTTTTAAATATATTTTTAACAAATTATTGACGGAAAGTTTGTGATATTTCAATTATTAATTGTGCAACATTTTTTTCTAAATTCCAGCTATAGTCCAAATGGAGTCGAGCCGCCGCCACGTTGGACATGCCTTCTCTGTGCTCTGGGTCTCTTTGTCTATCAGAGTTTAGACTCTATAGATGGCAAGCAGGCACGGCGTACTAACACCTCATCACCATTAGGTGAACTTTTCGATCATGGCTGTGACTCCATATCAACTATATTTGTAGCGCTTTCCGCGTGCATATCCTGTCAATTGGGTCACTACCCAAACTGGCTGTTTTTTCAGGTAAATCTTTGAATTTTTCTATATCTACAGGCATTTATTTGTTGTTTGTGCCTTTCAGTGCTTCTGTGCCATAGCATTATTTTATTGTGCCCACTGGCAAACTTATGTATCTGGAACGATGCGCTTTGGACGCATCGATGTAACTGAGGCACAATTTTCGATTATTGCCATACATTTAGTTTCAGCCCTGTTGGGACCCGAGATTTGGCTGACAAAGGTAAGCCATTTGGGTGGATTACATTTTTACAAATATTCCCGAGCTAACAATTTAAAAACAATATATATTTCGTTAAGAATCAAAATTTTCAGCAGTTATTGGATATAATTATATCATCTATATTAGATTAAATTAGAGGGATAGAAAGAGCGAGAGTCTATCTATAAATTGTAACAGTGAAGTTAGAGTTAAGTTTGAAAGTTATTTATCACTCTGGGTGATATTGAGTTTTCTTATATTTTAATTTCATAATAATATAAGTATTATATTATATATATATTAGATACTTTAAGATTTGTTGCTAAATTTCTTTTAAAGTTGTATGCGCTTTGCCTCGATTAATTGATCTTATTTTTTAGCTTACAAATTTGCTATTTGAGTTTGATAGTTACACAGTAACATTTCTAGACTTTGTGTATTAATAACAGTTATTACCTTTTACGGAAAATTAAATAAACTAAGTTTGACGAAGCTAAATGCAACTTTAATTTAACTAAAATTATATTTTATTATTATTTATTAACTTTCAATCATAAATAGATGTACCCTAAAAATCAAAGTTTTCAAACACATTGTAATGGTCTTAATACCTTTTACTTTTATGTTATAAACAAATGCGTGCCACTGCTACAAAACAACACAAAATGTCTAATGTTCTAAAAACAACAAATATTTTACATACACACACGATCAATCGTTATATATATATCCATATGTATACACAAACATATATATATTTATATATATATATATATATATATATATATATATATATACATAATATATATATAATATATATATATATAGATTGGCTTTGGCAAGATTGAGCTTTGGTATGGTCCCGCTATAACGACCATTGTGTGTGGTATAATCTCCTTAACATATGTATTTTCCATCGTTGTTGCCGGTGGTGTTGGCAAAAATGGCTCCACAGTTGCTGTAAGTCTTAAACACTCATAAACAATCGAATACATGTACATTTAAGAATTTAACAGAAAAATCTGTTAAAAGCACACCTCAAAAAATTGACTTCCTACAAATTTTCTGGGACTTTTATTTAATCTAAAAAATGTTCTAAAAAATATCAGTTTGAATGGAACTATTTCTAATTCAATAATGGAATTACGTATAATTCCATAATGGAATTATATTTATTGTATTTATGTTTAGTGCAAAACAGCTTGATTTGCATCATACGCTATGTAAATTGTGTGAGTGATTTTAAAATATTTGGAGACGAGATGAAAATTGTTTATATATATATTTTATAACACTTCGTAAACTTTGTAAAGCCCCAGAGACGTTTGTACGTTGTCTTGTGCTGATCGCAAACACAAACACAACAATACAACAAAAGTTATTTTGGCTAATAATTTGAAAAAAAAAATCAAAATAGAAACAAATTTTACAATCCGGGCGTTTCGTGGAAGCTTGGAGTGGGTTTTTCTTTTCATTCTCTCTGATAACTTCTAATGCTTGCCTTGACTTATTCTACTATTAATACTTATACATAATCGTATATATATATTTAAAATTTGTACCGTTGCTGTTGATCTCTGGCTAAATAGCAATATATAGCTGTTTCTACTTCTTCTGCTTCTATTTATTATAATTCGCCTTGTGCTTTAACACATAATGAAATACTTATTATGTCTTACTCCTGGCATGCTCTAATTCTGTCTCTCTGCCTAAATATTATATAGGATGCTAATATATGGGCTGTATTATATTTTGTTCCGTAGGCATTCTTTAAGTATTATTTTTATATACATGTGTGGTAATGTATGTCTCAATATTATTGGCTATTGGTTTTAGTTTTAGTTAATTTATTGTGTTCAAAATTACGTATTTTATTTTATGAATAGCTTACATTTAGATTGGCCAAATATTTGCCGCAATTTATTGGGTCCTCATTTCCTATTCAGAGCTACAAATTCTGAAGCTGCTGTCATTCGATACAATATCTCTGCCATTTATCGTAATATTTAACATAAATCTTCGGCTTTTGTATGAAATGATAAATTAAAAAAAAACCGAAGATTGTTTTATCTTATAATTTTGTAAGACTTATAATTTAGTAATCAATTATGAAAATGTTTCTAATTTGTTCTGTTTTGTTTAATGTTGTTATTATTGTTTATTTGTTTTGTTCTGTGATTTTTATTTCCATCTACAATAGATGCCAATCGCGGGAGTTTCGTGGAATTATACCATATTAGTATTTATTACTTTCGGTTATACCTTGAATATAATCAATTTTCTCAAAATGTTTATTGAAGGCGGCAGTGGCAAAAACGGCTCATCAGTTGCTGTAAGCATTGCTATCCATATAACGAAACGACAAACGTTTCAAACCAAAATTGTATTTACTAATTATACTAAAACATTTAAGCTAAAAACATCTATTGGATTAAATCATTAGTTCTCTCACATTAATAAAACACCGGACACTTGGCTCTAACACTTAATCCACTCGCAAATATTGTTCATGGTTCACTTTCTATACTCTTGACGTTGACCCATTGAAAAAGGTTGTTCGTTTTGTAAAATTGTATCTTATTAACTGTAAAAACTAACTCAAGTTCATAAGCTCTGCTTAATTTTGAGTGTATTTACTAAACTTAAATATTCTACACCAGAAGTAATAATAGAAGTAAAATACATAATTTTTTAAAAGGGAGCGCTCACTAGATTCATTATAATAATGAAAGTAAGCTGCATAATTATTTTCGCGAGTCCGTATTTGAAACAGTCTAATTTTTTTCTGTAAAGAAGTCAAATACCTTTAAATAGAGAATATTATGAGCAGTGCAGGATTTTGATGTAGCTGTTGCTGATAATAATACAAACAATAAATATTATTAGTAATTGTGTGGCGCCAATAATTAGTTATAATACTATCATCATTTTTAACATCTCACATTAAATATTCTCTCATGCTTAGAAATAGCATAAAGCTAATTGTATTATTTAATAATTAATATTAGACACTAGAATGTAATACGTATTAGAATATTATACAGACATGCACACCTAGGATTAATTGCTAGTTTTAATTGCAATCAGCTTAATAGATCGCTTATAACTTTTAAATATTTCGCGTTATTCAGACAAAAATTATTTTATTAAAGCTAAGGCCATCAAATATGAAATTTTCTTTAATTAAATATTTATTTCGTTATTAAGCAACTAGTTGAATATCTTTTGAAAACGATATCAATTTATGTCATTTTCTCTCCTAATTATTGTTTTTTCTTTAAACATTCCCAAATATTGACTCTGAATTTAAAAAATTTGTTAATTTAATCAGATGCCTTATCTTGAGTGTGAAACACGCTGCTTGCCGTTTTATATGGCCAGTGGAATCGACTTGAGTTTAGCATTACGTTACTCGAAATCCATTTTGAACGAAGGCTGTGGAAAGAATGGATCATCTGTTGCAGTAAGATTTAATATTTTCGTATAGCACAAAACACGAAGGCATTCTAATTAGCTTGATTGCTAGACAAGTAGATGAAATTACCCTAGGAGAATGTATTTGTCATTATTTTCCATTATAATTTGATGTGATCAATTATCTATTTTATACCCTTATAGACAAAACTATCAACCAATTATAAAGACATATATATTTTGTCTGCCACTGTCTCTGTTTCGATCCAAGTTGATGCAATTCTTATAGACTGTTATGATAAATGATATCCTATCCAAAATAATTAAAGAAAAATAAATAAAAGTAATAAGACTTAAATTTCTGCTCGATCATAATAAAGTAAATGCATTACCTATGAGTTTGTTTTGTTTTTAGTTAATTTGTGTCTACGACTGTAAGGGTAAATCCTTTTCGTTAATCCGGAGCTATCTAAGTTTTACATAAGTTATTTTTTAGTTATTGTGTTCTATATTGATGCACGTCCAATTTATGTTTATTTGTTTTCATTAATGGTTAAGTCATCTGGTATTGGATAGCTTCAATAATGCTTTCTTTTGTATCTGGCTTGGCTTATACAGCAAATGTTTCGCCCCCACACTTGCCACTCACTTATTCACACCCACTAATTAGCGCTAGACAACGTAATTAAAAAGTTGTACTATTAAACAAACACAAAAGCCAACAAAAATAAATTTTGTTTTTAGACAGTGTTTGCTGTGGATCTGCAAAATGTGCAACAATTTGCAAGTCCACACAACAAAAGTAACCTATCACACACATTTATTTTCAATAAAACTTATTTTTATTAACTTACATATCCCAACTATATAAAGGGTACCAGTGTGCTATCGCCAAGTATACCATTGACTCTAGTGGTTTTGCCGGCGCTCATGATCGCACAAAAATCCCCGGAAAATATTTTTACGGAGCATGCTTCGGTTTTTATTTTGGCCTTTGGCATGGTAGCGGCTAAAATTACTAATAAATTGGTGGTAAGTGTTTGCAAAACAAAAAATGGGTATGCATTAGCCTATTAAAATTATAATTAATGTTCATCTTTTTGCAATGCAGATTGCGCACATGACGAAAGCTGAGATGGAGTATTTGGACTGGTCTTTACTGGGTCCTGCACTATTGTTCCTTAATCAGTACTTTAATTGTATTGTACCAGAGATTTGGTTGCTTTGGTTTACGCTAGCCTGGGGCACCCAAGACTTATTGCGTTACTGTGCTCAAGTTTGTTTAGAGATTTGCCAGCATCTGCGGATCGACCTTTTTAGAATACCGCATGGCCCCAAGCTATTGAACACCATTTCGGTGGGCAGCCAGATTAATTTTGGAGTCGACAAAAATGGTAGCACATCACACCGAAAATCTAAAAGCAAAGTGCACTAGAAGCTTTATGTTGCATCGGTTTCATTCAAATTCATACACATATTTCAAATAGTTTCGGTGTTAGCGGAAGTTTTAAACATTTTTAAAATTAACCAAACAAAATTTACCGTCGAAATGTTAAAACATAACAAATAATAGTATAATTAATTTATAAATGTTGTAACCAAAAAGAAAAAAGAACTGGAGGCAAATTTAAATAAATAAATAAATATATATATATATATATATATATATATATATTTATATATATATATATATATATATATTTATATATATATATATATATATATATATATATATATATATATATATATATATAAAATATATCGTTTGTATAAATATATTTTATATAGTTGTGTAAATTGTAGATTACAGTTTTTATATTGTGCTAGATATTATTTAGTGCAAAAATAATAAATAAAAAATGAAAATCAAATGCCAAAACTCACATTTCTTGGCGTGCTTAAAGCTCAATGACGGTTAAGTAAAAAAACCGCAAAAGTTAAATTTCGGAATCCTTCATTTAATGATTCTCTTTGATTTGATAGAGCGAGCGTCTGATTCAGAATAATATTTTTATGTTATAAACTTTCAAAATTATTAAAATTCATGTAGAAATTTAGTGCTTTATTTCTTACTCACAGAGGAAATATACAAAATGTACTATATATATTAAGATGTTAGTACTGAAGTATATTATAATAACTTTGTAAGCATGTAAATTGCCCATAAACATTCTAAAATATTTCGGTTTTGATTTTTATATTTATTTTGTCTTAAAATGTAAACATAAATTTAAATGATTGAAAATCCTTAAATTCACAAATTGTTATTTTTTTTTAAATATCTAAACCAAGTGAAAAAAGCCAAAATAAAATTTGCAAAATTAATTACATGAGTTTTAGTCCATATATATATATATAATTAAGGTAAAATATTTCATATTATCAGATAGCGGGCTGCTAAAGCAGTATGTACACATTAAATTATATTTTCCAATAATACATATATTTCTTCAACTATGATATGAGTTTGTAAAAATGCATGTTTAACTAATCGATTCACATTTACATAGGTTTTAAGGAGTTGTTTTAGAGATTGCCATAGGTTTTGCAGAAATATGCGACTAATGCCATGTCGCGCACCTCTAACGTAACACGACTGCGATACTGGGTCAGCAAGTAAGCATCTTGGAACCGCTGCGTTATATACATCTCTGTTGCGGTCTGTATAGCCTCCAGGGCACTTGCGGTTATTTTAAATGGCGTCTTTGAATATTCAATCATAATTTCGCGCAATAGACGTGAAAATGCTAATCGTGGTATCATGAATGTCAGTTCCTTTTGTAAATGTTCAATTTCACGGTTCAATTTTTTTAAGCGATGCTCTGGCATATTTCTTTTTCGTCTCGACGTTTTTGAGGTTGCTGGCGGTTGCTTTTGATTTTTGGATGCTGATGCCTGTTCACGCTGGTTGCCAGGGTGGAATCGTGATGAAGTAGCCGCTACTGGTGGTCTGTTTTCTTCATCGGTGCTCTCATCTGTTGTCGTCGTGTTTAGAGCACGGTTTAATGAAGAGTTTTTACGCAGCGTAGAGCATCGACGGGGAGATTCGTTTAATTTTGCTAAACTAGTGGTAAATTCTAATCCATAGTCGGTTTCGTTCTCATGCTCCGGCGTTTGAAATACATCTTCATCCAAGGCAATATTATTTTTTGACTGTGTCGTTTTTTCTTTGGTCTTAGTTGGTTTTTTAGCAACTCGTCGTCCCATGATTAAATCGAATTAAAAATCAGCTATACTTCGAATCTGGATTGCTATTAGCAAGCAAAATTCCCGCCTTTTTTGTTTCACATTGTGTAAGGGATGCATAACGCAAACATGAAAAAATTACCCAACACTGCATTGCGTTAAATGGAAAAAACTACTATTACATTTAAATGTAGTATTTTTGATAGTCTTTCGTTTATCATTTCGATTCTTACTTTGTGATTTCTTTTTTTTTTTTTTTTTAGTATTTTAGTAGACGGTCTTACTTGCAATATTTATTTATTATTAAACCTAGAAGTAGAAATGTCAGAAGACAATACTCATGTCAGGGAATATATATTGGACGCGGACTCTGAGCTTCGATTTGAAATCGAGCAAAAAGATGCCAAAGTTTTCGTGACGGTATGTTTTTAAATTGTTGTACCCTACCATATAATAATAAATTGATTGCGTTTAAGCTCATCTCCGGGTTTGCAGAGCTCTTTGGCACTGAATTGGTAAAGAAAAAGAAATATGAATTTGGCATCGGCGCCAAAGTGGCTATATTTACCTACCAAGGCTGCGTGCTGCAAGTGACGGGCAAAATGGATGTGTGTTATATTTCTAAAGAGACACCGATGGTACAATATATAAATTGCCACGCCGCTTTAGAGCAGTTTCGAATCGAAGCCGAAGAACAGGATAAACGTGGCCCAGTTATTCTAATTGTAGGGCCCATGGACGTGGGTAAGAGCACACTGTGTCGCATTCTGTTAAATTATGCAGTACGCGTAGGCAGACGACCGCTTTACGCAGATCTCGATGTGGGCCAAGGCGCTATTTCCATTTCCGGCAATATAGCTACTATCCTCATTGAACGACCAGCTAGTGTTGAGGAAGGATTTGCAAAAACAGCACCATTAGTTTATCATTTTGGTCACAAATCTCCTAGTGGCAACAGCGTGCTTTACAATGCTGTAGTATCGAAAATGGCTGAAGTGACACTGCAATCGTTGGACGCCAATAAACGGAGTATGTTATACAGATATTACTTCAATAACATGAATCCTAAAATATTTTTTTGCAGCTAAAAGCTCAGGCATTATTGTCAACACCTGTGGTTGGGTTAAGGGTTACGGCTATAAACATTTGCTGCATGCTGCCCGAGCTTATCGCGCTCGTGCCATTTTTGTATTGGACCAGGAACGTTTGTACAATGATCTGTTGCGGGATGTACCGACCAACGTTCATGTTGTTCTCTTGCCAAAAAGTGGCGGCGTGGTAGAGCGTACTAAAGAATTAAGGCATGAATCACGCGAGCAGCGTATAAAGGAATATTTTTATGGCAATATGCGTACGCCTTTTTATCCATTTTCGTTTGAAGTAAAATTTCAAGATCTACGGTTATACAAAATTGGCGCTCCACCATTGCCCGATTCCTGCATGCCGATCGGTATGAAGGCGGAAGACAACAAAAAAAAAGTTGTAGCAGTTACACCGACGCCATCTCTACTACATCACATTCTTACATTAAGTTTTGCAGAGTCGACGGATGAAAATGTCATTGGTACTAATATTGCTGGATTTTGTTGCGTGTAAGCTAATTGATATTATTTTTGTTTATGTTTTCCGATATTCTTATCTTTTGTCTCTCTTGTTAAAGCACGGAGGTGGACATGGAGCGACAATCTGTAATGTTGCTCTCTCCACAGCCACGACCATTGCCTGCGAATGCGCTGTTGTTGTGGTCTGAATTACAGTTTATGGACAATCATGCCTAAAATTTGCGCTTGTGAATACAATTTTTTGGGTGTGCAAAAAGTTTTATCATTTTTATATTATTAAGTTTCATACAATTTTTAAATTTGCTGCAATAAAAAGCACTCAAAAATGCAGCAGCAGTTCTAATATCGTTATATAAGGAAATAACAATAGTTATCAACTATTATATTGGTTTAAAAAAATTAAATTTCTAAATAAGACGTAAATTTGACTGATTCTATCTGGTTTTGCATGGGGATAGCATTTCTGCCATGATTGAAGTTTATTGCGTCTGTTTCAATTTTTAATAAAAATATTGATTATATATTTACTTATTCACGTTCTAATATAATAATTACATATATAATATGCAAAGAAAAGGCAAATATTCACAAAATTTCGAAACATACTTTGTCAGGATGTGGAGTCGATAGTCATAACGATGATTTAGGCATCTCCAAATTTGAATGATATTAGCTGTTAATTTTATTTCAAATAAACACTCAATTGTAACTGTAATTCATTTTATTTTTTCATTTACTGTTTTCTTAATCATTTCAATAAATATACAATAAAACTAATTCATTCACTAATTCATAATTTCATTGGAAATTCAAAAATAATTTTTGTCCGAAATTAATACATACTCGATTAATAACAGACACAACCATGTTAATGTTATTTTGCTGTTATGACTGCTGAATTGCTGATATATGGCTGCTTACACGTAGCATCGAGTAGTATCGAGCATGAAATAGAAGCATCACAAGGTTTAACAAATTAAAGTTATACAAATAAATTACAACAAAATGGCTTCCGTGCTACGTTCCGTGTGTGTTATTAGTTACAAATGAATTAAGCTGTTGGCTTTTGTTTTTTTTTTTAAAGAATGCCTACATCGCCTTTTTAGTTGTGTGTGTCGCTCCAAGTATAAAAAAAACAAGTTCCAGCCAGGTGTAAATTTAACGTATATCCAACATATGGTCACACGCAACAAAATTATCACCCGTTGTAGAGAATCGTAAAACATCTTTTATATCGAGCGTCAGAATGTTTAATATATAATATATAAATATAATAATAATAATTTCTCGTAAGGAATTGTCCGGAAACAGCTGCTATAGTTACCGGCATGTTACACGGTTAAAACTCTGCAAAAATAAAAATAAACACAACTTACCCACAACATTTTATCATAACAATGGCGCGTTGCGTGTAACAGCAACAGCAAGAACAGAAATGAAACAAGGCCATGACGCGGCGATCTCTGTCCAAACAACATACCAATATCTGCACTGATAATTGGCGTTGCAGTTATTTGTGTAATAAAATGCAATATACTTGGGCTTAGGAAAACTTAAATTTTTGCGTCGTACGGACGATTAGAGTTTTTTCTCCGATTTGATTTCCAATGATTTTATGTCGGTGCGTGTAAAATGACTCGTCGTCAATACAGAAGTGATCATAGTAATATTAAGTTTAAACAATTGTGTAAAATAAAACCAACAAAATGCAGCAGAATTTTCCACTTCGATTACGTGATAAGCATTTTCATCATTTGCTGCTGCATCTCTAGAAGTTTTCAGTATAAAAATGGTAATATATGCAAATAAACGACATATCACAATGCGTGTATATATGTATATACGTATGCTATTGCTCCGCTCAGACGCTTACTGGGCTTGTTCTTCGAATTGCTACTCGTTGTCTTTATAGCGGCTACCTTACATGACTGTGTTTGGCTGCAGCTAGGCTCTGTTCTGCTCTGTTGCCGCAGCGGCGGCATCGTTAAGGTGTAAGCAAGCACATCTCTAAAAGCCCTTGCTTTTAGCCCAGTCTGTGTTTTAGAATACATAGATTGTATTGTATTCGTATATTACATATTCATAGTTTAATCTAAACTAATTGTTCTGATAACTATATAAGGCCTCTTAATTTTGAAGTTTTTTAAATGAAATGAATTGATATGCAATTTTCAATGTCTCAATAGAGGCTATGATTGAATATTCTTCAATATAAATCCCTAAGCTCCCTAAAACAAATATATTTCGAACCTAGTGCTATTCTTATTAATTTGTTAAAATGGTGATTCCAGTCTTCAGTAGTCCGAATTATAATATGTATATATATTTAAAATTATTGTATGTCTTACTTATGTCTACTTCTTGAGATGAAAAGAAAACTGTGCGAAATCTTCGAATCCACTTTGTCTATAATGAAGCAAACATTTAAATCGAGTACCTAGCTAAATAAACTTCTGTAAGATAAAGAAAGATAAAGAAGGAAAAGGGTGTTCGAATAGAAATCTTACACGGGAATGCCCGCAATCGAGAACAACAACAAAAGAAAACAATAACACAATATACTGCAAGCGAATGGATAAAGTTTTTTCATCATTATCATAGTCAGGGTTGTTATATTTCCCCCAAGTCGTTAAAATACCATACCGTGCTCATGCTTGATTTGTTGTTGGGGAAGGAGTGGGCAAGGTACCAACGTTTTAATATGAACTCGGCTCTTCCGTGAAAGAAACATAGCAGCATGGTGTTGTGAATGGGCTGTAATTGTGCATTTGACCATTGTTTGAATAGACTGTGGCTTGAGCATCTGGTCACGTGGTCGTTTTATAAGTGGCATACATGATTAACTAGAACACTTTTTCGTCTATTCAAAATATAAAGTCTCAAAGTCGCTGCGTAAAGCATAAAGCGTAATAACTTAAAATTTACATACAGATAATATTGGTTGCACTGATAAAGTACGGTTTTATCGAAATTTTCTTTAAATGTTTGATATTTATGTGCCAAACAAGTTCTTAGTATATGGTTCCTGCATTTCATCCTGCAATTCGTTCATTCAATTCATCAAAACAAAAACATAGTCGACAATGGCTCTCTACCGTTTGGTTTGCCGGCGGTCAGGAAAGCCTCCCTTGTACACAAGGTCCCTATCCTTCTTACTAAACAAACCCTCAACAGATTTAAATAGCTGCAACTACCAGAGACAACCACCTGTACAGGTACTCTCAACTAACGTTATTCGTTGTATATTGCTCCCACTCTCCTTGACTCTAGTGGCAAGGAGAGGTCGTGGAATAAGAAATGGGCTTGGGTAGAGTTGAACAAGCTTGCAGAAATGCTCACTTTAAGTTCTGTTGCCTCCAATTTTTCCGTTCTAGAAAAGGGTACTTGCACTCGTTTAGTATTTAACATTTCACATTTATGTGCATATGGTTAGTGCAGCTCTGGCTGCTACCATTTATGTGGTTTATTATGAAGTCAAAGTATTGAACCAATTCAATATAACTCAAATCTTTCCGCCAAATCAACTAATAATTCAAATTTAATTTTGAGCTATAACAAAAAAACAAGTTCTCTTCGTCACGATTTTACATTAGAGAGTTTAGAGCTTTAGAGATAACTACGAATACCATTTTAGGGCCCTAATTTTATAGTCTCCGAGATAAATCCGCTGAGGATATAATCAGGGAAGCCGAAAACGTATTACTTGGGGTATTATTACAGTTGGGGTTTAGTGACTCAATTTTTTTTTCAAACGCATGTAAAATGAAGGATGAAGGGTTCATCTATATTTTTTATGCTGATTAATCGATTCTGTTACAATAATCTTATTATTCATTTATACATTTATTATTTTTATTTTATTATGTTATGTAGTTTATTTCTATTTTTTACAGTCACTGGGAAAGAATTTATCGAAAGATCTTAACAAAGTGTATTTACCATATGTTAAATTATTTTTATTTTAAGTGCACGGACTATCTGCTCCTTCCTCAGTGGTATCCACATCATCCAATGCTCAACAGTTCATAAATACACCAGCAACGCTTCTATTCACTACTCGGCACGACATACAAGTGGCTAACATAACAAAGCCAACGGGTGGTCCTCAAGTCGATGTGATTGTTAAAGATTTGGCTGATGCAATGGCCATTGACTTTTACTATGCCAAAAATTTGGTGTGTTGGACGGACTGCGGCCGTGAAATTATAGAATGTGCTTCGACAAATTCCTCCCAGCCACTGGCCAAGGCTGCCAAACAAACTGTGATATCGACGGGTCTAGATAAACCGGAGGGTCTTGCTATCGACTGGTATACGGATAAAATCTATTGGACAGATGGCGAAAAAAATCGCATTGAAGTCGCAACAATGGATGGTTGCTACCAAAAGGTCCTTTTCTGGACGGATCTGGATCAGCCACGAGCTATAGCCGTAGTACCCGCAAAGCGGCTACTGATTTGGACAGATTGGGGGGAGTATCCTAAAATTGAACGTGCTGGAATGGATGGAGATCCTTTAACACGTATGACTCTAGTAAAAGAAAATGTGTTTTGGCCAAATGGCATAGCTGTCGATTTACAAAGTGAACTAATATACTGGACGGACGGCAAGTATCGTTTCATTGACGTCATGAAGCTTGATGGAAGTAATCGACGAACTATAGTTAACAATCTGAAGTATCCATTTAGTTTAACATACTTTGAAAATCGCTTATACTGGACAGACTGGTTACGTGACTCTCTAAACGCATTAGATTTACAAACTAAGGAGCTGAAGGAGCTTATTGATACGACAAAGGCGCCCAACTCGGTTCGTGCATGGTCGCCGTCGCTGCAACCTTTTGAAAATAATCCATGCACTCAGAATAATGGCAACTGCTCACATTTGTGCTTACTTTCGACCAACACTCAAGGCTATAGCTGCGCCTGTCCCACGGGCGTAAAACTGTTGACTTCCAATAGCTGCGCCAATGATTCGCAGGAAATGTTATTCATAGTTCAACGCACTCAGATTAGCAAAATTTCACTTGATTCGCCCGATTACACCATTTTTCCTTTACCTCTGGGTAAAGTCAAGTACGCTATTGCTATTGATTATGATCCCGTAGATGAACATATTTACTGGTCTGATGTAGAGGCTTACACTATTAGGCGGTCCCATGTAGATGGTAGTGGGATTACTGACTTTGTTACCTCTGAGGTACGACACCCAGATGGATTGGCATTAGATTGGCTGGCACGCAATCTTTACTGGACGGACACTGTGACCGATCGCATTGAGGTATGTCGCTTGGATGGATCAGCACGTAAGGTGCTTATCTACGAGCACCTAGAAGAACCGCGTGCCATTGCTGTGGCTCCGTCACTTGGCTGGATGTTTTGGAGTGACTGGAACGAGCGCAAACCCAAAGTTGAACGCGCTTCTCTTGATGGCTCGGAACGTGTTGTACTTGTATCAGAAAATCTTGGTTGGCCCAATGGCATTGCATTGGATATTGAACATAAAACAATTTACTGGTGCGATGGAAAAACCGATAAAATAGAGGTAGCCAATATGGATGGATCGGATAGACGTGTGGTAATCAGCGAGAATCTCAAGCATTTGTTTGGACTAAGCATCTTGGATGATTATCTTTACTGGACAGATTGGCAACGTCGCTCCATTGATCGGGCGCATAAAATCACTGGCAATAATCGTATTGTTGTAGTCGATCAATATCCTGATCTAATGGGATTGAAGGTAACGCGGCTTCGTGAGGTGCGTGGGCTAAATGCCTGTGCTGACCGTAACGGTGGCTGCTCTCATCTGTGCCTAAATCGTCCACGGGACTATGTTTGCCGTTGTGCCATCGATTATGAACTATCGAATGACAAACGCACATGTGTAGTACCAGCCGCCTTTCTATTATTCTCTCGTCAGGAGCATATTGGTCGGATATCTATTGAATACAATGAGGGCAATCACAATGATGAGCGTATTCCCTTTAAAGATGTACGTGATGCGCATTCGCTAGATGTGTCTGTGGCTGAGCGGCGTATTTATTGGACGGATCAAAAGGGTAAATGCATATATCGTGCATTTCTTAATGGATCCTTTGTACAGCGCATTGTAGATTCTGGTCTGATTGGACCTGATGGAATTGCCGTTGATTGGCTTGGACACAATATATACTGGTCGGATGCAGAGGCACGGCGCATTGAAGTGGCTCGTCTCGATGGAAGCAGTCGCAGGGTACTCCTCTGGAAAGGTGTGGAAGAACCTCGATCTCTTGTACTAGAGCCTCGACGTGGGTATATGTACTGGACAGAGTCTCCATCCGATTCTATTCGCCGCGCTACAATGGATGGGAATGAGTTACAAACAATTATAGCGGGTGCTAATCACGCCGCAGGTTTAACTTTTGATCAGGACACTAGACGTCTTTACTGGGCAACGCAATCGCGACCAGCAAAGATTGAGTGTGCCGACTGGGATGGAAAACGTCGACAGTCGCTAGTAAATAGTGATATTGATGAGCCTTATGCTGTGTCTCTGTATCAAGACTATATTTATTGGAGTGACTGGAACACGGGAGATATTGAGCGCGTGCACAAAGTAACAGGACAAAATCGCAGTCTTGTGCACTCTGGAATGACATACATTACTTCACTGTTGGTTTTCAATGAACAGAGGCAGACGGGCGGTAATCCCTGTAAATTAAATAATGGCGACTGCCAACATTTATGTCTTGCTCAGCCCAGTAGACGTGGTATGACTTGTGCTTGCCCCACACACTACCAGCTGGCCAAGGATGGCGTCTCTTGCATACCGCCAAAAAATTACATTATCTTTAGTCAGCGCAACAGCTTTGGCCGCTTGCTTCCAAATACAACGGATTGCCCCAATGTGCCATTGCCAGTGTCAGGCAAGAATATAAGAGCTGTTGATTATGATCCAATAACGCATCATATATACTGGGTATGTTAATATGCAATACCATAAATTGAGGAGAGCTACCAAATAGATAATCAATTATTTGGTTTCATTTTAAATTGTTAGATCGAAGGACGCAGTCATAGCATTAAAAGGTCTTTGGCAAATGGTACCAAGACAACTGTGCTAGTCAATACTGGTCAACCATTCGACATTGCCATAGACATTATTGGTCGTTTGCTCTTTTGGACGTGCTCATACTCCAACAGCATTAATGTAACCAGGTACGTCAAGTTAAAAAAAAAAACATTCTTAATTAAATATATTTATAAAATGTGACTTTGAACATTTAGCTTTCTTGGAGAGTCAATCGGTGTAATTGACACCGGAGATTCAGAAAAGCCCCGTAACATTGCTGTGCATTCTATAAAGCGTTTGATTTTTTGGTCGGATGTGGGCAGCCATCAAGCAATTATAAGGGCTCGTGTTGATGGCAATGAGCGCATGGAACTAGCTTACAAGCTTGAGGGTGTTACGACGATTGCCTTAGATCAGCAGAGTGATATGATATATTATGCGCACGGAAAGCGAATTGATGCAATGGATATAAATGGGAAGAACCTGTAAGTGAATATAAGCCTCAACTCATATAAAAATTAATAACATGCAGAAGATAGATTTTTAAGGCATTCGTTATATATTTGTCTTGAATTGGACGGATTTAGTGTTTAACATAATATTCTATTACTTGTAGAAAAACACTTGTGTCTATGCACATATCACAAGTTATCAACATTGCGGCGCTAGGTGGATTTGTCTACTGGTTGGATGACAAAACAGGAGTGGAACGGATCACAGTGACGGGGGAACGTCGCTCAGCGGAGCTTCAGCGACTACCACAGATTACGGATATCCGTGCAGTGTGGACGCCTGATGCAAAACTGCTCCGCAATCATACCTGCTTACATAGTCATACAAAGTGCTCACATATTTGCATAGGAAACGACGAAGATGAGCGGCACCCACGAGATATTTGTTCCTGCCCCAAGCATTTAATGTTGCTCGAGGACAAGGAAAACTGTGGTGCTTTGCCTGCCTGTGGGCCTGGTCACTTCACCTGTGCAGCGCCAGTGGCAGGAAATAGTGATATGAACAAGGACTGCATACCAGCATCATGGCGTTGTGACGGCCAAAAAGATTGCCCCGATAAATCTGATGAAATTGGATGCCCTTCTTGCCGAGCGGATCAGTTCAGCTGTCAATCTGGAGAGTGTATTGACAAGTCTCTTGTTTGCGATGGAACTACAAACTGTGCTAATGGGCATGATGAAGCAGACTGTTGCAAGCGGCCAGGTGAATTTCAATGTCCTATAAATAAGGTAATAATAATAAGAATATTTGTATTGGGCACAAATTAGTAACAAAACCCTTTCATAGCTCTGCATCTCTGCGGCTCTACTTTGTGATGGCTGGGAAAACTGTGCAGACGGAGCTGATGAATCTGCAGATATTTGTTTACAGCGTCGAATGGCCCCAGCATCCGACAAGCGTATTTTTATGATATTAATTGGTGCCACAATGATAATCATATTTTCAATTGTTTATCTGCTACAATTTTGTCGAACGCGCTTAGGTAAAAGCCGCTCAGAGCCCAAGGATGATCAGGCCTCAGATCCTCTGTCGCCCTCGACACTGACTAAATCACAAAGAGTTTCGAAAATTGCCTCTGTAGCAGATGCGGTTCGGCTGTCGACACTAAACTCTCGAAACAGTATGAACTCGTATGATCGTAATCACATAACAGGTGCCTCTAGCTCAACGACTAATGGCAGCAGTATGGTAGCTTATCCAATAAATCCACCACCTTCGCCCGCAACGCGTTCACGTCGTCCTTACAGGCACTACAAGATCATTAATCAGCCTCCTCCGCCCACACCGTGCTCAACGGATATTTGTGACGAATCAGATTCAAACTATACTAGTAAATCAAATAGCAATAACAGTAATGGTGGTGCCACTAAATTGCCATCTACTTCAGCAGCCGCCTGCCTTCAGTTTGGCTATGACAGCGAACCATATCCGCCTCCGCCAACTCCACGTTCGCATTACCATAGCGATGTTCGTATTGTGCCGGAATCTTCATGTCCACCATCGCCATCATCACGCAGTTCTACGTATTTTTCACCATTACCACCTCCCCCATCGCCAGTGCAATCGCCAAGTCGTGGTTTTACGTAACATTTCGAGTTTTATATCTAAAGACTTACATTTTTTATTTTTGTATAAACGAACATAATGTTTACATATTATGTATTTATACAGAAATTGTATATATTTCAATTTATTTTTGATGAAGAAAGCCCTTTGATAATTAATATTTAATATGTTAGTATTGTTAACCCTGATTCATAATAATTGACGTGTGTAAAAAGTATAGCTATAATCTTTTTTATTATATATCGATCTCGTTAAGTTTTATTTGCCGAACGACAATTAATATTATCATGTAACATTATGTACGCCAACAATGGTCTGCAATATTTTTAATAAAATGAAAAATTATCCAAATAGATTTAAAAAAATATATATATAATTTATAATACAAAAACTTAATTTTAAAAAACATACACATTACCTATCCGCGTGCCAAAATTTATAAAATACATGCATTATTTGTACCTAGTAACTACTAAGAATATAATTTTGTAGCCCAAATAATATTTGGTTAGTTATATTTTAATTTTTTGTAAATAGCTAGTTGATTCACAAAATATTAATTTTCATTTAATTTCTGTATTCTTATAAGCATCGAAAGTGCCTCGGTAAAATGTGTGTGTTTATTACTGTTTTGTACACGATTTCTAATTTGTAAAAAAAAAAAACGTAAATAGATAACTTTTGTTAATTATCGCAATACTAAACAACTTTTAGTAAAAGTATTTGTAATTAAAATACACGCCTACGAGACCCTTTACCATTAAAATATTAAATGAGCAGTATTCCTGAATCAATTTACTGAAATAGTTATTTATTGAGATCTATTTTAATCATTTCGCTCTACTCATTTTATGCAAAACAGTGCATTTTTCTGGACATGTAGGTAACTGGCAGAGGATGTCGTGGTTGACAGTACCTAAGTACACATACATTATATTATTATAATTATATTATAATATTATTACTATTTTGATAACTCATTCCATTCCTTAATATGGAAACAAACAAAATTTATAACATTTATGTTATTCAGTAATGTATTTCCGATAAAAGGGACTCTCGAAAGACAAATCGCAACCAAAACTTGTTGCGTTATACTGTTGTAAGCTGTCGCTACTTAGTTTTTAGCTCAGATATTCTTTGATAAAGAAACTAATTTTGTGGTGTGATTTTGGGAACGCTGGGCGCCATAATGCTTTTTTATAGCTTCATTTATTTAGTGTTTGGTATTATATAAAATAATTCAGAGCTTAAAATCCAACATGGTCTTTATTTGCCAAATCATTATTTTGCTCGCTTAAATCTAATGTACATAATATTGTAATAATTTAAAAGCGCATTTATAAAAATTCTACTTAAATATTGTCGTAATCTTCATCTAATTCGAAAAGCGATCCACTTATTGGCGCTGATGCCGAAGTAGCCTTTGGAATGTTTGGAGTTTTGCTCTTGTCAGCCATATAATTAACCGACGATTCAAATTTAGTGATTGAATTATTATTATTTCCAATCACATTGGTTTTATCTGCCGACAATATTCCATAGCTAATCTTTGTTGGCGACGGTACCGCACCAGTTGCTACAATATTTGTAAGATCAATGTTTATAACCGGGGGTGCAATATTAACGTTTAGCATGGCATTTGAAGTGCTGCCATTATCGCCGTCTGTTGGGCATATTGTCGTTGTCATTTGGACGTTGCTATAATCGATTTTAACTATAGGTTTGTTGAGCAACTCGTAGTTGCATATCGGTGGAGCTATGGCAGTGTCTTGTGGTATTCTTCTATTGTAGTGGTCATTGGTGTCGTTGGGTTTTCCACGCGGAGTGTACGCAGGCGATGATTCAGACCGTGCTAACTTTGTGGGCAAATGTCCAGCATGATGCCGAATCTGTGCCAAGGCTGCTGCTGTCTGCACTATAACTGAGGGTGTGGATGGATTGTAGTTTCGTTTCTGTCCGCCTCCATTTAAACTAACAGAACGCACGTAAGAACTGTTTCCATTGGGTAACGCTCGCAGTGATGTTGACGGCAGACTAAGGTCATATGGTGTATCTGAGTCTGGGTATTGTTCTTCGGAGCTCTGTACATCATCGTCATTGTAATTAAACGCCGCTTCTTCGGCGACACTAATGTCTGGTATGTTTTTAACGAGCTCTTTTAGGAAATCGAATCGTTGCTCAGACATAATGCACTGTTTCATATGGGATGGAGATAAAGTCTTAGCGTTGCGTGAATTTGTTATACGCAGCGTTTTAGTTAAAAGTGACTCCACAAACAACTCCAAAGTCCGTGATATGATAACAGGAACCGCTTGTGCAACTTTACCAATTTCCTCATCACTCTGCATAATTTTCTTAATGCGACCCTGCCAATTTAAAGAACGGTCAAATAAATATTTCAATTCACAGATTGCGTTTGCAGCATATACAAACTGATAAACCCATCGTAGTGATAATGATGCACGCAGAAGTTTTACGCATGAATCGCAGATCTACTAAAAATTCTGTATATTTTTTTACTTACCGCTGGAAACCGTGCATTGTACTTTTTCTTTTTTGATGGCATTCCTGATATCAACGAATGTAACTTTAACTCAGATTGCTATGACTTAAATTTTTACTTGCTTGTTTTTACACAAGAATAGTTCCTAATAGTTGCATTGGAGAATGGCAACAATTCACATAAAATATCTTTCAGTTAACATTCACCCAGAAATATATATTATATATCAAATATTGTTTACAAACAGAAAACTACATGGAATGTAACGCAATAAAGAAAAAAATACAAAAAGGCTATTTATGAAATATTTATTTTTATCCTTTATGAACAATGTATATATTATCAACGTTGTTTGTCACAGCTTTGTGAATGTTTTGTTTTTATAATCAAAAATTTGGACAGTGTGGCAACCTCTTAACAACGCTATGTGAATGACAGGCTTTACATCATAAAAAGATTACTTCCACCGCACGGTCAATTTACAATTTCGTCCGACTTGGCTTTCCGAATTATATTGCTTTTTATTGATGTCTAAAACTGGAAAGGATCCATGTAAACCTTTCGCCTGTGCCATACAAGCTTGTTTAACGGGTATGTAAATGTATGAACCCACAATATTATGCAATGTGGGTAAGTCCATATACATATGTACTCAAATATTTTTGCAGAAAATAACTTTCAGGAATATAGATGCAGTGAGGTGCTTGAGCGAATGCGTTTGTGCTGTGTAAAATGGCATAAGGAGTCACTTTGTTGTAGTGGTATCAATTTGGAAAAATCATATTTACAAAATCCAAAAGTAGAAATCAATCCAGAGGTTTCCCGCAGGTATGGTGCACAAATTCTTAGTCTTATTCTAGACGATCAAAGACTGTAACATTTTTCCTAGTAGTAAAAAATAATGCCAACACCAACACCAGTACCTTCATACAAGCCGCCCAAAGATATTCAGGATTTCTTGGACAAGAAAGAGCAAACATATTTGCGCAAACGAACTGCTGTCTTACCGAAACGTTCTTGGATAAAGCGTAATCCGCGACTATTTCAAATTACATTTTTGACAACATCTCTCTTTATATTTTTCTCTAAGCCTCTTTACGACGCATTCATAGCCGATCCTTTACCCTCGAAGGGGTTTATACCAGCCCATAAACGATAGCATGGAATCTGTACGTAAGGCCAATACCCGACTACGTAATTATCCATTACTGCTTACAAAGTGCTCTGATAAGGCTTCGCTATATGCGAAGTGTGTATCTCGAGATATTAATGTGCAGCAAAAAGTTTGCGAAACCGAGTTTAAGGAATTTTTATACTGTATGCGTAAAGCTGCCAAAGAGCTGAAAACAAAGCTGTAATTATACTATATTTATCATTATATTGAACATGTCTGCAAAAAAGGAGCAATCGCTCCCAAAATACTTCGGGCTGCAAGAAATAGGACAGAACATAACTAATTTGAGCATTCAATCACATCTAATAATCTCTGCTGTGATTCGACTTTTGCTTATTTTCTATGCCCAAATTCAAGATAACAGTTCGACTGTTCCATATACAGATATTGACTATAAAGTCGTAACAGACGGCGCTCGGCTAGTATTGACCGGAAACACACCATTTGATCGACATACCTACCGTTATAGTCCTATTTTGGCCTATATTCAAATTTTTAATGTTATTTTACATCCAGCATTTGGAAAAGTAATTTACGGACTGTTTGATCTACTCCTTGGAATACTTATTTATGCCTTAGTGCGTTTTGAATTACGAATGAAAGCGTACAAACATTCACAATTGCAGATATCATCGAATAATCCAAAAGACACAGATGAAGAAACTACTAAAATTGCACGCATCTCTGCGTGCTTTTGGCTATACAATCCGCTTACAGCAGTAATATCAACCCGTGGCAATGCTGATAGTTTGACTAGCTTCTTTGTTATACTAAGCGTGTATCTTTTAATTAGAGCGCAACATAGCAACATATATCAGTCTTTGATTGCGCTCTGTACAGGTCTAATTCATGGATTCGTGATACACTTACGGCTATATCCAATTGTATTCAGTTTAACATACTATTTGGCATTGTCAACGAGTAGCGTATCGAAAAAACCTCGAGGACTTTTGCAAATACTGTTTCCTAATAGGCAACAGATTTACTTAATAATCGGAACACTTATAGGACTAGTAAGCTTTACTTCGACCTTTTATGCGCTTTATGGATGGAAATATATGTACGAAGCTTTTTTTTATCACCTGATTCGGAAGGACGTACGCCACAATTTTTCGCTTCAGTTTTTGCTACAATACCTGAGTAATGCGGATGGACTTGGAGAAACACCGACAATTGTAAAATTTCTTGTAGCAGCACCACAATTGCTACTTGTAGTTTACTTAAGCTTTAGTCTTGGACGATCTCGGCAAACACTAACTTTTTGTGTGTTTACTTTGTCTTTCGCTATGGTCACTTACAATTCTGTTGTTACTTCGCAGTACTTTATATGGTATTTGGCTGTGCTTCCTGTATGCATAAAAAATTTTAAACATCTGTCGTTGGTAAGGTGTGCATTGCTACTTCTTCTTTGGCTGTGCGGTCAAGCTTTATGGCTACTACCCGGATATTTATTAGAGTTTAAATCATGGCCAACATTTTATTGGATTGGTATACAGAGTACGACTTTCTTTGTTATTAATAGTTATATTTTATCACAGCTGATAAGTAATTTTCACCTATAATCATGTAATACAATGTACAATATATTTTCTGTTTATAGAATAATAAAAATACGATACAAATGTTTAAGCAATAGTTGATAGATAATCAATAAATTAAATTTTCGATAGTAAAATGATTAACTATTTATTTAGTTCAATATTTTACATCTGATGACATAAAAATAAAAAAAAACATGTAGAAGGAGGCAGATCCGATAAAGTATATGTATGCAGGATCAAGACGATGAGCAGAGTCTATATAGTCAAGTCCGTATGAACACAGCGGTCTCGTAAACTACAAAATACTTTATGACTACATGTATTCATGTTAGATTTTTTTTATGTCATCCTACTTCCTTGTAACGATCATTTTATTTTTGTAGTGGAAGTTGGTTACCACAAAAGCTGAATTCGAACTTACCACCTAGGTCTCTGTGATGAGTACAGAGATTCTAAATATTTTGAATTTTGGATACCACGACTCTTCCAAAAATTAGGCCTATCTAAAAATATTAACGAATCATCTTTTCATATTATGTAACTTTAATAATAAATATTGTTGCATTTATATTTGCAAATTGGTTTTGTTTGGGTTTGTTCTCAGGCATACGTAGTCGGTAGTTATTTCGCTGAAAGACCCTTACTATTCTATGAACTGGCTGTGGTCAATATAATATAGATAAGGGGGCTTTAGTGGGAAGTGCTCGTCTAGGAGATACAGGGGCCGCCAGCCAATGCCAAGCATGCGCTGCAAATTTACAGATCTGCTGCGCATTTACGAGATCGCAGCGCTCATACGGATTGGCACATACTCAGAAGAACGAATGGATAGATATAACGGTTTTGTCAAAATTATTATGGCAGCCAGAAGGCAGTTCCCATATTAATAGCCACACTGCAGTCCAAGCTCAGTCGCTGTGTAAACTTCTCAGCAAGCACACCGTGTGTTTTCATGTATGTGCGTTTGTGTATATGATTTATGTATATTATATATACATATCAGGTCTTAGCAGGAATCAGGGTATCAGCTAGTCGCGCAATCTCGACTAAACCAATCTTATAATCATTAATAAATAAATATAGTATATCTTGGAAATGTAAGCAACATATAAAATTATGTCATCGAAAAGACTTATCGGATGAAGTATCGTCTATATATTTAGCCAATTTGATAATATATAAGGTAACCAAATTTATATATTAAAACAAAATAAAGGTTACAACTAAATAAAATAGGTTTCTGTACAAAATAGTTTATACTTATTTTTAAGCTGAAGCTTTTTCTAAATATCATAAAAAACAAAATTCTTAACTAAGCTAAAATAAAATACTCAACAAGTTTAGATTACAGTTGGGATTTTATTTCAGTTCTCTATTGAAAAATGTTTCTGAAAAAGAAATTAAATGACACTAAATAATTTTTCATTTAAAAAAGATTTTCAAATGTACACAACATAGTTTAATTATTTTCAAGTTGTATGAACTTTAAAACCTGCTTACATTTACTATCGGACGTTCTGCTGTCAAAATTGTTATTACATTTTTCATGTTTGCAGTCTGCAAGATCGATTGAAAAGGTCTATTGAATCTTTGCTTTATTTCATAAGTATCAATTAAATTATGAAGATAAATATTTATATTTAAGCTTAATCTCCAGTCAAGTTAAATTAGGTAAAAAGTTTTTTTTATTGTATAATACACTTTTCTTTTCCACCGCTAATATCCACTTGTTCAAGCTCCCGTGCAATTTCCTGGTCGTCCTCAATACTGAAAAATAAATAAGACATACAGTGGAAACAAAAATTGGTGTGGAAGACATACGCTATTTCTTGATTGTGCAAATGCTGCACAAGCTGATCTCTCTTATCAACAATCGTTACTAGTTCCTCTAGCAACAGGCGTTCTTTTTCCCGTTGCACCTCAGTTTTGCGCCAATCCTCCACGGACTGAGCGGCGCGCAGTTCCTGGTTAAGCATTCTAAATTTGCGCTCAAGATCCTTTTCTTGTTCACTTTGAGAAATTAAAATTGATTATCACTAATCGAAATGTGTATTGTATTACTTACAGAATATTTAACTGCATTTGTCTCCTGAGAAGTGCATTTTTCTTATTTACAAGTGTAAACCACTGCGAAAGTAATTGCTCTTCCGTCTCTTCAGTTTCTATGAAAAAGTGAAATATCGTTAAAAATGCAACTAGGGTCTTATTCCGTAAAAAAGTATAAAAATAAACATTTTAGATTCTAACGAATAAAGTCTGTATTTAAAGAAACATTATTTTGGTGTCAGTATTTTCTCGCCGTCGTAGAGCGCTAACTTGTGATTAGTGATACTCTTTGTGGTTATGGTAAAAATTTGAAAGGAATTTTTTTAAGGCATGTCAAGGCTTAAGATAAATATTTTTTAACAAACGCAGCGCTTTGACAGAACGGTTAAAAGCAAAAACACATAACACAGATATGAGAGCGGCAGGCGTTTAGCTGTTACGTGCTGCTGCGGGCATGGCATAAGCAGTTAACTTAATCGGCCTTAGAGACACCACATTACCACAAAAACCGCGAGAACGTGACCGTCGATGTTTTTGTTGGCTTGCTTTGCGGCCAGTACGTCTTCGTCGAGAGCAAGCACCGTGGTCAGTTGCAGATACAACCAGAGAATTGTCATCTTCTCCATTAAAGGCTTGTACGTTATCACAGGAGGATTGTCGGGAGGATGCAACTAAGGCAGAATTACACAGGAAATGACTATATGGTCCCACGTGATGAACGTGGTGAGGAGTTTGGCTCGAGCCATGCTGATGATGCTGACAATGATGGTCATGTTTATCGATTTGGTGTTGATATGTGGGCTGTATTAGTGGATAGTTAAGATTTACATTCACAAAACATGACTGAGCGCGCGGCCGTGACCGTGTCTGCATCTTTTGCATCGGTTGCATTGCGATAGCTTGATCTTCCCGTTGCTTTTTTTCTTTTTTGCCAGAGGTGCTTGAAGTGTCACTATATACCTCTTCATCATCATTATAGTCTTCATCAGTACCACTGCCGGCAGCGCTTATACCACTACCAAATAAACTTTCATCATCCGAGTCAAGAAGCTTAATGCGTATGACATCACCACCACCAATGCTATTGCGTATTAATCTAAGGAAGGGATTTGTACCAGTTCGATTATTACTTGGATTACCGCCCATGACTGCACGGAGTTTGGCCTCTAGATTGCTAGCTTTTTGGTCAATTGCCTCTTGCTCGCGTTCCAATGCTTCCAGCTCAGACTCAATGTAGGTAAGTCTATCATTCTATAAAACAAACTTAAATTAAATACATAGACCACAAAAATTTTCGGTAAGCCGAAATTTGTATATACCGTTGCAGATTGGCTTAATCGAAATTATCAAAATAAAATAAATGTCATTGCTCTTAATCAGCGCAGACCATAACAGATCAAAAATATTTTAAAGCTTTAAATAGCCATTTAAGGTACAAAATTAAAAGGGAAACCAACTAATACTCGTTCACGGTCTAAAAACAGTTAAATCTTTTTTAGTAAAGGAATCAGGAAGGAGTTTGTAACAATTAAACCACCACCACCTCTAAAATAATATATATATAGCTGTTTTTTCAAGTCTGCCATGTCTTCAAGACATGGGACTTTGGTATATATAGATGTTAATATATAAACTATATACTTTTATACGCGTTGTCTAAGGAAGTATATATTCCAAATTTCCAGTCTCTAGATTCAATACGTTCTTACGGACCCTTTTACTTCGTGAAGGAGTATAATTAGTACAAGTTATAGGCAGTTTTACTTCGTACTGCAATATTCTGCAACAGTCAGAGTTTATTTAAGATTGTACTTACTCTTTTTTCATGCTTTGGTGAAATCCTTTCTACGACTGCGTTAAAGGATTGTAAAGGAGTGAGGTTTCCATCACTTAATCTATGACTAGGACTCGTGTGGATAACATGCTCTACAGTTTTATCCCCTGTGGAAGCTATTTTATTAGAAGTAACGTCGTCTTGAGACTCTCCGCTGTTACTGCCATTGTGAATAGGCGAAATTGTAAGTTCAGAAGTGTAGTTAAATCTCTTCAGGTTAGTAGGGGATGTGGGACTGCCTACAGCGTTATTTACAGGTCCGGCTATCTTATTTCGCGTTTCTAAGATAAGTCTTCGTGCCTGCTCCCGCAATCGCTGCTGACGCTCCTCCTGTTGCGAATATAATAAGAATAAATCAATTTGTATTATATCATTATATGTTTCCTTATTAATTATTGACGATGAATTCAGGCTAAGCGGTGTTATAAAAATGCCTATGTTTACTTACATCATTTGCATCGGGACGCTCGTCATAATTAGAAATTTTTAATTTTTCCATCATCAATTTAGCTTTTTCGCTCATTTCTTTGTGACGGGTTAATATGCGCTAAGAAAATAAATACAAACAAAACAAAAACAGTAACAAAAGCAGAAGCCAAAGCAGCCGCAGAATTGTGTATAAATTAAAAAAATGCAACTCAAATAACTCAAATAACAGTAGCGAAGGAAAATACTATTTTTTTTGGGCATAACTATAGCTTTAAACTGTGCTGCTGGGATAAAGATTTACTCACATTTGTTGCATTGGCATCTAGCGACATAGGCAATATTGGTTCTTTGCTAATCTTTGTCATTTCCTCATATGCATCGCCATCAATAAGGGGCGGAGTTGGGGTGTGACGAATCAATAATGATTTAGTTGTTTGAGTTGAGGTCTGCGTCGCGTTGGCTGTATTTTTATCTTTTGTTGGGGACAGAACTTTACCCAATATACTCTTTGAACTACTCAGTATAAGATTTTTAACATCTTTTTTACTGGAGGGTGACATCTGTTGTTGTTGACAAAGGTGTTCCTCTTCGAACGAGTTTTGTAAAAGCTGAGTCTTCAGATGCGAAAAGTTTATAAGATTTTGCGATAAATTGTCAGACTTATAATTTCCGATGACGTAGCTAGACTCGTCCGAAGTCTGACCTGGATATGAAGAATTCGCAAATCAGTTAATAATAGCATTTTATTTATATAATTGCTTACCAATTTGTTCAATTTGCAATTGCTTTCCAGTGAAGTGTGCCCTCAATTGGTGTAAATATGTCATGACAGCTAATTTATCTGGCACTGTGAGCAAATTCATATCACGCGGCTCAATAACTCGAGGTATCCCCAAAGTTTCTGCCGCATCAAAAGCAGTTCGACAGTTGCCAACAACGTCATGCGCACTTAGATTTGACATATCTCTGATATAAACAGTAATTGAAAAATATAACATTCATTAACTTTTTATATACATCAGTTACTTAACTACTCACATCAAATGCGGCATAAAATGGTGAATTATTGCGCAGAATGCCATGCCATTACGCCAGCTAGTAGTTAAATTTGTAACTTTTACATTTGGATAATCTTTGGTTACCTCTTTGCACCACTCTAACAAATCTTGTCCAGGGGTGTTATCCTTTAGCACGATCTTCTCTACGGGCTTTAAAGCGGAATTATTTAGTGTCGCGCAAATATTTACGGCAGGTGTAGTCTCATAACTTTTCTTTAAATTCAAGGGCTGAAGTTCGGGGCGCTTGACACTTGATATTACAGCGACGTTGTCTATCGACTTGGTTTGCTTTTCTATATATTCCACTGATCCGGTTGACTTCGTACTGATAGGAGTTACATTCAAGACAGCAGTCGAATTATTCTCCTGTGATTTCTGTACATCAACAGCACTGCAATCTTGCTTATCAAAGATAAGTGATTTATTCAAGTCGTTTTTTTTTAATATTACTAAGTTATTTGGTTTTTCTTTAGGGGTAGATGTTAGCACTTCATGGAAACTTTCGTTTTGATCAGATCTCAACGATTTAGAAACAATTTGATTTTCCTTTTTATCCTGTTCACTGTCTTTAGTTGGTGTAATTAGCTGTGCATCAGCTACCTCTGGAATATTTAATGGCTCATCCGCGTCAACTATTAACCGTGATTGTACTCCGACAGCTAACTGTATATTTTCGTGATCCGTTTCTACATCAAAATGGTGGTTAAGTGATTCGGCCAAAGGAGTTGGGTCTTCGGATAATGAAGGAACTGCACAAAACCATAAACACAAATTATTAAATTCTGTAATAAGATTCTACGGTCATATAAATTTCGTTTAAATAAGTAAACATTTTCGAGCGAAGATTTAAAACGGGGTTCGAACTAAATTCAATATAAATTCGGTAATGATGTAGACGACTATGCTCCACTACAATTATTGCCATGGTTGTCATGCAATCGATAATATAAGTAAATTTATATTAAAATATAAACATTTGAATAAATTAAAATATAACAGTTTTATGATCTAACAATCATTTGGGATTTAAGGCTATTTGTCATTCATTTTTACCCAAGTCAATGTCATTTGCTGACTCTAGTAACAGAAATTTTGTACACATAATATAACTTACTACTTAACGGCGTTGGTACATCGGTACATCCGTTTAAACTTGTCGTCATTTGCTCTAATTGTTGCGTGAAATCATATAAATTATCAGAGATATCCCCAGAGTTTTCCAAGTCTGGTATATCTTCCAGGTCGTCGAGTGGTGCAACGTCACAGTTGTTATTGACTGACATAAATGACACAACGCTTTGCATATCTTCATCACTGCAAGGATATTCATAAAAATAATTTTGTATATAAACGTGAGTTGGTGATTACATTAAAAGAACTCACGTTGCTTTTCCTTCTCGCAGAAAGACACAGCTAATTGTTAATTCCAAGTCTGCGGATGTTATTTTGCGAGAAACTGGCTTGAGGCTTAATGTAAAACTCTGCTGTGTAGACTCCACACTGGCATATTTACGCATATTTATACTTGCATTAGCCAATACTCGTTTTTTACCCAGAAGTGAAATCTATAAATATTAATGATTAAAACTACTATTTTCAAATTCCATGTAGGATAAACGAAGAATATTTCAAATTATTTTTATTCTATATAATGTTCGGGCTCACGTCTACTCACATCTTCAATTACAAATGTCCAGTCTTTGTCCTCAAGTTCATGAGTGCGAGGGTCTTTAAATAATGTTACTGATATAGCGTGATTGTCCGGAACTGGCCAAGAAATATTTCCAACTAGAGGATTCATCATATCTGGTTCCCATGGCAATGGTGAGCTAGCAACACGCCTCGAACGTCTTGTCCAAACTACCGAAAGATTTGAAGGGCGCCTATGAAAGCATATTTTAAAAAATACCATTATTATATATAATGTACCATTAAAAATATAATGGTAAGAAATACTCTTGTACAAAGTTAATTGGCTTTTAAGAATACGAAAGTCAAATATACTTCCCAATAACAAAACAATGCAAAGAAAAGGAAATATGGTATTAGTTTTCTCAAAATAACAGACAAACGGAAACGTGGCAGCCGCATAAAGTACATATATTATTCATCAGTACGACGAGCTAATTCGAATTAGGCGTGCCCGTCTGTGCGTTTGTATGAACGCGTCGATCTTATTGTTATCGATTACAACATTATTGAAATTAATTATTTAAATTATATCTATGACGTCCCTGGCGCTAGTCTCCAAATTTTGCACCTAGTTTCTAATATATCTTATACAATTTTGATCTTTGTTATAATTTAGATACCTGCTAAAAATTCTTTCAACTAATATGTGATACAGTATGCATTTTTACTAAATTGACAAATACTCCGACATAATATATAGATTTTATGCTAAAATATTCATTGAATCCGATAATTAACACAAAACTTATTTAGGAAAACGTTTGGCTAATTTGGAAATTCACGTTGCGCACACATACAATCAAATGCGTGTACTCTTCAATATTTGAAGAATCGCAATTGCGATTGAATTTTGAGCTGCTACTTTCCTTTGATTTACTTGACGTTCAATCGATGAAGGTGCTGTGTTGGTAGTGGTCGAGGAGTAATAAGTACTAAATTTTGTATTAAGTTGTAAGCATATTTTATATAATTTTAATTTTTGTTGGATTTTGGATGCCAAAATTCAACACATTCTTAAAATTGAAGTTCAGTTGAAATAGGGCCAATAAGTGAAGGAGTTTACATTTCTACCAAACCAATATAATATGTAGATCATATGCTGAAAATTTAAATTTAAATTTAAATCCATTAGTAAAACAGAAGTTATTAAATAAAACGTTTGGCCTATTTGCAAAACCACATGTCAAGAAGTGCCAAGCGCACGCATTTTTCCTATACATGTGCATATATACATTCAAATACGTGTATTCTTTTCTATTCGAAGAATCGAAATTGCGATTGAATTGTGCTATATTATCAGCTGCTACTTAACTTCCAATTTGCAACTTTTTATACAAGCAGTACAGTGAAGGTGTTGGTAGAGATGATGCTCGTTAAATAATATGGATTCGAATCTTGCCGTCTTAATGTCATTTTTGATTTGTTTTTTTTTTTTTGAATACTCGATACAAACTATGGAAAATATTAAAAAACGTGGATAGGACTAGGATCAGGGTATTGATAGGCTGCGTTGGCAATCTTGGAGTCGAAATGTCGGTGCTTATTTGTTTTTTTTTTTTAATACTCGATTACAAACATAAAAAAATGAAAATACGCGAGTAGTACTGGGATCAGACTCTCCTAGCATCCCAACTAGAGCTTTCTTACTGGTTCTTTATTTTTTTTTGGCTTTTTTTGACAAACAGTTCGAAATGGAGTATATTTAGTTATTTTCAGGGTATTTCCAAGTAGGACCGTATCGTCTAGAGCTTTTTTGTTGTATATGTACAGTGTCAAGCCTTTTTAATTATTTTAATTAAAGTAAATTAATCTAAAATACAATAAAGTATTACAATATACTAAAAGTATATTTATAAGCATATCAATAAATACTATATACACCAGCTGGACAGTGTACTTTTAGAATATAACGAATATATCTGCAGCATTTTAAGGCGTTAGAAGAATATTTCTTCAAATTCAATTCTTCAAATTCCCTACGGACGTCTTTAATGAGCGTTGTTTTAGGCTTAGCTCTTGATAAGTTGAAGTTTCTTAAATCAAATGGTTCTTAAAATGGTTTTTTCTTTTTTCGATACAATTGAAGGTCTAATATCCAAACTAAATAATTTGTAATAAATTGTTATTATCTTAATAAATGTCTAATATAAATTTAAGTTTAATATAAAAGTTATTTGGTTGCTACATGCCCAAAAGTGAAAAAAACATTTGCACAATCATTTCGTCATATATTGAAGTTCTTATGAAAAAATATTTGTGTGCCTAATAATAAACAATATTTCTGTCTTTAAAAAGTTAAACAGAAAAGTACAGGTCAACATTTATGACGACTAGTGTATTTATACATACAAACTTGCATAATTAAAATACTTTATTATGTTTATGAGAATATAGTTTTTATGTAAAATATATATATTATTTATTTGCATACTTATAAATATACTTGATAGTCGACAAAAGCTTTCTTGCTTGTTTTTATATAAAAGATTAAGTCAATGTCTGCATATCTGTCAGCTTGCTGCTATATATACACTTATATATATGCTTGTTGATAGGGCATTTAAAACCAAAATGTGGGTTGCTGGTATCATGATTGGGTTGTAGGATATAACCTGAACCCCGGTCCGAACTGCAATTTTAAATATATTATATACCTTGAATCTAGCAAAACATTTCAAATTTTCTAACTGTTTAAAAAAAAAAACAAAGAAAAGAAGAAAACAGGAAATTAAGGCCACCAGCACTCGAACCAGTATATCTTTGGCAACACGCATTACAGCTATAAAAATTGCCATTTCATTTTTGGAAAAAATAAAAAATCTCGCGATGCCAGAAGTTGTACTCATAGATTCTAACGACGCGCTTTGCCACTAGCAACACAGCACCACCACTGTTTGAACGGAAAGCATCAAATCAAAGGAAAGTAGCAACTCAGAATTCAATCGGAATTGCATTCAAATTCAAATAGGAAAGAATGCAAGCATCTGAATGTATATGTATGTATCAAAATCGTATAAAATATATATGAAACTAACTGCATGCATTTGGGGTTTCTACCTCCAGAGGCGAATGAGATATAATTTAATAACTGAATTTCCATGACTTAATAGAAATAAAATAAACAGAAATATTTATCGATTTCAAATAAACAAACTTAATGTGAACATACTGTAGGCGTGATATATTGTCTCTAGGCTTATAGGTTCTGAAATCGACAGACAGACGAACATGGCTATATCGACTCACGTCGTCGCCCTGATCGAAATTATATATACTTTATGTGGTCCTGCCTGTTACACACAACAAGAACATCCTGATTTTTAATTTTCAATTGGTTCAGGGTATGAAAACATAGCAAGCGAGCTAAAAAAGTATATACATTTTTTCGACAGAACTTTAAATAAATTTCAATATTACATTAATTTTGACTTCGCAAAAATATATATCTCACTTACCACTTGGCGGTGGTTTCCAATCGAAGGTCATGGTACGAGGCAGTGAACTGAAATTTCGCCGCACGTTTGTTAACTCGTTGTAAACGTTTCCAGACGCTGCCCATTATGAGCCCAAACGTTTTTATATCTAATAGTTTTTAAAGCTAAGGCACACGCGTGATTCACATTCGATGCTTGTTCTATATTGTTCTGTTACAGATTTGATCAGATTCAATACACTCTATAACAGACCATAACACTTTAACTTCAAAGATATTTTTGGGCCATTACTGTTTATATCTCTGAATTATACTACTACACAAAATTCACTTCTGTAAAAAATTGTATACACATTTTAAGTTAAAATGTATTTTTTTAATTTTTTCGACTTTTTATTAATAAAAATAAACTATGTTAGAATATAGAAATGATTTACTCTGACAAACAACTCTCTACGACAGTCAAAAAATCTTACATAATTCAATATGGTTTACAAAATGTTACACGTTCTGTACTATAGCAAACGGACCGTCTTTGATGTGGTACAATCAGGAAGGGTATGTATGTATCTAAATTTATATTTTATACAGAAAATATATGTTTCTTTATATTTATTATATACATATAATATATATATATATATATATATATATATATATATATATCTATATATATGTATATATATGAAAATAATTTTATAAATTAGTGAGTTGCTAGGAATATGTATGTATATAAATACAAAGATATCTACATCGATTAAAACGACGCAATGACTTTGTTTGCCAAAACCATCGCAAAACACTAAATAATGTTTGTCTTCGGTTGATTTTTAGAATGCATTATCTACATATATGTATTTGTTAATTTTTGCATTAATATGTGTTTAAGAATGCACATTTGTGACCTTTAGGTGCCAGTGTCTTGTTTTTGATGTCAAATAAAAAAGAAAAATATTGATAAACATGAAAACATGAAAAATTGCTTAAAATATAGATATTTATTTTCTAAAATCTATATTGTTTTATTAATAAAACACGATTTTGTTTTTAAATTACAGCCGCAGTATTCATAGTCAGATACTAAATTGTTACATGTATATACGTATACATGTATTATGTGTACATACATACATATCTATATGACTGTTTGAATATACATATAGCACCACAATGACATCACACAAGTTGGAGCCAAATTTGATTGTATGCCTTCATTTCTATTAAGTCATGTCAGGTAACACCTCGACGCACTTATTTTATATACAACACTGATTTCCTTTAATAATAAGGCTTTTAACGTTATTTATTAAAAATCGCAATTCTTACAAACAGAGCACAGATAAAGAGAACGCATAAAAGAGGTACAAAACGCAATTATGATCCGATATACATCGTATACTATCGATACCTTCGCCAGTTGCTGAAAGCGCCACAATCCCATATTCAGCTAGTTTAAAGATCAACTCTTTAGGTAAATAGAAGTTGCTCGTACGGCAGTTGCGATTCATATGTTTATTTATATCGTTTTGTATAACATTTAAAATTAATTAAAAAATTAAGCGTGGCTGTTTTTAAATTTATATGATCAAGAGAATGCATTTTTAATTGAATGTGTTTCAGTTATGAATCTACATATGTATGTATGGATGTGTAGGCATGCGAATACTATTTGTATGAGTCTCAAAATGCGTGTTATTATACACCGGCGTGGCAGAAAGTTAAATAAAATGTTTAGAATTTTTGAAATGTGTACCTATCACATAAAAACAAGGTGTTTAAAATCTGCTTCTAAATGTGCCGTTACCAATATCTGTGCATATATATTATATATATGTATATATATTTATTTACATATGATATATAATTTATAATATATAAATTATACATTATATACATGCATATATATATATACATATATATATATATAAATGTGACAATATGTATGTAATATAAAAACTAAGTATAGACGTCATATATCACAAATAATTTGTAACCAATTAAAATAAAAAAATTGTTTTAAAACAACAAAAATGAAGTAGCAACTACACAACCAATAATTTGTCAGACATCCCCCTTGAATATGTGAGTATACTTAAAATGTAACCTTACTGCCACGCCAAATCAACACCACGCAGTTTTAACACATACAAAATCTAAGATTTCTTGTTTGCCTGCAGTTGTTTTCCTTGTTTACAAAAGTCCTTATAAGCACGCTCAGTCTCTTCGTCCATTTCCGGGTCGAGATCCAAATCAGTATCTCTTACATCAAATTCGTCGCCGTCGCTTCCGGTGGCATCATCGTCTTCAGCGGCTAGAAAATCAGTTTCCTCTGCTGTAAGCTCACGCCCATCTGGGCCATAAAACACGGGCTCATCGCTCAAGCGTGGTGGCTCTGGTGGCTTTGCAACTGAATCGTCATCTCCACCTAGAGCATTCGAAACTTTTCGTCCCCAATTATTTTGTTGCAAAGCTATGACATTTGCAACCATAGCATATTTACCAGGCGACTTATATTCAAAAGCCTGTAATGAGGCAATAATAAATTGCATGTCTTCTTTGCAATCTGCACTTAGATCGTAACCGGCCAACTTCAATGTCTGGCAAATACAGCGCACATTTTCAGAACTCTCGTATGCTAAAAGCTTTTTCAACGAGTATACTATGTTAACGGCAATTAGTTGGATACGGGCGTCGTCGTCTCCACGCAACTGCATGTACAATTCAGCAAGAAAGAGGGCTGTCTCTCTGACTTTTTGCTGTTGTTCTATCGACTGCATATATTTGTCGACTTCTGCCCGGTGATAGTCCAGCTTACATTTAAGCAGCGTGTGAAATAAGGAATCCGGTTTGAGATTGAGCATATGCAACAGGTTATACAATTTGGCTCCCATATATCTAAAATTGGGTTGCTCGATTGACTTTTCAAATATATCTTCCATGGCAATCGAGAGTACATAGTTATTACTCTCCATGCCGTCAAAGATTGTTAGGAAACGTGATGCAATTGTATCAAATTGTCCGGGATTCTGGTTAAGAATAAGTGTAGACATTCAGAAATTTAGGAATAAATAAATTATTGTAAGCATTACTCACCTGGTTAAGGCAATGTATTACAGTATCGAGATATTCCAAAGCAATGGTTTCCATGTCAGGATGAGAAGAGGCCGACGAAGTCGAAACGGCAGCCGATGAAGTCGATGGTTGTGGTTGTTGGTGGAAATATTGCTGCTGTTGCGGCGGCTGTTGTGCAATTTGTTGGAATGAATTATTTAAGTGCGGATGGTGTTGAAATTTCGATTGTGATTGTTGTGTGTGCTGTTGGTGTTGCAGTGTTTGTACCTGCTGCTGTTGGTAGTAATTGCTCATTGCACCATTATGCGGTGGGTGGCCAATATGCAGACGAGCTTGCACTGAGTTGGACAGCTTTTGCATATCATTGTTATACTGCTGATTTTGTGGGTGGTGATTATAATTTTTGTGCTGCTGATGCTGATGCTGTTGCTGCTGCTTATGACCATTCAAATAACGCTGTTGGTGTTGTACTGCATAAGGTGTTGGACCTGACGAATGATGCTGATATGGCTGTTGATGTGGTGGCGGTCCACGCTTACCCATGTTAGTGTTATTCGATTGGTTAGGTATATATTCAGCTGCACTAGCCGATAGCTTAGAGTGCCCAAAACCACTTGCCAAGTCGGCCATAATTGGTGGCTGTGAAGGAGCTGCATAAATAACAGGAGGACCTGGTGTAAATGCAGCAGGAGCATAGCCAACAGGGGCAAACTCATTAAATAGGTGTTGCTCTAGAGGCAGAGTTGGAGCCAGTTGTGGTACGATAGGAATAACTGCACCTGGTCCAGGATTCGGGCGGCGCAACTGCTCGTATTCTTCATCTTCTTGAAAGGATGCACGGCATGACATTGCGGTAGCGGCGTCGGACTCAAAAACTAAAAAAATATGTGTGTGAAAGTCTTTTTAAGTTTGTTTAAACATTTGTAAAAATTAAAAATGCAAATCACATTCACGCTCCATTGCGGTTACGTCGAGTGTCGCTAATTCGGTCAAAGCAGCAGACATTTTGTTTTCCTCGTTTTAAAATTATTTGTATTTTTATTATTTGCACAAAGCTGGTCACCAATCCAAATCAACGATGACTGGACTAATATTTTTGCTAAGCACTTAATGTCAAATCTATATTATGTTGTTCTCATTGCCTACCTTAATTGTCTTTAAATTTTTTACGTATACGTAGATAATTTTTTTTTCGTCTTGCTTGCGTCGTCACCTTTTACTGCCAATTCAACTTTCTTTTAACGTGTGCTCTCGTGTTTGTAGAATATAAATATAAACCTAAATTATTATTTAAAAACCATATTGTATAGGTATGCATAAATTTAAATATAATTAATAGCTTATTCTCTTACCAGTTTCGCTTTTTCCTTCAGAAATCTGTTGCAATAAATTGCGATTATCTTGTTTGCAGCGCGACAGCCACACAGGGTTGAAATTGACATTTTATCGATATATTAATATTTGGTGGAAGAAAATAATTTTTTATGTCATTTGCACATATTCTATAAGAATTACGGTAATACAATCAATACATTTTGCAAAAAGTTGTATATAACTTGAAAACTTTGTAAGGGCTGCAATTTTGTTAACTTTAATTTGTCAGTAGTTTGCGAACCAAAACTTTTTTACTATTGGTCACACTGTAAACAGGCAGTAAAGAAAAGAACTGCATATGTTCTTGTTGTCAAGAATTAGATTTACATACATATGGAAGTATCTTAATAAAAAAAGTTAAAATTTCTTAATATATTAGTGATACAAGTAATGAATAAAATTTGTATATGTTAATTTTATGTGTATTTCGTGCTTGTAAATAAATAAACAATTTTAAATTAATTCTAGTGCAATGCAAAAACTGTAAATACAATATAATCATCAAAAATAGCTAGATTGTCTTCTGATGTTTTTATCTACATTTGCGTATGTATATGTGTGTATGCTAATGCATGCAAATCATTAAAGTCACTGAACTTTCAATATGCACCCTGTATTGAAGTATTGAAGAGGATATATTGATGTAAATATAATGACAAAAAGATCAACAGGCAATTATCGACCCGACTAATTCTGCTGCATGAAATATCCAAATCTGCTCATGCTTATTAAGTATACTAACAAAATAGTCAGAGTATAGTTCGCGCGCATATATTAGTTTAATACTATTGTGCTTATCTATTTATTTGGTAACCGAAGTTGATCATGTTTAGTTGCCATAAATTAATAATAATTTCCCTAGTTTTGTTTGCAAGCGTTGATTTTGTTCTGCTAATTATTTTTCAGTCTCACTCTCCTTTTGTATAATTGATATGTCGCAAAAGCGTTCTATTTGTTTTCGTAATCTATCTGTGTATGTATCGTGACTTGATTAAACTAAACCCACATTTAAAGGTATATTAGAAATTTAAAAAATGAATATCCTTGACGTACATATATGTGTATTTCAAGCACAACCCTGGACATCAGTGTTGCTTGCCCATATCAAGCAAAAATCCGTATATACATTTTCTATATGTTTTATTTATTGTCAAAGCATTGAATGCGTTTTTTAAGACTTGTTCACGAAGTGAAAAGAGTATATTGGTTTTGTGAAATTCTGTTAAATGTATACTAGCTGGTATCCTCGTTTCCTGGGTAATATAATATATTATATATTTGATCAACATATTATGCCTATTATTAAGCTTAAGGACTTTAAATTTATAATATTTACTCGGGTTGTTTACCATCCATAATCAAAAATGCTTACAACATAAATTGGGTAAACTGTGTCTTCCATAAAGGTGGAGCCTCGAAAATGTCAGTTATTGTGGAAATCGTCTTCATATCCACAAGATTATATAAACCCGCGCATAGTAAGCACAGCAAAATTTTATCTTCAGCAGTTTTTCAGTTAGAAACTCTTTTCTAACTCAACGTGTCTCTAAATTTTACAGCTGGCTTACTACAGAACCTTTCCAGAGATTGAAAAAAATTGATACACCTGCATCATTTATAGTAGTGGTAAGTCAAAAAAATGCGATACAGACTTTTTCCCCTTTAATCGAAATAAAAAATTAATTTATTCTTAATTGTTCTATATGTAAATACAAAAATACATTTTTGCATTTTGAAACACAAATTTGTGGTTTTTAAAATGTTTAGTAAACTTGAAAAAGCTTTTAACATAGTACTGACAATTAGGCGATGAGAAGAATCAAATTCATAATTTACATATAAACATAAAATTATATTTTCACTAGGATAACATTAATATAAATAATAATAGTAATAATTATATATAGCTAAGGTATTCAATTAAAAAAATATTCTGTACCCCGAATATAGTACAAATTATATTTTACTTATTATTATGTTTATTTCAGATTGCAGAAATTTTCGACATAAATGAGTATCTACGAAATGTTTAAAATGCAGCATTGCTATAGGGATGTACTTCCAGTATTTCTGGCAGATTTTAAAAAGGATTTTGATTGCGACGATATTGAGGATACTCTGAGGACAATATTGAAAAAAAAGAAGGTTGATGATATTATGAATGAGGCACATCCATGGCAAATATATCGATTATTTTGGACGTTGCGGGACCAACGAAAGGAAGTTGTTGAGAAGTTTGTCGAAGAAGTGCTGAAAGACTCGCATGGGCCCAATTACGGCTTTCTACTATCAGCAATACAGAAAGAGTGTATAGAACCCAGCCTGAATACCGAAAATTATATTTCCAAAGTTGACCGCTTGTATAATGACAACCAAAAGTTCACTAAATATAATGTGCCCAGAATTAAACCATACTTGCAACTGCAGGAAGCTCTGCTTGACCTAAGACCTTCTAAAAACGTTTTAGTTGAAGGCAACCTTGGAGCTGGCAAGCAGTGGCTTGTCTTAGACGTTTGCTCGTCGTATATTGTGCAACGGAAAATGGATTTTAATATATTTTGGCTAGACGTGCGAGCGTGCTGCTCACCTGAAAGTCGTTTGGAAGCTCTTCAATCATTTCTTTACATAATCGATCACACCCAACAAAAAAATTGCAATCGAAGCGAAGTTCAATCACGCACAGATTGGGTGAAATCTCAATTGACAGATAAACTGAAGAGTAAGCCTTACAAGAATTGTCTTCTTGTTTTACGCAACGTTCAGAACAAAGAAACGTGGGAAGCATTTAATCTTGGATGTAAAATACTCCTGACCACTCGACACAAAAACGTAGTAAACTTTTTGTCAACTATTACCACGACCCATATCACACTTGAAGATGTCCTTACACCTCATGAAATAGAGTCTCTGTTTTCAAAATTTTTATCTGAAAACCAACACAAGTCACTTAAGAAGTTAACGCTGACGCTGACGAAAACAAATCCTCTTCTACTGACTTCAATCGCAGAGAGTATCCGTGATGGTCATTGTACCATTGACAATTGGGAACAGTAAGTAAATAACAGCTGTAAAATTATAAACAAATGAATTTATTTGATGTATTGAAAACAGAAAAAGCTCGGAAAAATTGAATTCAATTATAGAAACCACGTTAAATGTATTGAATCCCAATGACAAGCAACTATTTAAAGACCTTTTCATATTTCCTGACTGTGCCCATATACCTCTTTATGTAAGTAGTGAAACCAAAACAGCGATTACATAATTATTCACATTATTTTATCAAATATCTTATATACAGCTACTAGGCGTCGTTTGGTCAGTTAATGACCCGATAACCGTCGTCAATAAATTATATAAGTATTGCCTAGTTAAAAAACATGTAGACAATCAAAATAGGGTGACAATAACCCTTCCCAGTATTTATAGTGAGTTAAACACACATATAATGAATGAGGAAGTATTACACAAAAAAATTATTGAATACTATAAGTAAGTCATGTAAAGCAAAGCTCCTTTACTTTGAAATTTTAATAAAAGTTTATCTGTTTAGAATATCCCAAGTGTTTGATGAATACAATGGACTATTATTACCAAATCTGGACAGCTATTTTTATAAGTACATTGACCACCACATCAGCAAGCTCAAGAACAATATAGAGCGTGAGACATTATTTCGTAAAGTTTTTCTTGACTTTCGTTTCCTCGATCAAAAAATTCGAAATGATTCTACGCCTTGGGATGCTCGGGGATCTGTTTTACATACTTTGCAGGCTCTAAAACTCTACACAACCCATATAATTGATAGGAAATCATCTGATTATAATGCTAATAATAATGGTGTTGATTATTGCTGGCTCGTAAATGCCCTCTTGGATTTTTTGCTTAATGCTGAAGAGAAGCTAATAAGATCTGAATTTTCTTGCCTGTTACAAATTGCATTAATGACTGAAGACGGCGTAATCTATGATGAGGCTTATCGCCAAGTACAACGCTTTCCTTCTTACGTATGGTTTACTGAACGGTAATTATATATACTATATTTAAGACTACCTTCGTATAAATAATTTGTTCTTTATGTAATTCAAATTGAAGTGGACGGTTCAACCAGCATCGGCAAATCATTAATTTGGGCAAGGATCAGGTGCGCCATGCAATCTATTTGGACGATGACTACTGCCTGATGGCATTAAGCAATCAACAATTGTTACTTACAGACGTATCATTGGAAGGGGATATGACATATTTGCTTAGTGATGACAAGGAGTTGTGTGATATAGTCGAGATGCATGTATTCAATAAGCACAAACATCTCTTAACGCTGTACAGCAACGGAAGGTTAAAACTTTGGTCACTGCAGCAGCTTCTTCGTCGACGCAGCAGCAAAGGATCTTATTCAACTTTACGACCACGTCTTGGACAAGCGCCAAAACACTCACAATTTTGCAATGTCCAGTTTGTAAATAACGACGTTCAACGTTTGACTAATACTCATGAGGATAAAAAAATATGTTCCTTTTTTCTTGAGGAGAAGGATGATGAAGAAGAAAATATCTTCATACAACTACATGTCGCTTTTAACAACGGAGATATTTGTATATGTGACTGGGAAAATAAGGAAAAAAAATTCAAACAATCGCATACACCAATTTTAAAGACGCAACAGCGACAGTTGCGATGTTTTTCAAAAATTTTGGATCGATTTTATGTGCTGTGCACAGTTGAATGTACATTAACTGTTTGGGACCTACGCCGCGGCTCAAAAGAAACAGAATGTATATTCCCAAATGAAGAAGCTCTTACAATGGAAACTTATATAGATAAAGTCGGTGATTATACAATGCTGTTGCTAATATTTAAATCTAGCGTTTGGCAACTTCTATTCAAGCACGCTGATAACAATAGTATTATTCCTCTTAATCAAAAACAGCTGCAGTTCTCTGATGTGGGAGCTATATCTATAGTATGTGGCAAACTATCAAAAGACGGTCGATATTTAGTTCTTGGAACTATGCAGGGACTAATTGTTTATGACTTAAGTGTTTTCAATTCTGTTTTGCGAAGCAACATCAGCGAGCATATTATATGTTTGGATATCTATGATTTGAATAGTCCTAGCCTAAAATACATTGTTTTATGTGGCGCAGCTGGAAAAAGTGTTTTATATTTGCACACCTTACGAAATATTTCAGGCAATGAAAAGCATGAGCTAACATGGGTCCACAATTCTAAAAGAGAATATGGTCATTTAAATGACGTAAATTTGGAATTACAATCCCATTTTGAACCTAATGTATACCTTCGCCCGCTTTTAATAAAATCAAACAATGATGAACTATTTACAGTTGACTCCAAGTCACGTATTTACAAAATACATACAGGCGACGGACAAAAACAAAATGAATCCTACTGGTCAACGATCGCAACTCCACAGATGGGTCAGAGTAGTCATATAACTGCTTTATGCGTTTGCAAAGATAATAATATTTTTGCTGGTTACAGTAATGGAGTTATCTTTAACATTAGCAAAAACGAAAAGCTACCGCAGGAGTATTTGTCTGATCAAATAGATTATTTAAAGATGATTAATTCGACAATTTTAATTGCATCATCGAAGACTAAACGTTCTACTTTTATTTTAAATTTATCAAAATTAAACATGAATACAACGGGATCATCAATTTGGCCAATAGAGCTTGCAATATATACAATGTATGCTCGACTTTTTAAGGACCAATTTCTGTTTATTTTTTCAGAGAATGGTGTTATTGTAAGTACTCAAAATATGAAATTTTTTTTTAATATTTAATTTTTAAATATATCTGTACCAGTACATAGATTTGTTAAACCCAAGGAAACAACAAGTGTTTGACAGGCCCACTGACCGAGTGGTTGGATTTGATATAAAGGAAAACCAACTTTTTTTAGCTTTTAGGAATAGCACAGTTAAGGTTAAGTATGTTAAAAAAAAAAAACAATAGAAAAGTAACCGTATACTTATAACAGGTTTATGAAATGGATAGTAAAGGCGGTAAATTAAACTATAAATCTGTCTCCGAAAACAACATAAAAAGTAAAGATGTAATTAATAACTTAATAGTCACCTATGACGGTGAATTAGTTGCCATTGGATTTGAAAATGGACACATTAAGGTAAGAAGAAAAAATATGCTTACACATAAACTATAACTAAATTAAAATTTTGTTTTATTGTAGATTTATATATATAAGAAGCATCGCTTAACATTTATTTACACTATATCTCAGGGACATGAGCCGTGTCACTCAATTAAACTGCGTTTTTCACCTTGCAAGCAAATTCTTGTTAGTTGCGCGGAACAACTGTGTTTTTGGGACGTAAACTATATTCTTAATAATCGAGTGACTCCCAAATGCGGCAGCAGGCGGTACAACCGGGAGCTTGAGGATACAAGAGGTCGCGAGGAAGTTGATGCATCCCCCTGGTCGGACATCTCAAAGGATCTCGAAGAACCGACGCCCGTGTCAATACCATTATATAAGCATCTGGAAGATAAGAAAAACAGAGCTTATCTTTGGCGGGGGAAACGGGGAAACGCAAAGTTACCGGCATTGCTGACAGCTGTAACATTTGTAGGAAACAAAGGTTTGCATTTCTATACGAATGTTGACTTTACGCAATTTTATGCGTTAGATAACGAGGGAATATTTTATCACCTTAAGGTATTGGAGTTTTTAGGTGAATATAAACCGAAGCCGTCGAGTACAGAATTATTACGTAAAGTTGGTCTTGAGTATAGTAGTAATCAGGCTGTAATAAGTCGGACTCATGTCGCTTTTATGGATAAACAAGGTAATGATGGTATTGATGTCGTCGGTAATTCCAATTCGAATTCATATTTTATATCTGCATGCAATTCACAAGCTAAACCTCCATCTAACATGATTTGACGCCAATTGTGCGCCACATTTTGGCGCACAGAAAACATATATCGATATTCCCGGTTAACAATAATTGGATTATCTTTATATTATTTGGTAATGTTGGTTTTTTATTATATGTCCTTACATAAAAATACTTGAATGTATTGTGCAGTAATTTGTAATAAGAAAGTTGCATTATTATATATCAATCAATGCAAGATTACATATAAATACATGAGTTTATTAATCTATAATTTGCAATAAAAAAGTGGCATTATATATAAACCAAAGCTACTGTGATTCTAATGTTTATGTATTATTTCATACCATGACAATATGTACTAAATAAGATTACTGCTTATGTTAATATGTTTACATACGAATGTATATATTAAATAAGAAATACAATATATTTTTAAGTATTGAATGATTACTATATTGCTTATATATTTTTGTACTGCTTTGATATAAAAACAATAACAGAAAGAACAAAATAAACTGGCGTTTATGTCAAATGCTAACCTGTAAATTCGCGTAATTCAACAAAATGTACTTTTTATGAACAATATGTTCGCTATTTAAAAATATATAATGTAGTTAGATGAGTTAAGTTCGAACGTTTTGATAATCTTTTTTTTAATTAATATGAACGGTTACTATTTTAAGAGCACCTATTCTATATAGGGTGCTTATATCAATCAATGTGCCCATACACAAATGCTACACTCGAAATGTAATTAAAAATGACCGTCTTTTATCGTTTCGATGTTTTATTCTTCTCGATATATCGTCGGCTCTATTAACAGCGTCCATTTTGAGTATAACATAGTATCAATTTAGCATTTATTGCGTATAGTTTGTGTGACAAAAGGAAAGACGATTTTCAGCAATTTTTTTAATCCAATAATTAAAAAGTAATGTTTTGAATATATTATGTATATAAATTTGTGAATTTATTAGAATACATATTCTAAATCCGGCTACTTCCTCAGACGTTAAAAAAGATGCGCAATGCGCTAGGTAGTGTAAAAAAGGCAACAGACGTATGCGAGTGTGAGTGTATATAAACCAGCATATGAGTAAATATATATGTGTATACATATGTATGGATGCATAGTGTGATGGCTAGTGTGATGATCCAACCAGAGGTGCGTTCGTGTCGGGCTTTTTTTATTTGTATTCGTGACAATATGCGTATATGTGTATACACAAGCAATATGAATATCTCACTTATTTATCGTATATTATTGTTTTCAAATGTATAAATACGCCTTTAATAAATTAGTTGAAATTGATTTTATTGAACGCACGGACTTAAATATATGTGTTACCAATGATAGTTAATTCTTTTGTCAACCCGGGTCATAATATTCGTCACGCCTGCACCTCTGGATTTAGCAGCCTACAGAGCAAAACAACATGGCTGCCATCGCCACTTGTTGGATGTTTGGAGCGTATTAAATGTGCATATTAAAGTTTTTCAATTTACTTAATGTGTAAAAAATTATATTTGAATATTGATGCTTATATTCTCAATATATATATATATATATATATATATATATATATATATAAATATATATATATATATATATATATATATATATATATAAACACATGAATGCTATATATTTACTTATTTATATGTGTATATATGTTATACATACTTATATACATATATATATATATATATATATACATGTTTAAAACGGAGAATGCATACTAACGCCCATAACAGATAAATGTAAAATTTGCATCCAAAAATGCAACAGAACCTTCTTTAAACGCCTTCTATGATAATTTCGACAGCTGCATTTACGGTTGAAAACATACACAATGTTACTAAAACATAGCGTATATGTGAATATTTTACCTGTGTTTGGTTTTTTTTTTAGTGTAGAATTTTTTTTTTATATATTACTTGCAGCACCTTATTCCTTTAATGATATATTTATACCTTTAGAACTCGAATTTAAAATTTGTTTTTATTGTTTTTTTTTTTTAATTTTCTTTTTTTTGTGATTCTTATACAAGTATTATTATTTCATTTGTGTTAGAGGAAAAAAACTTGAAACGTAAAGAAAATAGAACTGATAGAAAAAAAACAGTATATTTTATTATTAGATATAAAACAAATCTTAAATATCGAATCCTTTTTTGTTAATTTTCATGTTTTAGATTAAATGTTTTTAAGTTATAAATAACATTCAAATCCAAAATTTCTTTGCGTGTATATTTAAAATAGGTTACCATGTAAAAGATAATTGCATTGTTATAAATTAAATTTTTAATACCCAATAATTTTTTGCACTCGAATATTCAATGTGTTTTAGATGAGCTCAGTGCCTTTTATGATTCACAGAAACTTTTGATGTTACTGTTGGCAATTGGATGATAAACAATAAAATATTTATACGAATACGGGCTCTTTCCGTTTTAACAAGAATATATCACGATACGCTGCAATATTAGGAAATTTGAATTTGAAGGTCATTACGAGACTCTCTATGGATGACCCATCAATCAAAAAGAGGTAAGTTTAATTGTAACCAGCCTATTATTGTATTTGAAACAAGAAGAACTATTGATTGATTGATATGAAGCGCTTCATTTACAAATTCCCCACTCTGTCGTATTTATACAATACAATATAATACTTTATATAAACGAAAGCTTATTCGCATTAGAACCAAATTTTCGCATCAAATAAGTCCAGAAATTAAATTGTATCTATTTTGTGGCTAATTTAATTTGTGCTCAATTAAATAAGGTCAAACAGTGGTCATTCTGTTTGGTGAGTTGATCTCGTAGCTTTGGCAATGACACTTGCTACGGCATGATTTGTTTGATTGCGAGGGCTGGCTATGCCTATTCACCACAACTAAAAGTACCAACCTTACTACAACAACCATAAAATATCGTTTAAGTGTTCTTTTAGTTTTGCAGCAGCGTTAGTATTTGAAATATATGGTGGGGTTTATAATTGCATAGTTCTATGTGACATAAAGAGCGCTCAGACACGGCGCAATTTATCCATTGGGAAATGAAAAGATTGAAGAAAATGGACGAGTATTATATTCAAATGTGTATAAGAGTATATTTGAATCACAGTAAATTGCAAATAACAACTTTCGTAATATTCATTTTCAAGATTGATTGATTTTGGCACCGACGACCATGATTACGATGAGGTCCAAGATCTACCAGAAGAATCGAACAATCAACTGCAACAGCCAACATCGCAGTCACATAGTAGCAATATTTGTGACAACTCTGTCACAGCATCAACCACTATTGCTGGTGTTGGCGGCACAACTGAGGATTCGCCACCAGAACTTCCTCCACCAAAGCAGAAATCTGTAAAAAATTCGAAGAACAAACAGAAACAGAAATCTGCCAATAAATCCAAAATACCGCGATCTCCGTCTCTTGCGAGTAGCTTCAGCAACTTAGCAAGTAGTATTAGTGGTATTAATAACAGCAACGTTCCACCACAGACACCTCCATTACCGACCAGTTATCAACAGACGAATAAAAATAAGACGAAACTTATGAATGGTGCGGAAAACAATGGTGGTGTCGGAGCGACGTCTGTGACTGGCCTTGTGGCTCCGGATCCATCTAATATTCTTGACTGCAACAGATCCTCTAACAGTGACAGCAATCTAATGGAGAGTGGTGTCCTTACAACTGATGGCAGTTGTGGCACTAATTTGGTTATGACTCAAGATTACCCCTGTGCATCTGGCTCGCGTTCCCAGATACAATTAAATCCAATCGCTCAAGTGCAGAAGCCGCCTACTCCAAACCCAGCATCACCAAAAAATTTTCAGTATTTAACTTTAACTGTGCGAAAAGATGACAATGGCTATGGCATGAAAGTGAGTATTCAACACAAATCGGATTTCATAGGATATGTTAAAATTATTTTATTGTTTAGGTGTCCGGCGACAATCCCGTTTTTGTGGAAAGCGTAAAGCCAGGTGGAGCCGCTCAAATTGCTGGTTTAGTGGCCGGAGATATGATTTTAAAGGCTTGTAGTCGTAGAATTTTAAAGAATGTATTGATTTTTTGTACATCTTTTTAAATTTTTCTGTCATTCTTTCTTTTAGGTAAATGGACAAGAAGTGCGGCAAGAGAAGCACCCAACTGTTGTTAGCTATATCAAAGGTTTGTATATAGCTTAATTCAATTTATTTTGATTTACACAGTTAAGATCGACATTCGAGTCTCTTAGTCTTTCACTGCGATTTGACTATTTATTTTTATTGCGTGAATTTGGTTTTAATAATATTTTTTGTATGCCAATAGACTTATTTTTTAAGACTCGGTTTTTTTTTTCCTACGTCCCCTGCATCGATTGACACGCTGAAATAATGCTTACATTTATGTATTTATATTTAAAGATTAACTATGAGGACTGCTTACGTGTTGTTACGGTTTGGGCACTTGGGTTTATTATCCGACCATCCAGCAGACTCTCTGATTGCGCACTTAGGGCAGTTGCATTTTTTATCTGGAAGGTCACAGCTCTTTTGTTTTTGTTGATCACAAGGGGGAACATCTGAGGATTTTCGACAAGATTCCTCTTTATAAGGAGTACCGGGAATATTTTTGGGATCTGTGTGTTTCTTTTTTGGACAAGTTTCCTTAATACATGGGATTTCGGGTATATTTTTTGGGTCCATATGATTCTTTTTTTTGCATTTGGATTCTACATCTGGGTGTGGTGCAATAGGCTGCACTAGAGCCCTTTCGTCAATTCGCATTTTGCGTTCATTCTTTTCTTTTTCCAATGCTTTCTGCTTTTCTCTTTCTTTTTGATACTTATCATATTGTTCTCGAGCGCGACTTGCGATATCGCTTGCCACGCCAGGTATCTGATCTAAGACAGCGTGTATATACGTAGGAAGCATATTAAGTAAGTCAACCAACGTTTTAACTGTTTGATTATAAAGGTAAACACCAAGGTAGGATTTTTCTCTTTGAGGAGGCAGATGCGGTACTTGAATGTTTAGGTAATCACAAGTTTGCTTGGCATATGGACTGATCCACTTGATTGTAGACTGATAAACTTCTTGCGTTTCGTCCGATGAATCCCAAATATTATAGCGTTTTGTGACCATTATTACAGCAACTACGATTCCTGTGCGCAATGCAAGATCTAAAATCATTTTTATGGGTTGATTTAACTAAAAATTTTGTTGAAAATCAAAAAATTATTGATCTGATTAAATGTGTACTTTAAATTTTGACAGGATACATTTTCAGCCGCCTAGGCAAGTTCACGTTTGCCACAGGTTATGTCATCCTTGATCTTTGGAAGTTTCATTGGGTGATTTGGTATGTTCACCGGTGCACATACGGTAGGGTTGCTTTTAAGGTCAATATTTTGTTCTTTATTATTATGTTCAAGGAAAGGCCAAGATTCATTTTCGGTTAATCGATTGGAGATTCTTTTAGATATATTTTCGTTTAGTATGTTTTTCGTATGTTTGACAAATTCAGTCGACCAGTCGGGCATGCGATAAGAAAAGTATAAACCTCGTTTAATAGCCTCATTATATTGTCGTTGGGCAACAAAACAGTTATCAAATGTGGTGTCTAATGCTCTATTTTCAAATATGCTGTCTGAGCTATCGGCTAACTTTTTTGAACTTCGTGTTATATGCTCAGCTAATTTATATGCCACTTCCGGCTCTGCCCAAACTCCAATATGCGTGGTATAAAGCAAAACTCCTGTGAGAAATCCCAAACGTCTAAGAAATTTATATGTCATGATCGTCATGTATTTGAAGTAGTTAAATTTTAATTTTAATATGAGAAAAACATAATTTGTTACTTGATTTGAATTTGCCAGTTTCAAGATCGCCTACTTGCCGTTGAATAACTGATTGATAGTCCTATTTACGTCGTCTGTAAAGCGGTGACAGTATTTTGGAAATCTGTTAACTACACGAAATCCTTCTTTTATACAGACATTCCAAGCGTCGACAAAAGATTCACGCCATAACATCGTTTTTTCTTTGTTTGTTTCAGAACACGTTGAACAGTATTTCTGTTTTATATCATCTGCATAAGGTTTTAATTGACATTTCATATCCTCGTAGATTCCAGCTGTTATATCAGGATTATCCCAAACACCCATTTCTTTAGTTAACCAGACTGTTCCAGCAACAAGAGCCAATTTTATAATTATTATCATAATGGCTAAAAGTATGGTTGCCCAATATTTTTAATACCAAACAACAAATTTCAAATATTGAGAATATTGGTTTTCGAATAAAACCTACAATTTCTTTAAGTAAGATTTTTTGGCCTACTTGTCTATTTAAAAAAAAACTCGAGACCTTTCTTAAATGTCCTGTATATAGCGTTGCCAATGCCCTGTTACCTTTTTCAATGATGCATTTACAAAACCTTCACTACAATTCAACGGTACATATGGTTAACATATCGAATTCTACTTGTCAAGTATTTTAGGCGTTTAGTCGTGTGTTTTGTCATTCTATTAGTTTTATTAAATATTACAGAATTTGTCTATATTTGAATTATTGATTTGGTTTGTATCTCATGTTATTGGTTATCCCAAAAATCCAGTTTTTGGTTATATATGTTGATCAGGTAACTAATTCAAATTTTAAAAAACTCCATTATCAACATAAAACGTTTCAAAAAATTATATTTTGATCTAATTTGCCATCCTAACATCAAATGTTTGATTTTCAAGCTTCTACAATTGTTGAACTGGCTGTAAAACGCAGCCAAAAGTCGTCTAGGCCCAGCTCTGTGGGTGTTGTTCCAACTACACCAGTACTATCAGGACGGGATCGAACTGCTTCAATTACTGGCCCTCAGCCTGTTGACGTAAGTAGCTGGTTGAATATTAACCATATAAAATACAAATATTTGTGTTATAATTACAGAGCATAAAACGACGGGAAATGGAGTCATATAAAATTCAAACTTTGCAAAAGATGTTAGAACAGGAAAAACTAAATTTGGAGCGTCTTAAAGGTGATACAAATAATGCCAGTTATAAACTATCGGAAGCAAATATTCGAAAGCTGCGCGAACAATTGCGGCAAGTAGGAGCTGAGGTGAGTAAACAAGAATTAGAAAATTCAATTTTTATATATTGTACTTGTTCGTATTAGTGTACATATATGCATAATTATTCATATACGCATTATCTATATATTATATAGTAACGTATATTTTGGATGTCGATCGTCGCATGTATAAAATATTTTTATAGTGATATTAATAACAAATGTGTCTTACGTTAGATACAGTGTTTAAATAATGCATAATATCCTATATAATGTAATTATATCCTAAAGTTATCCGTTTATACAGTTAATTATAAACAGGTTTTATCGTTAACGGATATAAAAACACTAAATTTATATGTATACTACACTATAGTGCACATCATACCTTAATCAAAGTTAATTTAACGGTCGGCATATATTATTGTTTATTTTTATATATATCTCAAATCTTAAAATCTTAAATTTATGTCGTAAAAGCTGTTACAATATACTGAATTTTTTACATAGTTAGGTCTTAAAATATTGCTTTATTTGCGCAATAAATCCGACTATTTTTATGCGAAAAAAATCATAAAACTAAAAATAACACTGATAACATTGAAAAATATGTTTGTCATATAATATGAATTGATCAAATTATATACATATTCACTGGCACGGCTTTATGTATATGTGTACATTTATATAAACATGCATTCATATGTATTTGCATACGAACTATTTATTAAAATGTTTACAATATTTAACGTGATCATCTTAAAATCATTAACTTCAGGATACGCCAACAATTAAGTGTCAAGCCGCAGCAGGCGAGAAAAATACTGATTTACTAATGCACAATGCAATTCAATATTTGTCTGTCGCCACTCCTCATCACAATCAGCAACACCATCTTCACAACAACAATCATCACCAGCAACAGGTTAGCACACAACAGTCGCAACACACTTCACCCGCATTCCTATCGCTACTGCCTCGTTCACTTTCGTCCCTTTCGTTGGGCACGCGAAAGAATAAAATTGACAAAGATCTGCTAACCTCGACACTAAACAATACAACGGACGTATTACCCCAGCCACGAGTTCAAGATGCTTTTAATCCAATGTCACAGTCACTTTATCATCAAATCAATGCAAATATGCCAAGTCCTCAACATAATACTCAGCGAAGTTTGCAGCAACAATTTGTTTATCAGCAACAGCAACGATTTAAAGAAACTTTGAAATCAACTTCGGGATCAAAAGCTAAAAATGTTTTTACAATGTCTAAGAGTTTGATTGAGGAAGACATACCACCGCCTCTACCGCAAAGAAATCCAACAAGGCAACTTATGTTGGATTCGTGTCATCCAAATACTATCCACCAGTTTTCTCCGATTTCTGATTTGGATCGGGCTGGCAGTCCACAACGCAGTTCACCGAAGTTGAAGTCAAATAATAACGATGGCACTGGTCTTGTTTTTAATAACAATAACAATAGTACCAAGGGAAAGCGATCTAAAATTAAGGCTAAAGCTTTATCGGATCCAAAAATGACAACGCAAATGTTTTTACAAATGGAAACTACTAGTAGGTCGATGGCAACAGAAGATGTGGGTAATAGTGAAAATATTGAAGTAGACTCTTGTCCGCCTCCACTGCCTCCACGGCAGCCGGGAATGCTGTCGGAAGAGATAAGTCGTGGCAGCTGTCAGAACCTTAATAGTGGACGTGCACAACCAAATTCTCTAAGTACTGGTTACAATTACCCACTAGTTGCCACATGCACTGCAGTTCAAAGCGACAATATAAAGGCTGCTTTTCCACTTTCACAACGTCCGAACATTGTTAAGAAATTGCAACAAAACCAGCAGCATCCCCTCGGCGGTGTGTCAACTGCAGTAAGTAATTGGAGATCTCTCTGTCCATAAGTATAATTACTATCTCTCTTTATTGTTATGGCATATTATTCTTTCTCACAACTTGCATATCTATATTTTTGCCCTTGATCAGAATTTTTCTGACTACTATTATTGCTTTGGTAATTGACTGCACATGATCACTTTCTCACGCATACATTGCTTAGAATTTGTGTCTGCTTTTACATTTTTAAATATCATAACTGCCCTTTCTAACAAGAACTGTAACATAATAACAAACATTTTTTTCGCCTAAAAACTCTTAATAAAAATAAGGACAAATGTAAAAGCTTGCGCGTATCTATACATAAATATGTATACATATAAATATATTATTTCATAATCTTGTTGAATCTTTTATAAATATATATATATTCAATATAAGTTTAATTGGTGTTGTGTAATATTTATATTTATATGTATGTATATAATCAAATATAGTTATTGTAGATAAAAAGCACACAGTTTTTCTTTTTGAATTGTATTTTTTTTAAATTGTGATTTAAAGCTAATTTCTACTATCTATATCTATAGGCCTTAGGTCAAACACCACCACTTAATCAAATGAAACATCGGCGCGTTGGATCTTCACCGGATAATATACATCCAAGACACCCAGGTAACGCTTTATTGTTAATCGGATTAATTTTTTATTTAATATTTAGAAGTAGTTTATGTTCTCCATTATATTTAAATACCATTGTTTTGCCCTGAAAGCTTCAAGATAAACGTGAAATTGTCGCCTTAGGTTTTCAATATGGTATTTCAGTGAGGGAACCAAAAAAAGGGTAAACCTATTGAATTCACTAGTCGGAAAATTACAATTGATAAATTGTTTGGAATTGATTAATATTGCATACTTATTCCATATATTTGTTTTTAAATTACTACAGATCGATTAGTAAAAACCATTTCTGGCTCTTGGGAAATTGTGGAAAAAGATACGGAGATAACACCACCAGGTACTCCACCACCACCGTACTTAACCAGCGCGCACATGTCCGTACCTGAAGATCCCAATGAAAACTGTAGTGTCGGAGCGGGAATATGTATAGAATCGCATCACTTTACTCCTATGGCAGGCGCAATTTCACCTTCGCAGCAGGCTCTTCATTCCAGCCGTATACACGCAGCGCAATCCACTGACACTCAAAAGAAAATTATTTCAATGGAAGACGAAAATTCCTCCGATCAGGAAGAACCATTTATTGATGAGAATGGACCATTTAACAACTTAACACGTTTACTTGAGTCCGAAAATGTTGTTTTTCTAGCTGTCTTCCTTAACTATGTTTTATCAAACTCAGAGCCAGCGCCACTTCTCTTTTACCTAATAACTGAACTTTACAAGGAGGGTACTTCCAAAGATATGCGGAAGTGGGCCTATGAAATACATTCAACATTTCTTGTACCGCGTGCTCCGCTTTCTTGGTATAGGCAAGACGAATCCTTAGCGAGAGAAGTGGACAATGTGTTACAGTTAGAATTTGACAAAGTGGAAATATTGAGTACTGTGTTTTTACGCAGTCGCAAACGCGCTAAGGACCTAATCAGCGAACAGTTGCGAGAATTTCAGCAAAAGCGTACTGCTGGACTGGGGACCATATATGGACCTACCGATGACAAGCTCGCTGAAGCAAAGGGTGACAAACAGAAAGAACAAATTATTGATAAATATCTTATGCCTAACCTGCAAATTTTAATGTAAGTGTATGATATTATTGTGCTTAATGCAATGTTTAATTGATTGTTTTATAGTGAGGAATTTGAAAAGGAATTACCTCAAGAAGATGCACGAAAACTAGCCTTGTGCTCTGCTCTTTCCACAGTTATACATCGCATATTTACAACGCGTTCGCATCCAAACACTATAGTGGACCGCGTTCATCATTTTGTTAGTCGTGAGAAAAGTTTTAAATCACGAATAATGGGTAAAAATCGAAAGGTTTGTTAATTAAAATTTGTAAAACCATGCTTTAAAAAAATTTTTCACAAATATATTCATGTATTTTGATTAGATGATAGCACGGGGTCACCCATTAGTATTACGACAATACTACGAAGTGACACATTGTAATCATTGCCAAACGATTATATGGGGTGTCAGTCCACAAGGTTATCATTGCACAGGTATAGTTAACAGCTTTTAATTTTCGTAAGAGCCGAGTTTAATCTGGTATCCGTCATTTATATAATTTATATGTAGATTGTAAATTGAATATTCACCGTCAATGCTCGAAGGTTTTAGAAGAAAGCTGTCCGGGGCCTCTTCCTCAAGCAAAACGACACCCGCATAACGATAATAAAATTAGTAAATTTATGGGCAAAATAAGACCTCGGACGAGCGATTTTATAGCAAGTGAGTTTAAAATATGCTACAAATTATAATACATGACTTTTGCATATTTAATTATTTCAGATGAAAAGCGCGCTCGGCAGGATGACACAGACATGGATGTAGACGCAAACAACGGTAAGAGTTTGTTTACACAATATATATTACATGTATTTTGCTCAGACTTCTACATTTGTTATCGATATATCCAATAATAGCATTATTTAATGGTATACTCAATAATGTATACATCAGAGCGCAAGCTATACATTACATTCCAAGTTCCCTGTAGACAGGTGCAGTTCAGTTTAAATTATATCAATTAATTACGTCTTTGGTGCTATAGTCACAAAATTTATCCCTTAGTTTCATGTATATTTTGTACACTTTTAATTTATTATTTATGTAAATCAGAGTATTATGGATTTTTGCAAATGTATGTAACAGGCAGAAGGTGGCGTGGCAGATCCCATTGAGTATATATATTCTTGATCAGAACGGCAAGCCGAGTCGTTTGAGCCCTGTCCGTCTGTCCGAATTTACGAACGCATCGATCTCATCATATATAAGAGCTAGAGACTTGACTTTTTTGGAGGTTCGTGTATAGCACGCACTTAACAAGTCTGTTTCAAATATTCGATAACTATTTCCGCTTTATTGTTATTGATTAAAAACATGATTGTAATGCAGTTATTCAATTATATCTCGTACGGCTTAAGATCTAGAACCTCAAAATTTTTGTATTAAGGTTTATGTATGCATTCCATAATTTTGGGTTTTTTTGGATTTGAAATACCGTTAAGTTAAGGAGTTTGCATTTCTACTAGTCCAATAGAGAATATGTAGATCATATGCTGAAAATTTAAATTTTAAATCCATTAAAAAAAATAGAAGTTATTGAACAAAACGTTTGGCCAATTTGCAAATCACGTGCGCGCCAAACGCGCAGGTTTTTTTATACATGTGCACAAATGCATTCAAATGCGTGTATTTTCTATTCGAAGAATCGAAATTGCGATTGAATTGTACTTGCATTCCAGCTGCTACTTAAGTTGATATTTGCAACTTTTTGTGTAAGCAGTGATGTGATGTGCGTTGCGTAGAAAACGTTGGCTGGAACTTCTTTGTCGTAATGTCGGTTTTTATGTGGTTTTTCTTAATACTCGATACAAACTATATAAAATATTAAAAAAAAAAAAAACAAAATAGATAGGACTGGGATCATGGTATCTCCTAGTCGGGCATCCCGACTAGAACATTCTTACTTGTTTTAATTTTAATACCTCTCTCAAAATAAACCAAATTCTCTTAGATGAGGTTTCAATTTTAGTTAATATGTATGAGTTTTAATTTTTACAAATTTCAATTAAATACGTAAGTTAAAGAGAAATTTTTATCATATGAGAAAATGAATTTAAATCCAATAAGTAACAGATGGTTTTTAACATAATGTTGACCAATTGGCAAAATCAACATTTTCTTTATACATGTGAATGTTCGTTTATTCTTTTCTATTCAAAGAATTGCAGTTTCGATTAAATTCTGTTTGAATTGTGAGCTGCTACTCTAGCTTCGGATTAGCCACTTATCATACAATCAGTAAAGTGGTGCTGATTTCTTTACGCAAAAAGCGAGTAATCAAGGAATGATATGGCGGTTAAAAAATATTTTTTTCTGTGCTATTTATTGTTTTAAGATTCTAATTCTATTTATAAGGGGAAAAAAGGTTTATACCCTGAAAATACCATTGAAAATGGGAAATCAGAGTATGTATGTTTTAAATCACCTATAACTATTCCCGTTTGTCTGCTATTGTATGTAGCTTGATTTACGTTTTATACAATTTTGCTTTGTTACTCGTTTTTTTTTTTTAATTTCTACATTTTTATGCTGAATCATATATGTAGTCTCCATGTTGTGCGTGTTTTGTGTATATATGCGTAGAAACAAGGTATGCAGTATTTGTAAAAGCATAGATCTCGACTTGAGCTTTATTGCTTGCTAATCATTTATTTTACAGATTTTTCGATCTATAGTCGTTCAGTAAAAGATTTTGATTAAGGGCCATTTTTCTCATTCGCTTAGCCGACTTGAAGCTCAACAATTGTCTCTCATTTGATAGTATTAAAATTTCTTTCTATACGTCTACTGAAGGCGTGGAAAATTATATTTAAAGATAAATCACTAATGAGATCTTTTATTTAAGTTAAGTTAAGAGTATGTGATCCGGAAAAACAACGAAATATTATCTTTATAATCAATATATGTTTATATGTTTTTGGACTATGGAAAAGTTTTGTGTACTCGTTTACCGTCAGTAATACTGTCAATTGTTTATTTTGATTTTTTTTTTAATTTTATTGTATACGCATTTACATGTGCACCATAATTTTATATATATTGTGTGGTCAAGCCGAACAAAATTAACTTAAAGATACCCTGTGGCCAAGAAAATATTATATGAAGTCCATTATTATAGCATATATAACGATGTTTATATTAACTTTTATTTTTGTATTATTGAGATACAGAAAGAGGTAATCTGGTCAAAAACTAATTAAACCTGTAGTTACATTACATTACATACATGAAGTCAAAAATATATAACGGATACATGCTCCCATTAGGTTCGTGGCGAAACAGATAAAACTGTATCCTCTACAGTTTTAGAGATAACCTTCCAAAATTTGTGAGCTACTATCGACAGATCGACGAAACAATAAGGGTGTTATGTATAAAATTTGAGCACTATAGGTGCTATAAACAAGAAATTGGGAATATATAATCAAAGGGTTAAGCAAAGTTTTTATTTTGTAAAGTCTTAGAGCTAGAAGCTTGAAAAGTCGATATTTGAGTTAGTGTTGACGTCCGCAATGAGGTCGTTGCATATAAAAATACACTGTAATTTCTATTACGTTACTTTATACTGAATATTTAATGAACAATATACTTTTGAGCTTATTTATATTTAATTGATTTTTCAAAAATCATACATAAGCCTTTTTCGGGTGTGGCAAATCGAAAAAAAACTATATCTTCTAACGTTTTGACCGTGAACGCTAGTATCGTAAAGACCACGGCCGTTTGTGAATGCATCTTTGCGGAGGACAGAAGGTATATTAAAGTTGTGCTTTTCCAACAAGAGTAGTCTTATTTTTTGACATTTATTCATTCGTTCTCCGTTTATTTACTCAATAAACAGTTCATTTGCCAAGCTTTATAAATAGATTTATGAGAGCGGCTGCTGTCTACGTAGGTACTAGAGGGAATAATTTCAAAATTCATTTACGCGCAAGATTGTGTTATATGTACATCCTCGATACAAAAATAAATTCGTAAATATATATTCATACTTACCTGTTTTTACGTGTACATTATATGTTGCCCATTTGCAAAGTATAATCTACAATCTCTTGTGTGTAATAAATACATATATACGATAAGTATGATGAATTAATAGAAAATATTTTTGTAGTGATAATTAAGCTATTGATTAGCTTATACAATTAAGTAAGTCTATTGACTACTACGTATACACAGTAGGGAGCAAAAGTGTTTCCACAGTTGACACTTTAAACTTTGTGAGTCGATAATTTCTAAACGAATGAAGCAAATCTAAAAAACTTTTCCAATAATATGTATTTAATTCTTAACAAATTGCCGTATATAAAAAAACAAAACTTAATCAGTAAAATATTCAAACAAAGAAAACTAAAACAAAACGCATGTGTAAAATTTTGCACCTTCAGTGAAAAAATTAAATATGATTTGTCCACAGGCCCTTATTAGCTATTACATTTTTTATTTAGTTTGGCATACTCTCGACCACCTTCTCTATGGTTTCCTTTGGAACTCGGTTCCACTTCAGTTCTACACGCTTCCAAAGATCGTCTAGGTTGGATGGCATTGATTGATATTGCCCGAGCCGTCGCTTCACGATTGACCACAGGTTCTCAATCGGATTGAGTTCGGGACATTGAGCTGGCCACTCCATCAGCATAAAATCTTGGTTTTGTAACCATTCGCGGACAATTTTGGCAGTGTGCTTCGGATCCCCATCTTGTTGAAAAAATATTTCCTTTACGGGGTATGCACACTTGTCCAGAAAATTGGGTAGACAGGTTTTCAAAATATTGAGATAGTCTTCTTTTAACATTATACCATCAATTTTATGCAATGGTCCAATGTGCCACCAAGTAAAGCATCCCCAAACTTTGACATTGCCTCCTCCATGCTAAACGGTTTGCTTCACATGGTGTTTTTGAAGCTTTTCCCCGGACCTGTGCCAATAGTATTGCTTGCCATTTGATTGGAAACGATTGAACTTGGATTCATCCGACGAGGTAACACGTTTTCAATCATCTACAGTCCAGTTCTTGTGTTCCCGGGCGAATTTCAATCGAGCTTTGACATTCTTCTCGGATAGAGCTGGTTTATTTTTTTTCACACTTGCCACATATCCAATCTTAGCTAGTGCTCTTCTAACCACCCGCCGACTCACGTCTTTTCCTATGTCCATAGATGCCTTCTTCGGTGTTAGGAACTTATCAGTTCCCATTAGTCTGGCGTCAGAGTCCTTTAAGAGTCGTTTGCGGCCTTTAATAGTGTTTTTGGATGCACCATTGCGTCTTTTTTGGACTTCGGACACCGCTGAATGAAAAATATTAAGCTGATCTGAAGTACTACGAGTCGAACAGCCATTTTCAGTTAGGCTAATAATACTATTTTCGACATCTGACTAATTGCTAAAATTAACAAATCTACTTCAAATAATAAGAAACACCTGGATTTCTGGATCTGGATCATAGAATGCATAAATAAAACATATAAGGGTAAAACTGCATGTCTATTGCCGATAAGAGAATTAAGAAATCAAACCAAAGTATGAATATCGGAAGGTGCAAAATTGTACACATGCGTTGTGTTTCAGTTTTCTTTGTTTGAATATTTTACTGAATAAGTTTTATTTTTGTTATATACGGCAATTTGTTAAGAATTAAATACATATTATTGGAAAAAAAGTTTCTTTGATTTGCTTCATTCGTTTGGAAATTATTAACTCACAAAGTTGAAAGTGTCAACTATGGAAACTGTATATGAGAGTGTGTGGCGAAAATTGTGGATTTGTATATTTTTGTATTGTAATTTTCGCAATATTATTTCGATACTAATTGTAAGAATATTCTTTTATTATTTATTGCATAGATTGCATCTTACTGTGCTAATCCGCTAAATATTTTGTAATAATTTATTTTTAGATCGCGTTCACTCAACATCAATAGTACGTCAACCATCAGACCGCAGGCTTGATGGTAACGTATCCTTGCGATCGAATGGGAATACATCTATTAGCACATCCGTGCTTAATAGTAGCGATTTGCAGAATTCATTTCACGCTGCTGGCAATGCCAACGAAAGTGCAACAAGTAGTGGCGGCTTTATAGGTATCTCAGAACTTACTACATGTTCGGGATCCACGACTTTATCTAGCTGCTTAGCTGGCGGGGTCGGTATGACTTCTCTAAATGATTTGAATACAACAGATTCGGCAGATAGTAAAGATATGCGGAGGGAAAAGTATGTTTTCGTGCCACATAAACATAACAAAATTATTAAAAATCATTCTTTGCAGTTATTACCAACAACAGAAAAGTGCACAAGTATCAGTAAACCGTTCAGAATCTTACAAGGAACGATTATCGAATAAACGCATACGTAATAGCCGCCGCAAAACTTCGGATCCAAGTTTATCATCGCGTACGAAGTAAGGGAATTTAAATAAATCAACTCATGCCTTATACAAGGGTGCATATTTCTTCAATTACTTAACAATAAATTTAAAGGAAAAAATTATTTAAAATTAGTCCGTATAATGGGTATGTTATGACAGGACGTCATGGCTGACGGCATAATATTGGTCATGTCTAAATAATATCCGTTTACTTCCGTTTCTGTATTAAACTGTCTCTTTTCCTGTCCGGTTAAGGGCTTTGATATTATCTTACCGACAATCCTTAACTCAAAATCATCATTACGAGTTACACTTATTGATTGGCTGCACCTCTTTCATTTATATATGTATGTTTAGTGGCAGTATTCCAGTTCATTTCAATTAGAACGCAGCTGTAGCGACGCAAACACTGCGCAGTACGGTTTATAAATTTGCAAAACTAAATGAAATTTCTATGAAGTCTAATAATAAATAGAAAATAATGCAAGGCAAAGTTCGGTATGCTCGCAGTAAGAGTGTTAGGGAGATGGTTGGTCTTAATTATGACAAGTAAGTGCGATTAAGTTACGGATTTCAGAGCAAATTCAATGGGCTATAAAATTGTATTCTGTTTCAAACATAATTAACAACGTATGTAAAATTCTGGAATTCACAGTGATGATCAAGCAGACCTGGGCCTGTCAACTGCAAACTATACAGGAAGCTCAAGTTCTAGTCTGTCATCCGGAGGTGGCTTTGATAGTCCAAGTACATCAATGGAACAGGTTGCGAGTGGTGTTGCTGTATTAGGCGCTGGGACAAACGTAATATCAAGTGTTGCTAATTCTCATCAGCATCCACATAAACTTGTGCAGCAACAATCAAATCAACACAGTCAGCAAGATTCTTTTCAAGGCAGCATAGGAAGTAGTAGTAGTGTCAGTAACACTAACTTTTGGAATGTCGGACAACCTCTGCAACGTCAATGGAATTTTGAAAGCGATGATGAAGATTTAAATGAAGCCGACTGGAGCTCGATAGTTGCAGTCGAGATGCTTGCAGCGCTAACGGATGCTGAAAAAAAACGGCAGGAAATTATAAATGGTAAATTTAAATAAGGCTAATATTGTTAATGCGATTTATTTGACTATTGGTTTGTGTTACACAGAAATTTATCAAACGGAACGTAATCATGTACGCACTCTCAGACTGTTGGATCGTTTGTTTTTTTTGCCCCTTTTCGACAGTGGTTTGCTTTCTCATGATCATTTACTGCTATTATTTCCACCCGCACTGCTCTCCTTACGTGATATTCATGGTGCATTCGAACAAAAGCTTAAACAACGACGCGTTGAACATAATCACGTTGTAAAACATATTGGTGATTTGCTCTCGGATATGTTTGACGGTCAATCTGGTGAAGTTCTGTGTGACCACGCTGCTCAGTTTTGCGCTCGTCAGCAAATTGCACTTGAAGCATTGAAAGAGAAGCGAAATAAGGACGAGCAGTTGCAAAAATTGTTAAAAAAATCTGAGTCACATAAGGCTTGTCGTCGACTAGAGCTTAAGGACCTATTGCCCACGGTATTACAACGACTGACCAAATATCCTCTACTCTTTGAGAATCTTTATAAGGTCACTATTCGAGTACTACCAGAAAACACTACAGAAGCAGATGCTATACAACGTGCGGTGGAGTCATCAAAGAATATTCTTGTCGAAGTGAATAAAGCTGTCAAGACAGCTGAAGATGCTCACAAGTAAGTAAATTGAAAGCCTTAGTAAATTAAATACTATGTTTCGATAAACACTTTATTTTAAGGCTACAAAACATTCAACGCAAGTTAGACAAATCATCGTATGACAAAGACGAGTTTAAGAAATTAGATTTAACACAACATCGTCTTGTCCACGACGGAAATTTAACAATGAAAAAGAATCCTAGTATACAGCTTCATGGATTACTTTTTGAAAATATGATAGTGTTGCTTACAAAGCAGGTAAGGCACATACATTAATGAATTTTTTCTTGTCGCTACTCTGGTTTGTTAAACATTCGGCTTTGATTTCTTGCAGGACGATAAGTATTTACTAAAGAATCTTCATACACCACTAGCAGTCAGCAACAAGCCTGTGAGCCCTATTATGAATATTGACTCGGAGACTTTAGTGCGTCAGGAAGCCGCAGACAAGAATTCGTTTTTTTTAATAAAGACAAAGACATCACAAATGTTAGAGCTTCGTGCTCCTAGCAGCTCTGAGTGTAAAACGTAAGTTTGTTAAAATAAGTACAACTCTCAATTTAAATGGCTTAAGGTATATTTATAATAGAGTTATTTATGCACTGAAACAAGTAATTATATTTTAAAATGATGTTTTAACCTCATTCAGAAAGTAAAATGATTATATTTGTTTTGAACATCATCTGTTTTGATATCCGTCTGTCGTCTGTATGAACGCAATCCTTTTCGCCACTATTGAAGCTAGAGACTTGAAATGTTGAATTTATACTCGTGAATTTATACTCTTCTGATATAGTATTGAGATTTCTCCGATACGCAAGGTAAGGGCGTGGATAATCGGTAAATGGTATAGAGATTTGGATTTGGAACATTTACTCGTGAGCACTACCCGCATCTAAAAATATATAGATTACTCACCTGTGAGTAGTATTGGGAGTAAAATCTTCTAAAGTTGTAAAGATAGAAAATTAAAAATTCGATATATTTTATAATTTTACAATTATAAAATGAAAAACTAAATTACAGTTCACCTCTAATTAATCTACTAAAAGCCTCTTATGGACGTGGCATATCGGAAGAAACATATCTTCAAAAGTTTTGGAGACCAGAAGGGCATATCCATAACTTATTCATTTTAACTTAAAAAATTTGAATTTGAATTTTGAATATAACTAAAATCATACAATACATATACAAGTCAAAACTTATTAATAAATAAAATATAATATATTAATTCAGGTGGTTTAAACATATATCTGATGCCGCTGCACATCAATATAAACCCCGAGCTAAAAATGCTAACAGTCAAGAAACATCTTGCGATGATCCTGTTAACCCCCCACAACAGATACACACCAGGGAGTCAATGGACCAAACGCCCGACCGTTCACAACCAACAAACGCAACGGCAATTTCTTCTACTACGCCTCTGGCACCCCTGCTCCCCGTTACTACTATAACACCAGCGCCCACTGCAAGTAATAACTATGACAGCAGTGTTCAATTAAGTAATTGTCGCCGCGATAGTATACCTACCGAGAGTGAAGGCTACTACAATATTATGGCTAAGCGTCGTCTCAGCCAAAATGAGACAACCACTCCAATAAATCGAACCATGTCCACTCGTAGTTGCGGAGAGGCTAACAATAACTATCCTACGAATAGTCCAGACATTACTGGCGTAAATTTACGTCACACTCAATCAGCACGTGAGACCAATAGTGAGGACCGCGGAATGATCTATGGCTTAGTAGGGGGACCGTCCAAGCGAGACAGTGCGAGCATTGTCTGCTCGAATAATTCTAATAATACACGCACATTACTCATGCAATCACCCCTGGTTGAACCAACAGCAATTCAAATAAGCATAAGTCCTGCTCTCACCGCCGAACCGGTGTTGACGCCAGGTGAGAGATTACGTCGACTAGATGCTTCCATTCGAGAGGGGCTACTAGAAAAGCAGAGAATTATTTGTGATATTTTTCGATTGCCAGTTGAACACTTTAATGAAATTGTTGATATTGCTATGATGCCAGAAGCACCCAAAGACAGCGCTGATATTGCGCTAGCTGCTTACGATCAAGTCCAGATGTTAACCAGAATTTTAAATGACTACATGCATGTGTCACCCGAAATGGAAATATCAGCTGTATCGACAGCTGTATGTGACCATTGCCATGAAAGAGAAAAAAATGTTGCAAAAGTATCACCTCCACCGTTACCTAAATCAAAAAAACAAAATGCTCAACAGCAAACACCGCAGTTAAATAGAACAGCAAAACACAAAACTCGTGTTGAAGAAGAGATTGCTATACATGAAGATGACGATGGATATTGCGAAATTGACGAATTACGTTTGCCTGCAATTATCGCAAAATCACCAGATTTGTCAACCCCGTTAGCTCCATTTAATTTTGTATCAGCCACGGAAGTTAACTTGACTTTACCTTCATCAAGCAACAGTAATTCTGATCTACCCCAACGACAAAGCAACATTACATTAGATGAGTCTTCTGAAGAATCTACTGATACGCAACATTCAGTACATAAGTCAGAAACAGTACCAATACTTAAGCCTCAAAAATTAATGGCTGAAACTGAAATCGAAAAAATAGTTATAACTGAACATAGGGACACAAATCCCAAAGAAAAAACCAAAATATCACATCAGTCGAAACAACAGACTGAAGAGTCAGATGCCGTTAATACGCTGCAAAGCTTAGAATCTGGAGACAAAAGTGACAACGTTGAAATAAATGACGTGTACGATAATTTGGTCAGTTTCATATAAATAAAAAAAGGTCAATATTTATATATTTTGTTACCATCTTTATAGGCTGCATCTAATAAGGCTCAAACAAGAGAAGCAATAATTAAGAACTCGTCAACAATAGCTGAGCCAATGTGTCCTAATGAAAAAGAAAAAGGAGGAAGCTTATCGTCCGCCATTGCAGTAGGAAACTTATGTAGACTAAACCGCATTCAGCACGCTAATTCTTTAGAGCCAAGCGTTCCGTGTCATTCTCTCAGCAGCATCGTAAATGTATTGAATGAGCAAATTTCTTTACTATTGGTAAGAACAACTTCTAATCCTGTATGTTTTCAAATAGCACTTCATTCTTTTTTTAGCCTAAAATAAATGAACGTGATATTGAACGCGAGCGTTTGCGTAAAGAAAATCAACACTTACGAGAACTTTTAAGTGCTATGCATGAACGTCAGCGAGTTGATGTAGTAAAGGTAATGTAATTTCCGATATTTTACATGTTTATATTGTGTATAAAAAATGCATATATTTTACTTTGTTTTAGTCTTTTACGAAGTGACACAGTTTGTACAATGCCTGTCTTGTTTACCGTTTGTCTGTCCGTCCACATGAACGCAAACCATTTTGGCGTTTCAAATCGGATATAGTTATAAAGAGTCTTTTAAAAGTTTTGCTATTGATGCTGGAATATATACTTGTGTAGACAAACCGCATTTCAAAATATATAGACGTAGCAAGCCTAAAAGTTATATCTTAACCTTTTAGAGCAATAAACTTTTATATTCGATTTTGAATAACTATTGACTATATCCTTTATCGATTCACCAAAAACATGTGGCATGATATAGTAGAAATCCCCAACAATGTCTACATTTTTTGGTACCTTAGTCGCAATTGTATAGTTACTTTACTGTAGACTTCTAAGAATTGGCCGAAAATTATAATTAATTTTTTCGTGGCAAAATCAGTATATTCTTCATATTTACAAATTGCAGCCCAACATTTAACAGCTAAATTATATTGATCTACCAAAAGGGATATATATATATAAAGAAATCTTCCAAAGTCGTTGGCATCTTTTAGCCCATGAATAAGTATTGTGCAGTCGGTAACGTTCGATTGTAACATTTTTACTTGTTTTTGTTTTACATTATATATTTTTTTTACTTTAGGAAACTCCAACCGATATCCTGACCATCCTGCAAGCCGCTGACGCAGAGTTTGAAGATGATATTGACACAATATCTAACACATCCCTAACACCGACACCAACACCGTTACCATCCGCTTCGACCGATGACAACATGGAATCACAAGATCTTTCCACACTTAGAGTTTCAGATATTCTAGAGCCTGTAAGCATTACACAAAATGATAGCTGTGATCTACAATCGCCAAGCAATTCCATCGAGCAACTAGAAAGTCCGTTACATACAGCTAAAACTCCAACTGAGCAGCAAAATGAAGATAAAAACGAATATAACTAAGTAAATAGGACTTAATTATTTATAATTGGAAATATGAAATATTTATTATTATATTTTATGTCTTTTTAGCGTTATAGTACATCACGTTATCTGCCGTTGAGCATTCCGCATTCCGCATCCTTTTTTACAGAGATGATGCGATGGAGTTACGTTAATATAATTGTTTCTTCATACTCATAATTCATACTACTAATGCGTTGGTGTTCTTGAATGCATGCTAAACCCACAAATCTAAAGGTTCATATCTAATTGTTGCGCAACACAAATGTCCAATTGAATTGGCAGTGATTGTGTTAATATAACCTTATTAAAACATTTAACTACTTATAGCTATTTTTGCCTTACTAAGATGTAACCTATAGTGGCTTGAGGGTGAAATAAGTTTTATTTAAAATACATATGTAAATTCCACTTAGTGACATTAAATAATTTAATACAACTTAGTCTTAGTCATTATGCGATACACATTTATTGTATATGAAATATTACGTATTTAATTGATGTCAAACAAATGATTACGGCTACATGTACATTGCACAATGTACAATACATTTATGTACGTATTGTATCAAATGAAATTAATAAAATATGAATACCAATCTCCGGCTTATCGAAGATTAATACCATTGCAACTATGTAACCTGTTACTGGCATTATACGCGGTAAGCAGGGCTAAGCGGTCTTCGTATCAAATTGAAAATTGACAAATTATTGACTATTTCGAGTTTATGAGAAATTAGCTATATACTAACATCAAAATTTTTTATATAGCAAATCTGTTGATCAAACATACATACTCACATATATATAAATTATATTAAAAATGGGAAAACATTCGCTTTAGCTATTGTAAGTAACGAATATTAAAAAACAGCGGGAATTTATTTGTCTTGCAGCATTTTACGATTATATTTCCAGTATATATTATATACATATGTAGCATTCACGAAGTGAAATGATTGCATTGGTTTTGTGCAATTATGAATGTAAACCATTGCGTCGGTTTTGAAACAATAGACTTGAACGATCCAGGGGCGTGGCTAATTAGTATTCATAAACGGTCTGTATGTACAATCGGAACAAAGAATGCCAATTACTTTCTTTTTGTGAAGTTTGCAGGCTGCATGCAATTTTCTAGCTCATTTAAAGTTTGCGGGACCTAACTTTGTCGATGTGTCGAACTTGATTAGCTGCAGTTAAGCATATGTATATGTCGTGTCGTCGCCTGTTCGAGTATTTGGAACAGCAACGGTGGCGTTGCTGTGTTGTAGTTTCGCATTAATACGAAATATTGAATTCTCGTTAATGACGCTCTTTTGGTAGAATTTGTAGTTAGAGGAAGAACCGCTAAACGCGGTGACATAGAAGTTGTCACCAAGTGTAGGTCGGTGCGAGATAGAGAAATGAAAAAGAGCGAGAGTTAGTCTTAATTCGAGTTGTCCCGAACCCATCAAAATGGAAAATGATCGTTCGTGAACATATGTATACATATATTTTGTATTGTATAAGTTAACTTATAACACTTAATATAAGGTATTAGTCAACACTCGCTATCGGGTTCTAGATAAGTTAAGGAACAGCCCTGGCAATGGCAACTCTGCTTACGCCAGTGAGGCTATGATTTGTAAAATTTGGAATCAGTCTCTTGTTTTAAGTCGTACTGAAAGGACATGCTAAAAATTGGTGTCATATAAGTCAAATTAAAAGTAGTGAATATAATAAGAAAAAACAATAAAGTTAACTGTTTCGATTACCCAAAAACAATTCAAAGCATGTTAATTACCCCACTGGTTTAAAATGCGTTCTTCCAGTAAACAGCTTAAATAAATATTCACTCCGGCACTTGGCCGTTAAATGGCTTATTTCATTGTCTGAGCTCGAGGCCAGCAACAAGAGGCACAGTCGCCTCTCAACCCAACCTTCAGTCACTACAGGACTGGAAAACATATAATTTATATATTTTTTTTGACATGGGTGCCTGGGCCTGTAGCCTATTGAAATATAACTTGATAATAATTTCCATTCCAGAGTGGAGTAAATAATTAGGCACTTTGTGGTTTTAAGTCTGTCATTAAATGAATGCATATACAAAAGGAAGCAGCAAGGAAGAAGAATAACACCAACGAAAAGCTTATCTTCATTGCCTTAACGGAATTCAATAAAATGTTCATCATATGATTTATATATTCTATTGGAATATTTGTCAGTTTAGAAGAAATTCAATCACTTAAGCAAATTTTCGACCGTATAAATAGTATTGAAAATATTTGACAGGGTTGATACCGCCAAAGTAGGAAACTTGCTATATCCATATTAGGCATGAGCATCGCACACTAGCCACTAGACTTCGCTTCGGTATGTGGCTCTATTGGGTGCTGTTGGTAAAAAATTGTATGAACTAGGAATTACACTAATAATTTTTTTTATGTAAAATTAAAAATTAAAATTAAAAAAAGAAAATCATCTTTTGTGTTTCCTGCCGATTGCTTTCATTTTGATAACATCTAAGTTAATCGAACCTTGACAACATCGTTTCCGTCATTGAGTAATTCTTATTTCTCTGACTTCAATTTAAAATTTTCCGACAGCTAACTTCGCGTTAGACTCTAGCACTATTCGAAAGGTAGGCATAAAATAGCTAATATTTTAAATTGCGTTCAATTCAGTGTTCCCACTTCCATGCAATCGATCGGAGTTTCTCTGCATTTCCCATTCCATCCGGAAAACAACTAATATCTACCGCACCCAAGTCTACATAAATCGGAACTATTCAAATGCGCGTCCTATGGGAGAAATCAAAACATGAGTACGAAATGTGTTCTAAGTCAAGATACTAATAGTGCTGAAGTTAAACACATGGAGACCAAGTTATACACTGTGTACTTTCATTTCTGAGCGATTATTCCAGGCTGGCTTTCCGATCAGTGTAAATGCAGTTTTTCTGGATTAAACCAAACGTTACAGCCAACGTATAAAAGCTCTGTAAATTTAAAATTTGTTCTACTTTAAAAGTGAGACTCCATGTATAGAGTAAAGGATATTTCCTGTTCTCATATGAGTACATTATAATCTAAGTAACCCGGCCAAGTTATTTGGTGGAAACCCGAATTGATCGTTAGACATAGCATTGCTGATGTCCTGCACTGGTCGGCATATATATTTTGACATCATTTACATTTCAGTATTAGTCTTTTTTTCTAAGTACCGTTGCATTTAACGAAGCGAAAATGAATGTATATTTTGACATTGTTATGTTTATCAACAAGACTTAATATTATGGTAAAAAAACCCAATTTAAATTTTAAATTAATGGAAAATATACCCTCCTTTGGAAATTCTGACCATTTGGAGGCGGTTCGGGACGGAATCCACCACGGTTTGAACATGTTTTAATGGAATCCTTTCTCACTCCTTTGTGACCTCAGCGATCGTTTCAATTCTTGTCCTTGTTAGATCGGCGGATCTATTTCGCTTTATTAGCGACCAAACATTGTCAATAATATTCAAATCTGGACTTTGGGGTGGCCAATCCAGTGTTTCCACCCCAACTTCTCTCAAAAATGTTATCACTCTCGCCTTGTGGCAAGGAGCGTTGTCCTTCTGCAGAATAAATCTGATAATAAATAGTCTTACGTGACAAATTATATTCTTTAGCGATCTTTATAACCGATATACCCAAGTTATGTTTTGTCACAGGATGAGAGAAGACATAGTCCTTTGTACAACTCAAGCCCAGAAAATAAGTTAACAAACTTATATTAACATAATCATAATTACAATTACACAACATTATTCCTTTACCTATTAACAGTTTATAAGACATAATTCCAGACCTGATGTCAGAAGCAACACAAGAGAGATGTATTAAATGAAAACTCATTAAACTTGTATGTCAAGGAATGTGGCCTTTTAATAATTCCTTGCTATTTTACAGCCTAAAAAACCTTTTTATTGTATATAAACAACAACAACGTCCAACTGGATATCGGTATAATAATTTTAGTATTTTTAATTAATTCTGAAATAAGAAAAGTAAGTATCAAGTGCAGACTACAAGCTATAGCCTTCCCGATTTATATGTTTCAAATGTAAAAAAAAAATATTACTACTTTTTATGAGTGATTAGTTACAATTCGACGTATAATTTATTTTAATAGTTATGGACAATGGACAATGGCAGTGAACATATGGAGAGTGATCACACAACCCCAATTCCAAATGCTGAAAAGAGTACAGTAATGATAGCTTATAATATATGAATGATAGTATACAACTGAAATTATTTTAATTATATTATGTATATTGTTTCTATACTGCAAAGGTTTGATCTCAAATGAATTGAAATTGGCTGCGTTGAATGACTCGAGGACTTGAGTATAAATACTAACACTAAAGTCATTAAGTGGTAGCAGTGTTGTACGATGGATCCGACAGTGATTGCTTCGGTTCCTATTCCTTGCATTTACTGACTGAGAGGATGAATGTTCCTACCGCCACATTTTGCTCTTCTTGGTTCACTTAAAACTTAAGCTAAATACTAGCTTGGAGGTTGAGTAGGTAATTCTTTGACCATTCTGTCCAGAATCACTGCTTGATTCTGGAGATCAGCTGTCATATATTCAGGCATGATAGTTTGACTTTCACCGTCGTTTTGATCGCTGCTAGGTGCGAGCATTGGCATATGTGTATGGCCTCATTTTATTATGTGTGCCTTGGTTGACACACACAACTCTAGCGATAATCGAGGTACTAAATTATTGCATTGTTTAAGTTTGCGCGTTAGCCTGCATACATGAAATTTTTCGTCTGTGGGTGATTCGGCTGAAGCTTTGAGCTAGCCGTGCTGGAAAATATACAGCGTCTCCTTGCCTGACTTTTGTATATTAGGAGATTTTGGGCCTTCAAGGAGACTTAGAGTGGTTAGGAGTGCAGCTTTAACTATTGCTTCTTGCAATTGGTTTGCTGTGTAATCCACATCTTCAGGAGCGTCGAAAACTCCTAAATCGATCATATCAACGGGATCGGCTGTGGCTGTATTGTGATTATTAATGGTTGGTGGTCAGAGAACAGCTCCAAGAATTTTTCATTGCTAAATTGCCGATTGCTGATGCCCTTTTAGCCAATGTCTATTTAGTTGGTAACAAATTGGGGCTCCAGTCGCCAGTGCGCTATATATGGATCGCCTCAAATAATGAGATAACACAGTTGCTGAAATCTATTCGATTTCTGTCTGCCAACACGTCTTAATTAATCAAACCAATAATCGCGAGTGACTAATAAATGTTTACCGAGCGAATGAAATGGGCAACTGTTAATAATGTGCCAAATACGGTACATTCGGAATTTTATACCCTGATTCCATTGAAAATGGAAAATCAGGGTATAATAGTTGTGTGCAAATGTCCGTCCGGCTGT